GCTGAGGAAGGACTGCATGGAGATCACACAGTTCCTCATGCCTGTCTTCTAGAAGGGTAGAGGGCACATCCCCCCCAGCAGGAGGAGGCGGTGTGATCGCGGTGTATCGAAGAACCATCGCGAGTGGAAGAGTAGCGCGATGTGAGCGAGTGCCATGAGCCACCGGGGAAGAGGGTGGGGCTGGCGGGGTCGGAGAGGGTGACTTAGCAGGCTTGGGCGGGGGAAGGGGTCGCCGGCGGTACGTGATCAGCTCGGGCGACTGTGGGAGAGCGGGTTCCTCTGTGGTGGGGGGAGCCGGGGGAGGAGGTGGGGCCGGAGGGTGGGACCGCCGATGGTAGGTGATAGGTGCGCTCGGAGGGGGCGGCGCAGCGGGAAGTGGGGAAGGTGAGGGGGAGGGAGGAGCAGCTGCCGAAGACACCGGTGAGGCCGGGTCAGTGACCTCAGAGGGAGATGGTGCGATGGCAGGAGAGGGAGGAGGTGAGGGAGCAGGAGCAGGCGGGAGGTCGGGAGGCGCATCAAAGTCTGCCCACACGAGGGAGGGTGGATCAGGGAGAGGGTCCCGTCCCGAAGGGGAGTAGAATGGGCGGGTCTCATCAAAGACAACGTCACGGCTCCTGACCAACTGGTGAGTGGAGGGATTGAGGAAGAGGTAGTCAGGTGAGTCGGCGTTGTGCCCGAGGTAGATGCACGTCTGAGTCTTGGGACCGAGCTTGCCACCGTTATGCCGTCGAGCCTGAGGGTTGAGGAGGACATAGGCGGTGCATCCCCAAACGCGAAGAGAGCGAGCAGTGGGCGTTTTCCCGAGCCAGAGTGTGGTTGGAGTGGTGTCGGGAAGGTGCGGGTGGGGGTAAAGGTTGTAGAGGAGGGCAGCGTGGTAGAGAGCGTACCCCCAAAGAGAGTGAGGAGCGTTGGAGTGGCTGAGGAGGCACCGAGTGATCTGCACCAGGGTGTGGTTGCGGCTCTCAGCTATGCCGTTCTGTTGAGGGCTGTCAGGGAGGGTGAAGTTTTGCTGGATGCCTTCGGAGGAGCAGAAGGCTTTGAGCTTGTCGTTGCAGAACTCACCCCCCCCATCCGAGTGAAGGCGCTTGACCTTGCGGTCAAAAGTGGTCTGTGCCTGCTTGACCCACGCTATGATGACCTCGGGTGCCTCAGCCTTAGTGTGGAGGAGGTGAACAGAGACGTAGCGGGAGTGGTCATCCACGATAATAAGGAAGTAGCGATAGCCACCTCGTGCGAGAACAGGGGCAGGGCCCCAGACGTCCATGTGCACGAGGTCCAGTGGTGCTGCAGCGATTGTGGGTGAGGCAGCATGGGGTTGTTGGCGCAGTTTGCTCTTGGTGCAATCAAGGCACGTGGGAGCTGGTGAGTCAGGTGGTGGGGGAAGTGCGGCTGGCAGGCCGAGGAGAAGTTTCTTGGAGGCCATGTCAGCAAGAGTGCGGAAATTTGGGTGCCCGAGCCGATGGTGGTAGAGGATGGTCGGGTTGGAGAGGGTGCGACATGAGCATGGTGTGATAGTGGCCTGTGCTTGGGTGGTTGACACCTGTGGGAGAGGGACGCGTAGCGTGTAGAGGCCGTTGCTGTTGAGGGTGTAGCGGGCCAGAGTTTTGTTGGTGCGTGGATCGATGATGTCGCAATAGTCCTCGTTCTCTGGGAAGATGGTGCGTAGCCCTGCCTCCTGAATTTCTGTTTGGGCAACTAGATTGTGACGCAGTGAAGGCACGCACATGCCAGTGACAGTGCCGGATGGGAAGGCGGGGCATGGGACTGTGGAGGTACCCTTGGCGAGGGTGGTGAAGCTTGAGTCAGCTCCTAAGAGAGGGATAGGTGTTGGGTAAGGTTTGAAGGAGAGGGTCTCCTTGAGCACGGTGTGAGTGGCCCCGCTATCGAGTGTGAACTCTATGTATTGTGGTGCGTGTGATGAGCCGATGTACTGTGAGGTAGCTTCATTAATCATGGCAGTGCCAGGGAACAACAGGTTGATACGCACATCAGCAGGAGCAGCATCACTAGCACTAGTCGAAGCGGGGTCCTGGACCTCAACTAGGTTGGCCTTGCGAGAGCGCATCCAATTCGGCGGCTTCTTGTCCACTCCGTGAATGGCGTACCATTCGTCGTCTTTCTTCTTGAAGCACGTGGCGAGGGGGTGGTTAGTGCCACCACACACTTGTCCCTTGCGATTCCCATACTTGACGACGTAGGGGCACGGAGGAAAGCGGTTGCGCTGGAAGGGCGCCGAGGCGAGAGCCGCTGCGACACTTGCTTGAGGCATGGGAGCGCGGATAGCGTACGCCTTGGCCTGAGCCGTGGAGTCTTTCTCGGCAGAGAGGAGTGCGGTGGAGACCTTAGCAAAGGTGAGGTCCTCTGCTGAGAGTGTGAGGAGCATCTTCCTCGTGACCTCATATGCCGAGGTGAGTCCAACAAGTAGGGCGGCTGCAGGGGCTTGCTCGGGGAAGACTATACCCAGCTCCTTGAGTTCGCCATGAATGGTCTGCACCTTGGCAATGTAATCGGCCATTCCCGAGCAGTCCTCAAGGCGGACCTGAAACATGCTAGGGATGAGAATGGCCACGCCGACCGCCGTCTTGTTCATGAACCGATCCTGGAGGTACTTCCAGATGGCGTTGGAGGTAGGGTAGTTATGGAACGTGTTGACAAGTTCGGGAGGGGTGGAGGCGATGAAGACGCTGATGATGGCAGCATCGGCCTTCTCCCATTTCCGGTACTTCTCAACAGCCTCCTCGTACGCCCTCACGTCAGTATCACTTGGAGATTCGGTCGGCTCACGGGGAATAGTAGGCTGTTTCCCCTTGCCACGGTTGAGGAGGACGTCCTTGAGGTCAAGGCCCTGCACGTCACGGCTCAGGAGGTGCTTGTCAACTCCGTAGCTCCACGCCTTGAAGTTGGAGCTAGAGCCATCAGCTTCAAGGCGGAGCGGGGTGATGGGGTTCGCCATGGTGGAAGACGAGAGAGCCATGGTGGAGACCCCTTCTCGCGCGGAGCGCCGCTCTTAAGTCACCGATAGGAACTTCCGAAATCCGAAATCCGACGGACCGGAATAGCGAAAATCGTCAATGTCGGCCGCGTCGGAATGTCACGTAGAAGGTTTTTTTTTTTTTTCCTTTTCAGGCCGCCAAAATTAGGTCGAATCGGCCGATTTCCGTAGATCTATCACTAATCCCACACATCCCCCCACACACCACCCTCGGCTTCGCGGCTACACGGCTGCTCTGCTTCGCGGCTACACGGCTGCTCGGCTGCGCTGCTGCACCTGTTCAGCTGCGGGAAGGGGGAAGGGGTAGGAGTGCAGATGCGGGGCGACGGGCGGCAGCCCGACGTGAAGCTGCGGGGCGACGGGCGGCGGCCCGACGAGAAGCTGCAGGGCGACGGGCGGCAGCCCGACGAGAAGCTGCAGGGCGACGGGCGGCAGCCCGACGAGAAGCTGCAGGGCGACGGGCGGCGGCCCGACGAGGAGGAAAGCGAGCGTTAGGTTATAGCGCGGACGATGCGCTTACCAGATAAATTACCGTCGAAAGTGACGGGAAGGTGCAGCGGGAAAATTTCCGCCGACGAATGTCGCGAATCACCGGCGACGAGGTTGACGATGGCTTCGCCGAGGTTTGCGGGACGAGTATCCGCAGAGGTAAGAAGATCACGATCCGCGTATGCGGTTGAAGGGCTCTGATACCATGTCAGAAATAGGCTTAGAAGCGATGCATTAGTAATGAGCTTGAAGCTCTTTAAGTACATCCAAGAGGGGTAGGAAAAGGATGGGGAAGGGAATCGGGGGCAATCTCTAGGGATTGGGGGTAATCCCAAGGCAATCTCCAATTGGTGGGTTGGAGATTGGTTGGAGATTACATTTGGGTTTGGTTGGGATGTAGGTGTACACCCAACCAAACACAATGTGCAAACTACACTACTCTAGGATATAGAAAATACAAAGTACAAATTGTGAGATTGAAGACTAACACTGACACCCTTTGCCCCCCTTAGCGAGGGCCAGCTCCACCAGTTGATTGAGCCCCCGTTCGGCCACTAGGGTCGGACGGTAAGGGCGGGAGGACGAAGGGGAAAGGGTTAGCTAGGAAATCGTGTGTTATGTTTGTGTTTGGTTTTGCATCTCCCTCTGTATCACCCATCAAGCAATACAAGGTCCATTCGAGAGAGAGAGAGAGAGAGGATTAGCCCCTCCCCTTCTGCCCTTGCACCCACCCTTCTGCCCTCTGCCATGAGTACTTAAAGGCTCTCGTGGCCTCTTCATCCTCAGTATTCAGTTCATTCTGAAAATTTCGGCGCTTCGCTCGTTCGAGAGAGCGAGAGAGAGAGAGAGAGAGGATTAGCCCCTCCCCTTCTGCCCTTGCACCCACCCTTCTGCCCTCTGCCATGAGTACTTCAAGGCTCTCGTGGCCTCTTCATCCTCAGTATTCAGTTCATTCTGAAAATTTCGGCGCTTCGCGCCGGCGCTCGCGTGCGCGGCCTTCGGCCGCGCGTTCGGGATGACAAGGGGGAACAACAAACAGTAGTTTAGGCATCCGATACAAGCAACGCACGCATCGACACCTAGCAAGTCGATGATGGAACGGGTCTACACACGCAAGGGGGGAGCGCCTACATGCGGTCCGCCTCCACCGCAGCGAGCATTCCGCTCGTGTTCAACCACAACTGGCGGACCACTAACACGGTGGCGCCTACAACGTCAACAGGAGTACCAGAGCCTGCTACGAGCGTCCTCAGAGCCAGGGCCGAGTCAGCCAGCTGGCTGGCCGAGGTTGCTCCCGGCGAGGGCTCTACCTGCAGTGGCGTTACGAGCGCGAATAGCGATGACGCCGCCGCATGAGAATCAGCTCGCGGTTTCTGAGAGAACCTGCTCGGAGGGCTCACCGGCATGGAGTCATATGACTCCTGGAGAATCTGCTCAAGGTTCTGCAGGGACGCCGCCAGCGACCATAGGCGGGCCAGGGTCGCCGTGGGAACTTTTCTCATCGGCGGAGGCAACGCAGATGTGCGAGCACGGTGAGACGACACGGCGAGATCACGCGGAGCAGGAAGAGGACGCGGCGGAACAAACGGAGCCCACGGCGGCCCGCCGCCAGCGCCCACGAAGCCCATTCCCGCAGGCAGCGGCCGATCTGAGCGCGCCGGGGATCCAACAGGATTGTGGGGCAGGAGCGCGGCGAGAGGAACGACGGGAGCAGCGCGAGGAGCTGATGGTGACGCCGACCCCGCACGCGAGCGACGAAGCTCCTTCTCCACGTCATCAAGCCTGTCCAGAAGACGGCTCTCCATTGCGGACGGCGCTGGACGCGCTTTTCCGCCGCGACCGTAACCTCCCCGCCTCCCGCGATGCCCCCGACCACTTGCGTCTGAACGCACCGGCGACTGCTGGCGAGACCGGCCCCGCTGACGCGGGCGGTCAGGGGAACGGACCACGCGACGAGGAGAGTCAAGCCGTGGACGCTTCGAGGGGCGTGGCGACCGCGGAGGCGATCGAGGACGGGACGATTGGCGTACGGGCGAACGGTGACGAGAATGATGGCGAGCAGGCGAACGATGGCGGCGTGACCGGCGATCATGCGAACGACTCCGAGACGCCACGCGACGAGGCGAACGCGGCGACCGCGGGCCGGCGTGATGACCTTCCCTGCGGCTCCCCCGCCTATCGTCGCGATTCACAGACTAACGTCGGCGAGGGGAATGCTCCTGGTGCGCCGCATCCACTTCGCCGGAGCGCACGGCGGATGCCACGCGAGCAGGCTCCGGCTGAGGCAGGGATCGGCCCCCGCGCGAGGTCAGGGCGCGCTGCTGATCTTCGAAACGGCGGCCGATCAGATCCGCATACGCCGGCGGCTCGACAGGCACGCTCGCGGCAGGGCGCGCAGGAGGAAGCGGGCGGGGAGCGTGATCGCTCTCTGCGTTTGCACCAAGGCAGGAGCTCCAGGGGAACCCATCGGCATGTCGGGAGGAGGGCGCGCGGACACTCGGCGGCCGACAGGTCGGCGGAAGATCAGCAGGCCGCGGGAGGGATGCTGCGGGACGCGGGGGGAGAGCACGCGGAGGGGGACCGGAAAACGTGTACCAACAGGCGGGGCGGCGGGCTTTAAACGAGATGAGCGGCGATAATGAAACCACCACTACAGACAGTAGCTTTGTAGCTGCCGAGTCCACGGACTCGACTTCAAGCTCAGAGTCCTTGGACGAAGAGCAGCTGCAGACTCCTGCTCGAACGGGCAGAGCAGCAGCAGCAGCATCTCACACAGTGGGGGGAGCTGCAGCAGCGAGATCCATTCGGAGGGGTCCCCCAACACCAACCCGAGCCGCATCGGGCAACATTTCCACTCCACCAATCCCAACCCCGAATTCCCACATTCAGACCCCTACCCAAGCCAGACCTCAACATGCACCTGGCGGTAACCCCGTCCCAACCCAAGTCCCAGAGGAAAGATCCCCAGAATCACTCGCCAAGGACGACGCGCTATTCGCCAGAGTGGGGACCTGGGATCTCACGAAATTGCGCGACTCTCGCCACGCACCTCTTTCCCGCCACCTCCCACCAGACCCATGCAAGCTCTTCGCCACAGCCTTGTTGGTGCCGCTGCTGCGCTTGGCGAAATATCCTGACTGTACCTCTGCTTGGACGGTCGTCCTATTTCTCGCGCGTTTAACACTTCGCCAGCTGTCCCCACGACGTCCTGACTGGAAGGCTATCAGCGCCCGCATTCGTCAATTTTTGTCCGGAGAATGGGATAAGCTGTACACTGAAACAGTGGGCTCACTGACGTGGCCCCAACCACCCAGACACCAGCCAGATGACATTGGTGTCATCGCTAGGGCTGAGGGGTTGGCGCTACGTGGCAGCCTACGACGAGCCGTGATGGCACTTGAAGCCACGCCAGTCAGCGTTCCCTCCCCAACTGTGCTGGAGGCCCTGTGCGCCTAGCACCCACCTGCGCCCGCCTCCCCACATGACTGGACATTTCCAGCACCTGACCCTTACCTATCGGCACCGTTTGCAGTCTTCTCCAAGGTGCTGGGAAGCTGTGAGATGGGAGTGGGAGCGGGCCCCTCGGGAACAACGTTTGAACACTTGCGCGATGCAGCGCTGATCAACCACTCCGTTGGGAAACACCTGCACGCACTAGTCAACACGATACTCACTGAAAAGTTACCTCCTGCAGTGGCTGAGCTCCTCACCGCCTCAAGGTTGATTGCCCTGAGCAAGCCCAATGGGGGGACGCGGCCAATTGCCATCGGCGAGAGCATAACACGCCTCGCAGCTAAGACGGCGCTTACCTTGACCGCAGGGGCCGCTCGAGAGTTCTTCCTACCGCACCAGTTCGGCGTGGCAGTCCCCGGCGGGGCGGAGGTGATTATCCACATCACACGCACCTACCTCACGGTGAACACTGGAGCTTTGGTCCTGCAGGCTGATCTGGCGAATGCATTTAACAGCGTTAACCGCGACGCCATCATCACATCTCTTCGGAACTCCACTCTCGCCTCACTTTTGCCGTTAGTTAAACTGCTGTACGGCCTTCCCTCGGCTCTATGTCTGGACGCTGGCTTCTCGCACCCACCTCTGCTGAGCGAGACCGGGGTGCGGCAGGGAGATCCCCTCGGCTCGTTGTTGTTCGCTGCCGCCATACACCCAGCGCTGACGAAGACAGCGCTCAGCTTCCCCTCCGTGGTCTGTCTTGCCTATGCGGATGACGTAACCTTTCTTGGAGACGCAGCCACGTGTGCGGCGGCGTTTGAGGATTTCACAGGAAACCTTGGGGAGATCGGGCTGCGCCACAACCCAGCCAAGTGCACGGCCTGGTCCCAAGCAGAACGGCGGGGAGCAGCGCTACCAGAGGGCGTACCTTTCACTGAAGATGGGGTGAAGGTGCTTGGAAGCTTCATTGGTGGCAGCGACGCAACTGCCGCGTTCCTACGTGCCAGCCTCGACACCATGGGCGGGCCGCTGCCCTTAATCGCGCGGATGGAGCCGCAGCTGGCCTCCCTCTTGCTCTCACGGTGCATCTCACGGCGGATCGCTTACGTCGCCCGCACCACGCCGCTTTCAGCCCTGCCAGTCGAGGAGTGGTCAGACTGGGGAAAACGGCTGTTTGAGACGCTGCTGACTGCCTGCGGCATTCGCCACCCACGGGGGAGGCCGAGATTTCACGTACCTGGGCGCAAGCGTCGCTCCCAATCTCGCTCGGCGGCTTGGGTCTCACAGACCCCTCGGTGGAAGGACGTGTTGGGTTCCTCGCAAGCTACACGCAAGCGCAGCACCTACTCACCTCCATTGATGAGTCGGCTGTCGGCGCCTTAGCGGAAACGCGGATCCGGATGGTGGGGTGGGGCCCTTCATCAACACGTCCCCGCTCTTTGACTGGTTGGAGAGGTGTGAGGAGTCACTGCCGGACGATGGGAAGGAGCTGCTGCAGAACGACCGTGCCGACCCCAAGGGCGTCAAGCTGCAGCATGGGCTTGCAATCGCGGTACACGGACTGCGCTACGCTGAGCAGGTGCAGGCCACACGCACCATGCCGCTCAACCCCCTTCACGGGCACACGCAGCGCATGCTTTCGCTCTCGGGGTACGGGGCGGGGGACTGGCTCAATGCGGTCCCCTTTAACACGTCGCTGCGCCTTGCTCCAGCACACTTCGCCCACACGCTGGAATTCCGGATGGGGCTACCCTCCTCGGCGCCTGGTGCCTGTGACTGCCGGAAGGAGGTGGCAATCCCTGACAGGCGGCTGCCCAACCACCTCCTGCGTTGTGACACAGGGAAAGGTCGGACCAACACGCACAATGAGCTGCGCGACGAGTGCCTGCGGATGGCCATCGACGCTGACTTTATGACTCACAGCGAGACGACTGCATTCTGCCCCGTCACCTTGAAGAAGGCTGATATTGCAATCCGGGACAAGTCCTCAGGCGCGGTGTGGATAGGGGACGTGACCATCACGGACCCTATTAGCACACGGGACCCCAACGCGGTCAAGGGCAGGGGGTGGGCAGCCAGGGAGGCGGCTGAGAAGAAAATCTCCGACTACGAGGGCTCAACAGCCTCGTGGGTCGGATTCTTCCCGCTTGCCGTCGATACCTATGGCTGCCCGTGTGCGGAGGTCCCTCAATTCCTCAAACTTCTTGCCGACACCGCCGCCCGCAGGCTCTTCAACGCGGCCCCCTCGTCTTACCAGGCAACAAAGCTGCTGCATCAGTTTCGCCAGCGGTGGTCCGTGGCGCTGCAGCGTGCTCAGTCCGTGAGCTTCATGACGAAGTGCAACTATGCGGCTCAGGTGGAGAACCCACCTGTGGTGCTGCCGGGCGAAGGCATGTCCCTTGGGGACTGCCTTGCCATCCTGGAGCCAACATTGGAGCTGCCTTAGAGGGGGACGAGAGTGGGTAGGATATGAGGGTTTTAGAAGCTGAGGTGTATTGCTTCTTATAGCCTTGTGCATGTCTGTACCTTGCTCGGATCTAATACACGGACCGCTTGAGAGAGAGAGAGAGAGAGAGAGAGAGAGAGAGAGAGAGAGAGAGAGAGAGAGAGAGAGAGAGAGAGAGAGGAGAGAGAGAGAGAGAGAGAGAGAGGGAGAGAGAGAGAGAGAGAGAGAGAGAGAGAGAGAGAGAGATGCTAACGAGATCTGGTAACGAGAGCGCGTCGTGAAACTTCTGCGACTCCACATAACGGACCACCTCCTTGGCAGCATGAACCCTGAAAAGGTCTGCTTGAGTGCAGCAGGGGAAATCACACACATCGCCGTGCTTAGCACCCCAGTGATACGTCGTCGGGTAGTAAAGAGCCACCAAGTCCCAAGGAGGCTTCTCGCGAAGATCCACCGTGAGAAACCTTCCATTGCCAGCGTCCCACAGCCATGCCGGCATTGCATCGTCTTCTAGAAGGAGCACAAACCTTGGGCTTGTCAGCAGGCCACCCATGGAATCTTGCATCCATATAAAGCAAGTTCCCATGGGTGTCTCTCAATGGTGGTGATGGAATGAGACGACTGTATTACTACATATGTTGCGCAGAGCAACGTTCAGATGTACCATTTGTTGAGCGCCGGTAGCTTGGAGAGTGAGCGCCGGATGCATGACATGAATCAGATCCATGCCAAAATTTTCCTCTTGTTCAGCTCTCTGATCGCTTTCTCCACCTCCTTCCCCGTTCTAGGCACATCATCATGATCAGGTCATATCACCCTCTTCATCCCCTTCTCCATTCTCTTCCCCTTCCCCTCTCTCTCTCCCGTCCTCCATCTCCGTATTCGCATTTAGGGCAACGCTACTTCTCCCCTCGCCTTTTCCTTTCCAAGCGGCCACGCGCCTCGAGTCTAAAGCCTGCAGCAGCTGCACGACTCGCTGCTACGTGGGCTCCAGGTTTTGCGGGTCGTATCGCGGCGCGGATGTGATTGCAATGCACAGGCCGCTCGGCGCGCTTGCATTCACGCGTCGCCCCTCATCCTCTGAGCCAGCGGCATCTAATTGGTCGCTTGAGTTTCCAGTTGGCTTCTCAGGCGGAATGGTTGACCGTCGAAAGGGAGGTACGCGAGGCGCGAAGAAGTCCTCGCTGACGTGGCGACGAAGGTGGAGTGGATGAAAGGAGCTGGAGACACGAAAAAAACAGCCAATCCGAATGCAGACTTGGCCATGCAGCGAGGATATTTGATGAAATCAAGCGCCAAATAGCTAAGGTGCCTAAAACGCGATCTGTCTGCTCGGCGCGCTTATGCGAGGAGAGGGAGTGAAGATGGGAGACAGCGAGGTATGAGCGGGCAACGAGGATACCCCACGGGAATCAGACGGCTGCGATCGCCGCGAGGACGAGAACTCGCATTCCTACGCGTCGATTGCTGCGCGGCATTTCAGGTCAGCAACGCGGGGGACGTGAGCTCGAGCGACCATGACTTAGCAGAAAAATTGGCATGAAGGGGGAGCTGGTCAAGGGAGGGCTGTGCATATTTGTTGCTTCGGTTGGGATGGGTTGGGTTAGCTTTCAGCATGAACACAAAGTGCTTCTGCACTAGGCCATGAAGAAATCTCGAGGTGTTATTGTGAGCGCCTATAACGAGTCGAATTCAGCACCCTTCCACTCCCGCACTTTTCTGCTCTTTCCCTCTCAGTTTCGGGAATCCCAAGGCTGCTGTGTTTGCCTGCTCGCGCTTCAACCTTGTCGCACCTCACACGCAACCCCCTGCGCTCCTTTCCCTATATACTGTCGTTTCTCATTCAGATCCCTGCTGCTCCAAGGCATTGTCTGCGACATGTCCAGTAGACGTGCGAAGGTGCTGCTAGGTGTAACTGTTCTCGCGACTGTCGCTGGCGTCGCATACGTGCACCAGCTGCAAGTGAAGGAGCGAGAGGTGTGCGACCTCTTCTCATTGCCTATATTCGGGACTTCCTCTTTCATCCGTCACGCTTATATTCTCTCAGCACTGTGTTCACCGTATCATTGTCACTTAGTAGCACTTCGTCATTGCACGAATCCTCTTCGTCTGCTCATGGTGTTTAATCGCGTTTCTCAACTATCACTCGTTTCCTCGAATCCCCTGTCGCCACGTGGCACAGAACCTCCACCGCGGCGTGCTGCGCGACGACCAGCTTTTGGAAGAGAAGCGTCGCCAGTTCCAGTCGCAGACCCAGCCGTCGCATTCGCCAATGTCGCTGACGCAATCGTCGCAAGCATCCCCTCCAGCAACGCAGCAGCAGTAACCCGACTTCGAGACACCACACGAGGCATCAGGACATTCTGTCTCAGATCCAATCACAACCGTCAGAGCCTTCATCCTTGGACCCGATCCCCCCACTCTCTTTTAGATATTCCGTTTCAAGCACCAGCAGCCATTCTTACAATGCAGCCTGGCCAAGATACGAACGGAATGGCATCATCATCAGAGCATCTTCACATGCGCATACCAGCAGCGGATCAGTCTCCACTCTTCCAGCTCTCCGCCATGCTCCCTCGATCTCCTCCCCTCCCCCCATCTCCTCCCCACTCCCCGTCATCTTCTCCGTCATCCCCCTCTCCCTTCCCTTCCTCCTCCGTTAACCCTCCCCCTTCCGCCTCCCCCTCCCCCTTCTGGCGGATGCCTCTCTCCCCCTCCCGCGTCTACCTTATTGATTCTCCCGCCTCCTTCGGGGCGGCAAGGGTTGACGTTATCCTGTCCAGGGCAATCATGGTGGGACTTGATGCTGAGTGGCGGCCTTACAGACTCCGACGGGAAATGGCTGAGCTGGCGCAACAGACTGACGTGGCGCAACAGACTGACGTGGCAGCTACATCATCACTTCAAGCAGCAGCGGCATCAGCAGCAACAGCAGCAACAGCAGCATCAGCGGCAGCAACGGCAGCAGCAGCAGCGTCATCTGCTGCAGACGTGCTTCTCCCCCATCGTGTGGCACTGCTGCAGATCGCATGCCGCGTGCCTCTAGGGACATGCAACCACCACGAGCGTGACAGTAATGGGCGTGATCAGTCGCAGCAGCAGGGAGGAGAGGAGCAGAACAGCGGGGTATCAGCAGGGGGGCAAAGCCAGCCACAGCATGTGGGGCAGCGTGAGGATGAGACAGTATCATTGCCACATCAGGCGGACAGTTTGCAACAGGCAGGCAGAGGGCAGGATGCGGATGGGTGGGAGGCGGTGGTGCTGCTGCTGGACCTTCTGTCTCTCCCGCCTTCTCTCTACGCTCCCCCTCTCCGCGCCATGCTGTGCGCCCCGCACACCCTCAAGCTTGGCTTTGCCTTCTCAGACGACCTCGAGTTCCTCCACCAATCCCTCCCTCTATACCATCACTCTTTCTCCTCCCACCACCAGTCGCCATCCCAACACCAAGGCCACCAATCCCCTTCCACATACCACCCCTCCCACCCCACCCACCCCTCCCTTCCCCCGGGCGACCCCTCCCACGACTGCTTCCACCACGTGTCGCCCTTCATAGACGTGGGCACGGCCTACCACCCCATTCATAGACGTGGGCACGGCCTACCACGCCATTCGCCGCACCCGCCTGCACCTCAAGCGAGACAACCTGCTCTCCCTCCTCACCGCCGCCGCCCCTCCCGGCTCCTTAGTCGCCAGAGCAGTGCTGCCGCCCGCTTCAGGGCTGTCAGCTCTGGCGCAGGTGCTGCTGGGGGCGGCACTGGTAAAGGAGTTGCAGTGCAGTGACTGGGAGCAGCGGCCGCTGCCTCGCCACCAGCTGCTCTATGCTGCTGCCGATTCCCTCTGCCTTATTCACATGGCGCTCGCGCTTCTCCCCCTCGCTCTGCGGCCCCATGCACTCTCCGCCCATGCCCTTTTCGCAAATGGAAAGGGGCAGGTTGGACTAGCAACAGTACACGGAGGCCCATCCACGTCACCATCCTTGTCAGCATCATCCTCGTCAGCATCCTCGTCAGCATCTCCTTGTGTTGTTCACCAGCCCATTCCGGCTGCATCTGTTTTAGTAACTGTGTGTACTGTCACGCCTGCACTCCCACCCTTACAGTCACACCATCGCCTCATACACACCATCCAGCATCAGCAGCATCATCAGCATCATTATTATGAGCACCAACATCACAATCAGCAGCAGCAGCAGCAAAACAAGACTGCAACCCTCACCGCAGTCACCAGCACCAGCACTCTCGTTGCTGCCCTATCCGAGCTCATAGAGGAACATTCCTACACGTTCTCCCTCTGCCACATCACTGGAAAGGTGCGCTCTGTGGGTAAGAGCACGGATGGCATTAACAACAGCACCAGCACTAGCAGCGGCAGCAACAGCAGCGGCAACAGGGCGAGTTTGGGCCAAGGGAGGGCAGGGAAGGGGAGGGTTGGCTCAGGGGAGCGGTTGAACTCGAGAAAAGGGAGGAAGCAGGCACGAGAGAGTAGGTTGAGAGCAGGCGTGAAGCTCTTCCGGCGCCGCGTGCTGCCGCCCAGCCACATGCACCTCATTAGAAGCACCGACAACCGCGAGCAGCTCCGCGAGGTGGTAACCGCGTTCCGCCTGCTCCTGTGCCAGTCCTCGCTGCTCTCGCGCTGCATCCGCTGCAACGGAACCTTCAGGCCGCAGGCTCTGGGGCCGGCAGAGGCAGCAGCGGCGGCGCCGTGGGCACCGGTGGTGCCGAGTCACGTGTTGGATCGAGTGGTGGAGTGCTGGCAGTGCTGCCAGTGCCAGCACCTGTACTGGGAGGTGAGACCTGACATGTGTGCAAAACATCTCAAAAGGCAGAATCGGTGGTGTTATGGTCTCAGGTGGTGCCCTGCCTTTTCTTGGCTCGAGTGGTGGAGTTCTGGCAGTGTGGACAGTGCCAGCACCTGTACCGGGAGGTGAGGTGTGAGATGCGTGGAGGGAGGTATGAGGCATGTGGGAGGGAGCTGCGCCGTTATGTCTCCTTGCTTCCCTGTCAACATCTCTCTCACACTCTCTCTCGTCCTCCATGCCTCTCCGTTGCGCCCCCACTTCCAAAGCTGCCAGTTTGATCGCGCCATCAAGCAATTCACAGAGGTATGCCAGCTGTCAGCTGTGCTGGCGCAGACGAATGTTTCAGCCAGCAGTTGATTCTTTAGTCGAGTCAAAAGCCATCAAGCAAATAGGTGAGGTGTACCAGCTGAGCTAGTGCAGCAGACTAACATTGTGGCCAGCAGTGCAGTTCATCCTGCTCTGCAGGGGTCTTCATGTCATTCAATGCGCTCCGACACGCCTACAGAACACCTAGAGAAGCAACAGTCTTCAGTGTGTTGCTCACCACTTTCAGGTTCATCCCCACCCTAAGCCAAGTTGACACAGCCAAGGCTGCATGCTGAAATTTCAGGTCCGAGTCACATCATAAACACACTGAGAATCAGAGTGTCCTAAGAGCCTGGCAGAATTACTTACAGGAGCTTTTGATGAGCTATAGTTTTCACATATTGGAACTAGGTGGAATCACACTTCCTTCCCTAGATGGATACATGAGATGATGGGTTTCGCTCACCTAGCCTTGTTAAATCCAGAACACATACATTCAGTTGGGATTTATTTTGTATGGAGTCTGCTATTCCAAGAAAAGCGCTCTGTTTAGGGTTGAAGCATTCATATCGGTATTTTCTTATCGGTTGGTCTGGTCTGATTAGGCTGGTGTGTACAGTACAGCGGATGTGCGTGGAGGGTCGAGGTGTCTCGAATTTGGTGATGTGACGAATCTTATCAGTACGAAACAGCGCCGTGATTTGGCCAGCGTGGCAGCGTGTCATTCTGGCGCGGAATTGGGGGCGATAAATTTCTGGGTTTTTAGCTACGCCAGAAGAGGTACTTACGACCCTGCGCTCTCCACGGACCTTCATCTCTACATGCACAGAGTTTCCAAGGTTTCGACGCCCATGCAGAAGACTTATGGGGCTGATGTCAGAATAACTAGGCAAGAATGATGCATTGAATGAAACAGTTGGGTACAAGTAGCAAACCCTAGTTGGGGTTGTACCCCATATTGGCTACCCCACTACAGCCTACCAACATATAACACATTACAATTTAACACACCCCCATAGGCAAAGTGGGGGAGAACAAAGGGTCACAAGACCAGTCCAGCAAAGCAATGCAAGCCCAGGGTGGATCACAAAGTCACCACACTCCGAGCACAAGCAAAGGCCACAAGGCCAGTTCACATGCAGTGCTAGATATAGTACAAGACAAGTAACACAGTGATCAAAACCTAGCAAGCAAGCAACAAGATATATATAAAGTACAGTACAAAGAATGTCAAGCAGTGAGCAAGTGAGGAAACGTGGACACAAGGCCTAAAGAAGTACAGTGCCGCTGATGATCACTAGGCGGGAGCGCCTTGGTGAAGATATCAGCAGTGTTGGCCTTCGAGTCCACGTACACAAGCCGAAGCTGACCGCGCTGCTGAAGCTCTCGAGCAAGAAAGTAGCGAAGGGCAATGTGCTTCGTCCCGTGCTCCAGTCTGTGCTCCTGACACAAGGCAAGAGCCGCCTTGTTGTCACCGTACAGAACTGGAGGAGAACTAGGCCGCTCTCCCAAGTCAGTCAGCAGGTAGGTGAGCCAGCGTAACTCCTGTGCAGCCATGGCTGTGGCGTAGATCTCAGCCTCACAACTAGAGCCGAGAACAGAGGAAGAGCGGGTGGACCGCCACGAGACAGAACCAGAACCAAGGCTGAAGGTGTAACCCTGTGACGACCGCTGCGTAGCCAGGTCGTCCACCCAAGAAGCGTCCGAGTGACCAGTGAGGACAACTCTGTCGCGTCCTCCAAGCACCAGCCCCATGCCTGATGTACTGCACAAGTAACGCAGCACCCTCTTAGCAGCCTCCCAGTGCTCTCGCCTGTGTCTCCCAGGCGCAACGTAACGAGCAAGGATGCTAAGAGGGTACGCGAGGTCAGGTCGCGTGCAAGTCATCAGGTACATGAGGCAGCCTACAAGCTCTGGGTACGGGCCACTCGGCTCTACGGACTCGTCCGAAGGTGGAGCTGAGAGTGAGTGGCTGGTAGCCAGAGGTGTGGCCTGTGGTGAGGAGAACTGGAAGCCGAAGCGCTGAAGGACCTGCTGCACCATGTGTGACTGAGTCAGGGTGATGGTGCGGCGAGCTCTGTCCCGGGTGATCTGCAAGCCAAGGTAGCTACGCAGTTCACCCAGGTCAGTGCAGGTGTGTCTCTTCTGCAGCTCCGACTTCACACGAGCGAGTGCCTTAGTGTCAGCAGTAGCAAAGACCAAGTCGTCGACGTACACGAGAATGTAGAACGGCGGCAGCGACGTGTCTGTGCGCAGAAACAGCGACGGGTCAGCAGTAGACGGCGCGAACCCAAGAGCCGCAAGTGTAGTCCTCAGTGTGTCGTGCCACTCACGTGGCGCCTGGCGGAGACCGTAGACTGGCCGGCGGAGGCTCCACTGGGTACCAGGGGGAAACGACCCAGTAAAGCCAGGTGGGCGGCGCAGCCAGATCTCCTCGTGCAGGCTGCCCTGCAGGAACGCTGTGCTGAAGTCAAGAGAGTGAAGCTCGTAGTCACGCTGAGCAGCAACGTGCAGCAGAACCCGAAGAGTGGTCATCTTCGGGGTGGGGGAGAAGGTCTGGAAGAAGTCGACCCCCTGACGCTGACTGAAGCCTCTAGCAACGTAACGAGCCTTGAAGACAGGCGGAGAACCTGGCGGCCGCTTCACCCTGAAAATCCACATGCCATCGACGATGTTCGCCCCAGGAGGGGGAACCTCGTCGACGTAGGTGCCTGTGGACTTCCAGGATGCCATCTCTGCGTCCATGGCTGTCTGCCACTGAGAGGAGTAGGGACCCGAGATCGCCTCTGCGTAAGTGCGCGGAGTGGGGATGTCTAGTGCATCCGGGTCTCCCTCAGGGGCAAGCAACCAGGCCACGAGATGAGGTACAGCAGCCGCGAGAGAGTCAAAGTCCTCCTGCCTGTCCTCAAGGACGTCCGTGCCAAGAGCACACTCACCCCCGACGGACGGAGGACAGACAGACGCAGACTCAGACTCAGCAACAAGGCTAGCAGCGTAGTCTAGACGACAGGCAGCAGCAAAGTCAACCAACTCAGCGACCAGAGCAGACGCAGCCGAGGACTCAAAGGTAGGGTCAGTGACAACAGTAGCTAGGAGACGCGTGACAGTAGGGTGCTCAGCGCGATACCGGTCAGACTCAGGGTCCGGAACGGCAGGCAAAGAGGACGCAGGAGGAGACGGTAGAGGGACACGCTGAGGAGCAGTAGAGGGACGCAGAGTCATGTAGTGAGTGCCTGGGACAGGAGGAGGACGCTCACGACGGACACGACGACCAGTGCGAGCAGGACGAACAGGCGACGCAGGACGAGACTCAGGCTCACGACGCTCTGTAAGACCTCCTGTGGGACCAGTGTAAGGAGAGGGAGCAGGGAGAGGCGAGGTAGGCGGTAACTGTGACTGCGGCTGGACAGGCGGAGGACACTCTACGGAGGGAGGAGGACAAGGAGGAGGAGCCTGCCCAAGAACCTGCTGAAGGAGCGGTACGAAGTACGGTCGCGGCCGCGCAGCGTCTCCAGAAGCAGAAGAGACTCCAGCGGCCGGGTCCTCAGTACCAGCAGCAGCGCCACCGCTCGGGTCCTCAGCTCCAGCAGCAGCTCCACCAGGTGGGTCCGCAGCACCAGCAGCAGCGCCACCCCCAGGGTCCGCAGCACCGCTAGGAAGAGCACCCCCAGAGTCGGCAGCTCCAACTCCGCTAGCACCGCCAGCTCCAGAGTCCCCAGCTCCAGCAGCTCCAGTCGTAGTGCTCCCAGAACAACCAGTCCCGGCAGCTCCAGTACCCCCAGTACGAGCACCCCCAGGACGAGCAGCTCCAGCACCCCCAACTCCAGCCGAGCCACGAGGACGGCGAAAGCGCCGGACGTACCAGTCACGAAGCTGCTGCGGTGTGAGAGACTGCTCAGCACCCCGAACCGGAGCACCCCCAGACACAGCAACCCGAGGCTCCGTAGGCTCAGTAGCAGCACCCCCAGGCTCAGTACCCGCAGGCGCAGCACCCCCAGACTCCGCACACGCAGGCTCAGCACTCCCAGTCGCAGCACCCCCAGGCACAGCACCCCCAGGCGTCGAACTCTCAGGCACAGTACCCTCAGCCCCAGCACCCGCAGTCCCAGCACTCCCAGGCCCAGCACCCGCAGGCTCAGCACCCCCAGACTCAGCACTCCCAGCAGCACCACCTGCAGCAGCACCTGAGTCACCTGTGACCTCGACAGGCTCAGCGACGGGAGGAGGGTCTACCTGAGAGACACCTGAAGGAGCAGGACCCTGAGGGGGGAGGGGGTCTACCGGAGGGGGACCAGGAGCAAGGAACAGCGGCGGGGGAGGGAGGGGGGCAGTGCGGTAGGGGAAGAGACGGTAAAAAGGGACCGACTCGTCAAAGGTGACATCCTGAGAGGCGAAGACCCGGCGCGAGGTGGGGTCGTAAAACTGCCAGCCAGGCGCGTCAGGGACAAAGCCAAGGAAGACACAGGGAAGCGTGCGGGAGGAGAGCTTGTCCGCGGACGTATCGCGGACAAGGGCACGAGCACCCCACACCCGGAAGCGCGACGCATCGCCAACCTCCCCCGTCCAACGCAGTGTGGGCGAGGTCTCCGGCAAGGAGACACGGGGCCAGAGGTTGAGCTGATGCGCGGCGTACCGGACAGCAAACGGCCACAGAAAATGGGGAGCCGCCGCGTGGACCAAGGAGGTACGAGCGACCTCCATGACCAGGCCAATGCGGCGCTCAGCAACCCCATTCTGCTGCGGGGAGTCCGGAAGCGTGAAGGTCTGCTCGATGCCCTCCGCCTGACAGAAGGTCCTCAAGAGATCGGAGGAAAACTCACCACCTCTGTCAGAGTGCAGACGCAGGACAGGAAGATCCGTCCGGAAACGGCGGCGGAGCTGGAAACGAACTATGCGGATCCAAGGGATTAGAACAGCAGGGACCTCACCCTTGGTGCGCAAGGGGAAGACCGTGGTGTAACGCAAGTAGTCGTCGACAACCAGCAAAAAGTACCGCTCACCGCCCTGACCACGAACGCGGGCTGGGCCCCACACGTCCAGGTGGAGGGTCTGCAGAGGAGCCTCTGTCGGGGGGAACGAGGAGGAGTGAGGAGCGGCGCGCTGCCGCCCCTCGACGCAAGGAAGGCAAGGCGGCGCAGGCGAGGCAGGGAGGGGAGGGAGGGACCTGGGAAGACCAGACACAAGGTGGCGACGGTGCATGCCACGAAGGCGTGGCAAGGAGGGGTGACCCAGGCGGTGGTGCCAGAGAAGAGTCTGGTGCGACAGGGAACGACACTCACAGGCGTGGGCCACCAGACCAGACGCAGACACCTGACCGACAGCAGCGACCTGAGGAGACGTAGTGGTCAGTGTGTAGAGACTCGACCCCGGCCGACGGGTAAACGTAGCCAGGTGACGGCCGGTCCTGGAGCACGTGCAGATCGCCACACGCTGTCCTCCAGGGGTAAAGGTGTCAACCCACTGATCCTGGATGACAGCGTTGCTCACCAGGTTCGTCGAGAACGAGGGGAGGTGGAAACCCGACAACGAGCCAGACGGAACCGCCGGACAAGGGAGTACAGTGGTGGACTGGGCAAGGACTGGGCCCCCAGAGGGGTCAGCCAAGGAGACTGGGACCGGTGCAGGAAGCGGTGTGAGCTCAGTACTGTCACGAAAGAAGCAACGGGAAGCACCTGAGTCAAGGGTGAAGGTGTGACAGGCCTCAGCCGGTGCGGTACCTGAGAGAGCAGTCTCTGTGGGTGCTGTACCTGAGAGAGCAGACTCGAAACCAGCCAGGACAGCACTGGGGGGAGCAAGTACAGGGGGCACCATACCAGAGAGAGCAGACTCACTAGTACCCAGGGCAGCGGGCTCTATACCTGGATCAGGCGGCACACACAAGTAACAGTCTCCCTCGGCACTAACAGTCAATGCATACATGGCAGCAATAATAGCATCATAGTCAAGAGCAAAGACATCAACACCAGCCCTCATGAGCTCAGCCCAGCGGGGGCGCTCAACATCCTCACCCATCTCCTCACGCCAAGCGTCGTCAAGGCGGGAGAAGCAGCGGTACGGGGTGTGGAACCTCCCACACGTCTGTCCCTTGCGGTCACCTGTGCGAATGACATAGGAACAGCGGCCACTGCCCCCCGACGTCCCACGCTGAGCAAGCCACTCACGAAGCTGCTGGGTCGTCTGGGGACGCTGCTGCTGCTGGGAGCTCTGGCCCGAGCCAGTGCCTCCACTCCGACCTCCGCCGCCACCACTACCACCGCTCCGACCGCCACCGCCACCACCGCCACCACCGCCACCGCCGCCACCACCGCCGCCGCCACTACTGCCACTGCTTCCTCCGCCGCCCCCGCCTCCACCGCCGACCCCACTCCCACCAGCGCTCCCGCCACCGCTCCCTCCAGCACCGCCTCCCCCCCCACCTCCCCCACCTCCTCCCCCCCCAGCGCCACCACCACCACCCTTGCCCCCCTTGCCCTTGCCGGTGCGGCGCCTCCCACCAGGAGCAGAAGCAGCGCCAACAGACTCAGCACCAAGGAAGTCAACAGTAGCAGCAGTAGCGTAGGAGGGAGCGAGGGGAGAGGGAGAACACCCCTCAAAGATGGGGGTGCGAGGAGCGCCACGAGCAGCACCGACAGCTACAATGCTCTTTTCGGCTGTGAGCAGCTGCTCCTCTAGGAGGGGGACTGTGAGCTCAGTGGGACAGCGAGCAAGGAAGTGGTCTCGAACTGAGCTGAGGGTGTCAGGGAGACGGGTGACTATGAAGTGGAGTGTCCAGTACAGTGGAGGGGGGTTCTTAGCGCAGAACTCGGTGGGAAGGGCGGCACGCAGGCGAGCATCACTAGTGCGAAGGTGGGTGATAAGATCGGCGACTGTAGCAAAGGTGGACAGATCGGGGAACAGGTACGGCAGCATGAGGCGGCTAAGCTCGGCTGTGGCAGGCGAGGAGTAGCGAGCAACGACAGCATCATACAGGGCCTTAGCGGATTTGCAGTCGCCAAAATGCTCGAGCTCAGCTAGCGGCAGGTGACTGCGAATGGCTAGGCGAGCAGCTGCGTCACGAGTCTGCCAGTGGGAACGAACACTAAGCTCAGCTGTGGCAGGGGGGGCAGGTGCAGCACCAGACGCGTAATCATAGAGCGACACATGCTCCTTGCTATCGCTCAGAAGGAACAGCTGCAGGTCATCCAGCCAAGTGGCGAACTTCACAGGGCGGCCCTCAGCATCGAACGACAGCACGCGGATGGAAGCCATAGCGACAGTGCGACTGAGCAAAGGAAGCTGCCACAGCGCTGCAGGTAGGTAGCTCGGCGGGAAGCGCGGCGGGCGGGCGACGCAGTGAGCAGGTAGTGCGGGGGGCGGGCTACGAAGCGGGCAGCGCGGTGGGCAGGCGGCGCTGCAGGCGAGAAGCGCGGCGGGCGGGCTGCGAAGCGGGCAGCGGGGCGAGCGGGCGACGCGGCGAGCGGGCAGCGCGGCGGGCGGGCTGCGAAGCGGGCAGCGGGCGGGCGGGCGACGCTGCAAGCGGGCAGCGGGCGGGCGGGCGACGCTGCGAGCAGGCAGCGCGGCGGGCGGGCTGCGAAGCGGGCAGCGGGCGGGCGGGCGACGCTGCAAGCGGGCAGCGAGGCGGGCGGGCGACGAAACGGGCAGCGGGCGGGCGGGCGACGCTGCAAGCGGGCAGCGAGGCGGGCGGGCGACGCTGCGAGCGGGCAGCGCGGCGGGCGGGCGACGCTGCGAAGCGGGCAGCGGGCGGGCGGGCGACGCTGCGAGCAGGCAGCGCGGCGGGCGGGCTGCGAAACGGGCAGCGCGGTAGGCGGGCGACGCTGCGAGCGGGCGGCTCGGCGGGCGGGCGACGCTGCGAGGGCGCTAGCGAGGGCGCGCGAGGGCGCTAACGAGGGGCGCGCGAGGGCGCTAACGAGGGGCGCGCGAGGGCGCTAACGAGGGGCGCGCGAGGGCGCTAGCGAGGGGCGCGCGAGGGCGCTAACGAGGGGCGCGCGAGGGCGCTAACGAGGGCGCGCGAGGGCGCTAACGAGGACGCACGAGGGCGCTAACGAGGGCGCACGAGGGCGCTACGAGGCTAGGGCACGGGGTAGCGTGGTAACCGCATGCGAGCGGTGGTGGGCCCTTAAAAAAAAACGGTCGGTAGGTCCTAGGGACCTCCTGCTCTGAATACCATGTCAGAATAACTAGGCAAGAATGATGCATTGAATGAAACAGTTGGGTACAAGTAGCAAACCCTAGTTGGGGTTGTACCCCATATTGGCTACCCCACTACAGCCTACCAACATATAACACATTACAATTTAACAGCTGAGACAGAACTCGGCTCCACGTTTAACCACGTGTCAGTCATTGCACATCCCAACTACTGCTGCTGCCCACAGAGAAACAGTGCACAACCGCTTTTGTTATTTTCTACCGAGCCAAAACCACGTTCTGGATGGCTCGGCAGCTCACTGTTTCGAAATCTGGGGATGTGCACTGTCGCGCCCAATCTCTGTCCAGTCCAGTACACTGGAACACCCGCCAGGCCGCCACAGGAAACGGAGACGAACTCCGTCTAAGCCAGCGACTTCAAACCTAACGTAAAACTGCAGCCCTCTCACCCTACTCTAATTCACTCTCCAACATAACGTAGCATCCGTACCCGATCGTTACAAATTAGGGTTAGCTTCACAGCGAGTGGTGTTAACTCCATGGTTTATTTATCCTCCTACGTTTCCAGCGGACACACACCTTGCGTACAATTTCCGTTCGGTAACATTCGTATGCCGCTGTCGCGGCATCACGTATTCTCTTAGGTACGCCATATTGCCTTTCACACCGACCCTTTTACCACCATTTTCCATAGCACTTTGCCTACGACTCTCCAATAGCCGCTAGTCTTTTCCATCTTCTCGGTATCATCTTTCCGTTTTCTATTCCGCCACGAGCACTCATTGGTAAGCTATACCAAAGTACCGCCCACCTTCATTTTCATCTTCGCCACTTACTCTTTACTCGTCAATCAAGTTTCAGCTCACCTCTACACACACTACATTGCTATTACCGATTTTGAGCAATCTTCACGACACATGTCGCGCGTAACCTTCCTCTTTCAAATAATCACCACACCTACTCTACTCTGTTCGCATACTAGAACAACTATTTAAGTTGTTATTCTCAACTTCACGTATACTATCACGCAACCCCTCCCTCCTCACAACTTTTAGGTTTTCTCCTATGGTCTATTGATTCAATCATTCTGGCTCGGTTTCTCAACGAATGTCTTTTACTTTTTGTTGCTGCTTTTCACAAAATCCAAAGCTCCTTACAACTCTGAGTGTACAGGTTTACAACTACTGTGAATAAGAAGGCTCCGTGTGCACAATGTTCAGAAGCACTCTCTCAAGGTGATGTCACTTGTTTATTGTTGCAGCGTTATGTTTAGGCAGGCAATGTTTGGCAGTTTGCCCGGATGATGGCTGCTGTCTTCTCGGGGAAATCAGCGACCCCAAGATCCCCATACAGCTGACGCCCCTCCTGCATTGCGGTCGCTTGCTGTGTTATAAACTCAAGCAACACTTGCGCAGGATTGTCCCTCCTTATTTTATGCATGGAGGCATGGTGTGACTCCACCGGGTTAGATGTGTAGCAGCCAAATCGCGCTGCACCGAATAAAAAGGTAGCCCAATGAGCGCCCAAACCTTCTCTCTCTAAGTACTCTTTCCCCCCCGGGCATTCCTCCTCGATTTTCTCCAAGTAGCCTCGGTGCACATCTCTTGTCAATGCTGTGTCAGAATCACTAGGCAAGAATGATTGAAAGGAGAGGGGTTGAACTAGCAGGCAGTTGAGTACAAATAGCAAACCCTAGATTGGGCTGTACTCGCTATAGAGTACCCCACTGCAGGCTAGACAATAATAGCATTCTGACACACCCCCATAGCCAAAGTGGGGTGTAATCAGCAGAGCAAGCAAAGCAGTACAAGCTCAGGGTGGATCACAATGTCACCACACATTCTGAGCACAAGTTCAAGAAGCAATAGTTTAAAGTTCACAGTTATGAGCAAAGCTAGAGGCAGTCACAGAGGGCAAGCGAGGAGGAGGAGGGCTGGCGAGAGGAGAGAAGATGAAAGGCGCCGACTGAAGCTGCAGACACACGGGCAACAGGAGCGGCGCGCACAGTGGCTACCGAGCGCACGAGGGCACCGGACTACGGGAGTATCTGGCTCCGCGGCTACGACGAGCACACACAGGAGCAACGGACCCACAGGCGACTGGCGAAGCAGGCTCGCTGGGCTACCGAAACGCGCGAGGGCATCCGGACTACTGGCGCTGCTGGCGTCACGACGGCTACCTCCACGCAATCTCCCCCGACCGTCCCACCCCCCTCTCACACACCCCCTGCTGACACCCTAGCTCCACTCCGACGGTACCCCCCTTAAACCCCAAACCCTAGGCTCCCACACACCACCCCCCTCAGCGGCAGCTGTAGCAGAGGGAGACGAGGGAGGAGGAGGAGCAGGGGGAGGAACTCACAACCGACACCCCCATAGCCGCCACCCCCACACTCTTCACCCCCAAACCCTAATTTAGGAGAACGGGCTGTAGGAGGGGTGAGGCGCCGGTAGAAGCACGGGGGACAGTGGAGAGGGCAGGAGCAGCGAGGAACGGGCCGCCCACGGGCCTGGTAGAGCCGCCCGAACCGCGCGCAGGCGGCCCGAGCCGCGCGCGGGCCTGGCGCTTCCCGTACGGGCCGCGCGCGTGCCTGGCGCAGCCCGTACGGGCCGCGCGCGGGCCTGGCGCAGCCCGTACGGGCCGCGCGCGGGCCTGGCGCAGCCCGTACGGGCCGCGTGCCGGGTGTACGGGCCGCGCACAGGCCGTGACGGGCGACGGGGGGCGACGCGCGGGTCCCCGTCGCCCGTCGCAGCGCCTCCCGGGGGCGACGTGCCGAGTGACGGGGCAGGAACCCGCCGCGCGCCTCGGGGCACACGGCGGGCAGAGAACCGCCGCGCGCCTCGGGGCGCACGGCGGGCAGAAAACCGCCGCGTGCCTCGGGGCGCACGGCGGGCTGAAAACCCTAGTTTCGACGCCGCGCGCCACGGGGCGCGCGGCGGACAGGGAGTAGCAGTAGCAGTAGCAGTAGCAGCGGAAGGCTTAGGTGGTGGGCCCACCCACAGGATCGACCCAGGAGGGTCGACCTGCTCTGATAGCATGTCAGAATCACTAGGCAAGAATGATTGAAAGGAGAGGGGTTGAACTAGCAGGCAGTTGAGTACAAATAGCAAACCCTAGATTGGGCTGTACTCGCTATAGAGTACCCCACTGCAGGCTAGACAATAATAGCATTCTGACATGCTGCTGCAGCAAGCTCAATCTTGCCATCCGAATCCGAGCCGAATTTCGAGTTGAAGTTTCTTACCAAGTGAGCGACACAAAATGATTCGCGCATCCCAGACAACACCCTTGCAGCAGCAGCCTTCCAAGCTTTACCACGATCATGCATCAATGTAAAAGTTGGGGTGTTGATCTCAGGAGCAGCTAGTTTCAGCTGCCCCAAAAAATACTCACATGAATCGGCATTCTCCCCTTCTACCCAGGCACTCCCTAGCCTGACCAGCTTGTGTTCACAGTCAAGCATGCATGCATTCAGGGTATATCCTCCCCACTTCCCTTTGTTGTGACAGCCATCAACAAAGACGACTGGCAAGCAGTTTTTGACTATTTCTCGAACTCCGGGGTAGACCAATGAGGCTCGATGAAACATTCCGTCCTTCACCGACGTAGACACCACACATGACGGATTGTCTCTCTTGAAAACATCCAAGATGCTGGGTATGTGTTGAAAGCCGGAGTCTCCAGCTAGCGGGTCCTCGCAAACGACAGCATTAATTGATCGACCGCACGTACTGTAGCAGCACTCCACCCCTAGTTTCTCTTTAACCATGTTTCGAAGACCAGCGGGCCTAATCTCACTATGAGGATGTACTTCACGCACCAACTTCTTAACCTGCTCCCTCCTTAACCAACTTCTTCCGGAAGCACTGTTCATTACCATTCAGGCAATAATGTTGACCATTTCGGAAATGTTGGTTAGTACGGTGGCGATGAGAAGATACCTTTGTTACGATCTGGACACGTGGCTTACCTTCCGTGCGAACGAGCTCAATGAGTGTTACCGCGGAGGTAATTGCCCTAATATATTGCACTGCCTGCGTACAATCGAGTCAGCAAGCTGACCGCGGGCAAGAAAAAAACTAAAACCCACTCGGATGGCATGCCATCCGAGGGAGCCTCAACCCTAAAATTTTAGGGTTGAAGCTCCCGAATGGCATGTCGTAAGCCATGGGTTTATTGTTTTTGCCCGCGGTCAGAATGCTGACTCAGTCGGTAGCGCTGACCTTTTTTCCCGCGCTAGGTGTCATTGAATGCTGGAAGGACCAAATCGGACCAAATCGCAATCTCTAAACTCGACCTGCTTGACACCATCGTACGTACTGTGCAGACCTGCACCACGACAAAAACAAAATCATGCGGGACGTTAAAGAGGAATAACCTAAACCAACTCCGACAAAGTTACGTACCTGTGGTGACACACTCAACACCAACCGATAAAAATTGTACCATACCGCGTAAGAAACTCAATGTAGGGTCGATCGGAGTTTTGGAATTCGAAATAGTGCTGACGTGGAGCACGAGTGGTCGATCTGACACAAAATTGAAAACCGTCTGGTTTAGTGATTTTTCCAATATATTATCCAAAACGCGACAGACTCTACCACCCACATACCTACGAAATTCGAGAAACCCTAACGCATAAGTAATCCTTGCGTCAGAGTGACCAATTCGTGCCTGAAAGTGTAGAAATTGGTCGGTCGATCGGAGTTTTGGAATTCGAAATAGTGCTGACGTGGAGCACGAGTGGTCGACCGATTTGACAAAATTGAAAACCGTCTGGTTTAGTGATTTTTCCGCCTCGTCAACAACTTACCGCACCTCCCCTTTCCCGCGTTTCTGTCCCTCGACCTCGTGAACAGCGCGCCTCGGATTTGGCTTTGTGTGGAGTGGATGTCACGTAACTCTTCTGTATTGGCGCGGAACTTCGATTTCGTGGTCGCCTCGCGTGTCGTCAGCAAGTGGGAAGCTTCGAACGCTTCTGTACAGTTCGGTGGGGATAATTCCTTGGCCGACATTCCTCGTCGATACTGTCTGTACATCCCCCTTCCCGCATTTTTGTCCCCCAAATTGAACTACCGACAGCCAAAGCGCATCGGATCGACGGGTGGATTTGGACAGAGCCTTTTGACAAACTCGACCCAGCGCTCCGGATGAACAGCCGTAATGCTTTACTGTACATGTGGTACAAATGTTCTGGGTTAAAGGCCATTGCTAGATGAGTCCATTTTCCATCTTGAGTAGAATTTTCCGATATTGCCTAGGGTTGTCCCGACCCCTATAGTCCCATCTTTGGTGGGAAATTTTGAGGCTTGACCGAATCATTGCACGAATCAGCTCCGCAGCCAATCAGAGGCTCCAGATTGAACCAGCCCAACATTCGGGGAAAACGATAAAGAAGGGATCATCGATTCGATGATTAACTTAAAAAATGTGAGTAATTGTTTTTCTTAACCATGATTACTTCTCAATTCTGATGCAATGTCACTAGTGCGCTCGAGGATGACATCACAATTGTCTCGTTTACAGGGTAAAACAGAAGTTATTACCTTCTATTCTAGCTTCCAACCATAATTGTTTTTTTTTGCCCGTTGGTCATGCGAAAGTTCTCAGCGCTTTGAACCGTTGCGACGAGAAGTTGAAGCAAGCGCGGTCCAAATCTAAGCAAACACGAAAGGCAAAAACTAGTAGAAAACAAACCACTGTGTATGCATTTTTCCTGAAAGGGACTATAAGTATCCCGTTTTTCCTGGGTTTGAAGGTTTCTCCATACAGTCCACGCGCTTCGGCTCAACCCGTCGGACTATAACCCGAAACATTTGTACAGCACTGTAGGGCCTCACTTGCCCGCTGACATGGGGCCACCCTAATCGTCACACACGCGATTCGGAAAGCAACAGCGCCAAACCCACTGACACGCGGTTGTAATCCGCCGTGGAAAGGCGAAAACCCTCCCCTCCCCACTCGCAACATTTGAGGTGGGGAAAGTTTTGGAACACAGAAAATTTTACGTTGACAGCATAGTCTCCATTTCCAAGCCAAGCAACACGCGGGTATCCATTTCAGGTTCTTGAGAAGGTGGGTTATACACCGCATGTGATATGTTTACAAAAATGTTTCTGACCGGCATCAGGTGGTGGTGACCACCACACCCCACTACTGCAATCCGCCTCACTACGGTTCTGAAACTGTACCGCCCCAAGCACTCTCGTCTCCCCCCCACACTCATCTCTCCTCCGACCTCACCAAGCAGCCCTGCTCCAAGGTTGTTCCTCCTCAAGTCTCCTCACAGAGCAGGAACACAAAATCACGCGCGAAGGATAGCGGCAGAAAAACACCCGCGAAACAGAGCGGCAGCCTGAGCAGCACACCCCAACAGCGTCACCAGTTTGGAAGGAGATTGGGTTTGGAACAACCAGTGTCTAGACACACCGCCCATTTGCTTGGTAGCTTGTATTTAACACAGACTAAGAATCGATAAGCTCTTGTTTCACGATTTCGGAGTTCAACTTTCATCCCTAATTTTCATCTGAGCGACCAACGAGCCTCAATCGGACGACGCTGGAGATCGACCACACTCATTCGCCCCCATCGCCAACCTGCGAACCGCCTCCATCCGCACCTCGCCCCCCGCCCAGCCCACCTTTCGATCTCTAGAGGTAAGCTGAAAGTTGATGGCTGCTTGTTTTACTTCATCGATTTTTCAGATGATTGTGTTTTAAGTTCTTCATCTTTACCTTTGAGTTCTTACTCTTCTGTGTTTGTAATGTTGCAGGTTCAAAACACCTCGTCCTCTTCAAGTCCCATACGACTCTACATACGATCTGCTGCTCTGCAGCCATCAAAGGAGACATTTCGCGGCTCTTCAATCTCAAGCCGTACGTGGCGGACATCCTGCCGCCTGCTCATCACGCTGTGCTGCTCTCCATCTTCAAACCGTGGCATGACGCGATCTGATGCTTCACAGGGACGACTCTGGAGATTTTCCACTACCATCCGCCCCCATCGCCGACCAACAAACCACCTCCATCCATCCATTCACCGCCCCCCGCCCAGCCCGCCTATCGATCTCCAGAGGTAAGCTCAAATTAGTTGTGTTTGCCTTTTTCTTTATTATTGTTAAGCATTTGGTCTTGAATGTCTTTTTGTATACTTATGGTTTCTAATTCTGTTGTGTTTGCATCTTTGCAGGTACAAATACACCGAAGCTCCAATGACGAATCTCCAATGACGAACTTCTGCTCTACGTCAACTGAACAAGCCGCAACGCTGCTGCTGCCGTTTGAAGATTTTTCAATCGAGCTTTCGCTCTTCAGCAACTAAAGAAACCCCTCCTCATTTTCAAGCCCTGCCTGGCGGATGGGAGTGCTGCTGCCGTTCTGATCGTGGCGTGACTCGCTGGACGTGCGGCTGCCGCGCTTCATCACGCTGCCAAGATTTATAGGGGAGTGTTGCTTCCCTTCAACCTCTTTTTTTTCCACCGCTTTTCCTCGTTTCGTTTCGCCATCATCGCCCGTTCGTTAATCGCTTGTTATCCACCGTCCATCTGGTTCACATGGCTGTAGCTGCAGATGATCCTCCGCGGGTGGGTAGATTAGCGCGTGGGTTTGGGTAGATTAGCGTCTCCTCCCTCTGTGCCTGCAGCCTGTGAACCACGGACGTCCGCCTGATTTGTTCTCTTCGTCGTTGGTTTTCGATTTCGTTCTCGCTTTCTGCTTTTTTTTTGCATTTGTCTTGCCTTTGCTTTTCCTTCTTACCATTGCTGCATACTAACTTCTTGTGCCTTCCTTTGCTTTTCAGGAATACGAAGTGACCAACAAATCAGAAGAAGCAGCGAAGGCTGGAGGAGTTTCAAGGATTTGACGCGGCGGCTGGCGGGTGGAACGCGCCGGAGGTGCTGCACGATCATAACTCTGCCGCCGTTCAGCCCGCTGCCTTTCAGGGGAGTGTTGCTTCCCTGGCTCACTGCCATTTTTGTCGCTTCATCGATTTCGTCGCTTTTTTTGCATTTCATCACCATTCCACACTCGCCCGTTCGTTAATCGCTCGTTATCCACCGTCCCTCTGGTTCACATGGCTGTAGCTGCAGATGATCCTCCGCGGGTGGGTAGATTAGCGCGTGGGATTGGGTAGATTAGCGTCTCCTCCCTCTGAGCCTGCAGCCTGTGAACCATGGACGTCCGCTTGTTTCGTTCTCTTCGTCGTTCGTTTTCATCATCACTTTTCGCACTTGTTTTTCCTTTGATTTTCCTTTTGTTTTGCTGTTTACTAACTTCTAGCATATTTTGCCTTTGTGTCCTGCCTCCCGCCTTCCAGCAATGAAGGATCGCGTTGCTTGAGCGCGGAGGCAGAGGCGGATCTGCAAGAAGATCTACGGCGTTGAAGCGGATCTGCAAGAAGATCTACGGTGTTGAAGCTGATTTGCAACAAAATCAACGGCGTTGAACCGGATCTGCATCAAGATGAAGTTTTTGGTAAGTTCTAAGTATTCTCGTTTAACCGTTTTCTGCTTCATCCGTTTTTTGCTGTTAGCATCCGTTTTCTTAAGTTTCTGATCTATATGATTATATACTGAATGAAGTCTGGTTTTCTCTCTTAAACAGGAGCACATGGCAAATCAGAGCGGCGGACTACAAACGCAACGGCGGACTTGACTACAAAGGCAGCGGCGGACTTGACTACAAAGGCAGCGGCGGACTTGACTACAAAGGCAGCGGCGGACTTGACTACAAAGGCAGCGGCGGACTTGACTACAAAGGCAGCGGCGGACTTGACTTCAAAGGCAGCGGCGGACTTGACTTCAAAGGCAGCGGCGGACTTGACTTCAAAGGCAGCGGCGGACTTGACTTCAAAGGCAGCGGCGGACCAGACTACAAGGCAGCGGCGGACCAGACTACAAGGCAGCGGCGGACTTGACTTCAAAGGCAGCGGCGGACTTGACTTCAAGGCAGCGGCGGACCAGACTTCAAGGCAGCGGCGGACCAGACTACAAGGCAGCGGCGGACCAGACTACAAAAGCAGCGGCGGACCAGACTTCAAAGGCAGCGGCGGACCAGACTACAAAGGCAGCGGCGGACCAGACTACAAAGGCAGCGGCGGACTTGACTACAAGGCAGCGGCGGACCAGACTACAAGGGCAGCGGCGGACTTGACTACAAAGGCAGCGGCGGACCAGACTACAAAGGCAGCGGCGGCGGACTTGACTTCAAAGGCAGCGGCGGCGGACTTGACTTCAAAGGCCGCGGCGGCGGACTTGACTTCAAAGGCGGCGGCGGACTTGACTTCAAAGGCGGCGGCGGACTTGACTTCAAAGGCGGCGGCGGACTTGACTTCAAAGGCGGCGGCGGACTTGACTTCAAAGGCAGCGGCGGACTTGACTACTACAGGGCAGCGGCGGACCAGACTACTACAGGGCAGCGGCGGACCAGACTACTACAAGGCAGCGGCGTAGCGGATTAGCAGGGCAGCGGCGTAGATAGAGGCTGGGCTGCAAGGAGGCTGCGGTGCAAGGAGTAGACGGAGGAGGAAGCTGCGGAAGCGGTTGCTGCGGAAGCGGAGGCTGTTCGGGAGGGATGTGGCGAAGCAGTGGTGGTTGTGGCGAAGGGTTACGCGGATAGTGGCTGGATGGGAGCTCAAGGGTGGCCTAAGAGGTGGCTGAGTCTAGTGTGTGGCTCAGCCGGTCCTAAGGCGAGTGGCGCGGTGTGGGTGTGATCTCAGCAGTGACGTGATGGAGTAAGGGCCGGCGCTTGGTTCTGGCAGTGCAAAGTCGCCCGGGAGGCTTTGCACTGCCTGGGCCCAGAACCAAGCACATCCGGGCACCTGACACTCCAGGTAGCGTCACTGTTGGGGTTGCATTCGCACCACAAAGTCAGCACCGTACCGGGGAGGGTACGGGGGACTTGATGTCACTCTTTAAGTGAAGGGAGACCGCACTGGCGAGGGTGCGGAGAGCTTCTCTTACCTCTGAACGATGAGTCCACACTGGCGTGGGTGTGGAAATACTCGTTCTAGGTCACCTGAGGGTTCCTGTTTGGGAGGCTGCGGTTTTACTTAGAGCCTCGGAGCTTTCTCACACTGGCGAGGGTGTGGGGGGTTCTTCACTTGACGCGTCAGCCTGGAGCCACAGGGAGAGAGGGGTGGAGCAGTGGAGGGAGCAGCCGCCGCCTGATGCAGCAGCCGTTTGATGCAGTTGAGGGGAAGTAGCTTGGTGCAGAGGACAAGGGGAGCAGCCGCCGCCTGATGCAGCAGCCGCTTGATGCAGTTGAGGGGGAAGCAGCAGCGAAAGTTGGAAGCAGTAGTGAAGGGGAGAACGCGCCTCCTGGTGAAGCCAAGGGGAGAAGGAGAGAAGCAGCCGCCTCCTGGTGCAGTCAAGGGGAGAAGGAGAGAAGCAGCCGCCTCCTGGTGCAGTCAAGGGGAGAAGGAGAGAAGCAGCCGCCTCCTGGTGCAGTCAAGGGGAGAAGGAGAGAAGCAGCCGCCTCCTGGTGCAGCCAAGGGGAGAAGGAGAGAAGCAGCCGCCTCCTGGTGCAGTCAAGGGGAGAAGGAGAGAGGCAGCCGCCTCCTGGTGCAGCCGCATGATGCAGTTAAGCAGTGAAGCCGCCTGGAAGTGTAAGGGGAGAAGCTGCCTGGTGCAGACAGCTTGGTGCAGAAAAGGGGTGCAGCCGCTTGGTGCAGAGAAGAAGAACCAGCAGTAAAGGGGAAGCAGCAGTGAAAGGGGAAGCAGCAGTGAAAGGGGGAGCAGCAGTGAAGGGGGAGCAGCAGTGAAGGGGTAGCAGCAGTGAAGGGGAAGCAGCAGTGAAGGGGAAGCAGCAGTGAAGGGGAAGCAGCCGCCTGTTTCAGTAGCAGCCGCTGGTGCAGAGGAGGGGAGAAGCAGTGGGGTGCAGGGAAGCGCCCTTACGGAGGTTTTTTTAGCCGAGTGATACGGCAGTACCCTAGTTTTCAGGGTCTTAGCCCGTAGGCATCATACCCAACGCGATGCTGATGGGACGGATTTTTTTATCCTCCATGGCTTGTGCACAAGCCTTCAAGTAAAAAAAAAAAAAAAAAAAAAAAAAAAAAAACGCAGGGAAGGGAAAGGCGCAGTGAAGGGGAAGCAGGATGGTCAAGCAGTGAAAAGGAAGTAGTGAAGGGGAAGCAACGAAGGGAAATTAGTGAAGGGGATTGAAAAGGGGAGCTAGTGAAGCAGCAGTGAAGCAGCAGTGATGCTGTTGTAGTGATGCATTATAAGCCGGGATTGTGTGAAGCAGAGTAGTGTATTGGAGGAGCTGATGAGTAGAGAAGTGGAGCAGAGAAGCTGTGAGCCTGGGCCCTTTCATGTTGTAAATTGGCGGGAAGATGTTGAAGGGGTACCTGGTTGCCAGCTAGCAATAGCATCAAGGCATGGAGGCTTCAACTTATGCACAATGTACTTGTTTCATTAGTGCATTACTCACAAGGAGCCCTCCATTTTACTTGTATCATTTTGCTGTAGGTTGCTGTACATTGCAACAGGAGTCTTGGCTTTACTACAAACATTTTCCCCTGTTGATGGTTGACATGGTCTAAAAAACGCTTCAGAAAAAATAATTCACAGAGCAAGGCACGAGGCGATTCAGAATGATACCGTATCACCCCGGATAGTAGCGCCGTCCTATTAAAAGCGCCGGCGCTTCTATCTGGAGCCATGCGCTTATGGCCGGTCCTCGATTATAAGCGCCCCCCCTGAAAAACGTTTACTTATTATAAGCGCATGTGCAATTGTATTTCGAAATCCTGCTAAAAACGGTAACGAATCTCATTTTTGCAGCAAGTTCAATTTCATACTCGCTTTGTTTGACTCGCGAAATCCTGACTGGCTGCGCGTCCAGTCAGGATGTGCTGGCATGACGTGTTTTTACTCCGGCTCGTTCTGCGGGCGCATCAGCCCGCATCAATGTGCATTGATGCTTTCAACCATGGCTCTACGATCCTTCTGTGATAACCTGCTGACATGTTATCAAGGTTCGCGATAAGCGCGTGGCCGCCGAAGCACAAATCTGCCGAATGCCTGCAGAACGGCCTTTTTGGATTTCGAAATTTGTAATGTCACTGTGTTCCAGGAAGCTTCTTCTCCTAGCAACTTGTAATGTCACTGATGCGCGCATTATGCAACTTCGAAAACGAGCATCATGCGCGCGTCAGCTGATGCGCTGCAACCTTATTGGCCAATCAGTTCGGCCAAGTCGAAATTTACCGAACAAGAAGCATCCGAGAAACCTATAACATCTAAAATGTGCGAGTTGGTCAGGAAATTGATTTTCTAATTTCCTGACCACAATTCAATTTCGTCAGATTGTCCGAACCTCAATTCGAAAATTCCGAACCTCAATTTCTAAATGTGCAATTCGCGAATTCCGAACCTCAATTTCTAAATGTGCGCATCAGGCCGAGCCTCAGACGCATCAGAGCTGATGCGCCCGCAGAACGCAGCCTCTGTGTTTTGGCAGAGTATCGCTTCCGCGCGATTCTGCTTGGTGACTCGAAAGAAATTCGACACGGTTGAAATGGCAAGAACGAAATCTACAATTTGGTGCTCTAAATATATAATTTTGCATTTGTCATTATATAAGCGCATGTGCTTATGCCCTAAACTCATTTACAAGCGCCCCCCCTAAAAAAAATAATTTTATTATAAGCGCATATGCGCTACTATCCGGGGTGATACGGTACTCAGACTGCAAAGACTCCCCAGACTGTTGCAACTGCAAAGAGGAGGCACCTAAGGCACAGATCTCGCATTGGTGACATGTAACCAGGTTCAAATGACATGTATCTACCGGCAGCTTCAACAATATGCAACTAGCCTTTACGACGTACGGTAGCAGCACGGTTCAGTTCAGATGACATGCAGCTCGGCGAGGAAGCCCGGAGGAGAGGTCTATATCTGGCTGTGCGGTGCAGAGCGGTGGCGGGGGTAAGGGAGTTGAGAACATGACATGCAGCTCTGATGACAGGCGACGGGTGCAGCCGCCTGGTGCAGAGAAGAAGCAGCAGCGAAGAAGCAGCAGTGAAGGGGAAGCTCAGATCAAATGACGTGCAGCTCGGCGAGGAAATCGGCACTGAGGTCGGGGAAGAGCATGTGAGAGCCGTCCACGTGCTGCACGTCCAAAAGATACTTCTCATCCCGCACCTTGAACAGAACAGCTGCACGGTGCAGTTCGGCGAGGGGGATGGACGGAGCTTAAGTCATGATGGTGGAGAGAGAGAGAGAGCAGAAGAGCTACCGTAGAATCGAGTTTAATCGAGTTTCGATCAGTGAGCACCTGCTCAGTCGTGATGTGAAGACCAGAACGACCAGAACGACCAGAACAAATGATTTCATTTGCTGTTGCTGGTGCAGCGACACTGCTCAATGGCTGTGGGGGAAGTAGCAGCAGCAGCAGCATGCGCACTATGAGCAGCAGTGGCAGCAGCGGCGGTAGCAGCGCGGTCAATGGCAGCAACCATGAGGTCCCAGAATCCATCCACATCCATGCTGCGAGCCACATGTGCGTTGGCTGGCTGTTTGCTTTGCCTCCACACGTCACACACCGTCTGCCCTGCTGACAACTGAGGAAGGGGAAGGGGGGAATGAAGAAGGCTGTGTGCGTGAAACGAGAGAGAAGGGATTGAGTGAAGTGAGGAGTAGCAGAGATAATGAAGAAGACTGGCTGGGTTGTGCAAATGTAATCTGCTTTGCGCATTTCCTGGGAAGACCAGGAATGGGGTTAAAGAGGTGCAACGGGGTGATAAGAGGTGAGGAGCGGCTCACCTCACTCTTGGTCTCGATGTCCACTCGGAGGTGCTCCGTCTGCAGATAGAGAGGTGGCAGAGCGATGGGGGGAGGGAATAGGGAAGTGGGGAATGGTGAGGAGCGGTAATAAGAGGTGAAGAGCGGTTAACCTCACTCTTGTTCTCGATGTCCACTCGGAGGTGCTCCGTCTGCAGCCAGGGGGTTGGCAGAGCGATGGGAGGAGTGAGCAGTGGTGGGGAGGAGTGATGCGGTGTGATAAGGAACGTTCACAAAGACCGAGCGTTGAAACCGAAGGTAAGGAATACATCGTGCTAACCAACCCCATCAGTGCCCTGAGGGAGCTGACTAAAGAGAGGAAACATGTGTTCATGCCGGCAGGAGAGTGTGAAGAGGGAAGCAGGAAAGCATACGTTGAAGAGAGACGGGGCGATGACGAAGGCGAGAGCACAGGGGTCATGTAGTGGAGGGTGGTGGAAGCCAAAGACCTCGAGGTACGTGCGGGCAAAGAAATGCATCAACGCTGAGACTGCAGGAGAGGTGGGAGATGAGGGGGAAACGAGAGAACATCAGAAGGGAGCGTGCAGCGGAGTGGGGGCTACGCGGGTGGATGGGGCGTGCAAAGAGGCCTGGTGGAGGTATGTGCAAAGAGGCCTGGTGGAGGTATGTGCAAAGAGGCCTGGTGGAGGTATGTGCAAAGAGGCCTGGTGGAGGTATGTGCAAAGAGGCCTGGTGGAGGTATGTGCAAAGAGGCCTGGTGGAGGTATGTGCAAAGAGGCCTGGTGGAGGTATGTGCAAAGAGGCCTGGTGGAGGTATGTGCAAAGAGGCCTGGTGGAGGTATGTGCAAAGAGGCCTGGTGGAGGTATGTGCAAAGAGGCCTGGTGGAGGTATGTGCAAAGAGGCCTGGTGGAGGTATGTGCAAAGAGGCCTGGTGGAGGTATGTGCGAGCAAAGAAATGCAACCATGCAGAGACTGCGATGTGTGGTGGGAAAGGAGAAGAGGATAAGCAGAGGGAGCACGCAGGGTCGGGTGGTGGGAGCTCACCGCTTCGGCAATACTCACATCTCGGCACATCTCTGTGTTGTCGCCCCATCACAGTCAAGGCAGCTGGCAGCAGGTAGTGTGAGGCTAGTGAAATGGCTGTAGCAGTGTATCTGAGTCGACTCAAAGCTCACCTGTTTGCCGCAGCTTTTTCCCCCTGTAGCAACCAAGGCATCCGCCAGCACTGGCAGCGGGAACTGTTAGGCTGGCGTCGGCAGTTGTAGCGGCTACAGCCGTAGCAGCAGCATCAGTGCTTTGGGTGGCACCGGCAGTGGAGGCGGATGGGGTAGTTGAGGGAGTGGGGAGGACGGCGGGATGAGTGGATGAGGGGGCGCATACGGCGCAGTGAGGAGGACAGGTGGAGATGCGAGCAGCAACTGATGGGTAGAGCAGGGCTGTGTGATTGACCTGAAGGGGGAGGGTGGAGAGGAGGAGGCAGCATGAGTGGAGGAGGGGACAGTGAGGAGGACAGGAGGAGATGCGAGCACCGACTGATGGGTAGAGCAGGGCCGTGTGAGTGACCTGAGGGGTAGGCAGAGACGGAAGCAGGGTGAAGTGGAGACGGGAAATGCATGATAATGATGCTTCAATTGCTTGTAGATGTCCAGCATACCTCGAGCGCCACTGTTGAACACAATTCTGGCTGCCTTAATGGTTAAGGGAGTTAGGATTGCACCATGCATGCAGTTCACCGTACCTCCAAGGGAACCATTGTGAGTGGGCAGCCGCTGTTGAACACAATGGAGGCTGCCTCAGGATCGCACTGGAGGGGAGGGGAGGGAGGGGAGCGGAGGGAGGAGGGGAGGAAGGGACGAGGGAAGGAGAAAATGAAGTTGAACATGCGCCTCGGCATTATTGATTTGTGAATGTGAATCGTAAATGCCTAGTATACGACCCACCAGTACCATCCCACCCCACACCACTCCACCCCACTCCATCGCACCTGGATGTTGAACTCGGCTATTGGGCCTGCCAGGAATGCATGGCAAGTGGGAGACACGATTTTCACTCCCTCGGCATGCATGATACAGCACAACGTCCTCTACACCTCAGCAGTACCATCCCCACTGCATCCCACCCCACCCCACCCCACCCCACCCCACTCCATCGCACCTGGATGTTAAACTCCGCTACTGGGCCTGCCAGGAATGCATGGAAAGCAGGGAATGTGATGCAGGTGACGCGGGTATGCGGGTGAGAAGAGAGGCAGTGAGAGATGACGGAGAAGAACCAGGGACAGTAGACACAATGCGAGTGACGGGCGAAGGTGTAAGGAGATGCACGGAGAGGCAAAAAGGTGCAAGGCGGTGCAAGGGGGAGCAAGGAGGCGTCCGCATTAGAGGTCACAGGAGTACGTACCAGTGTTGCCCAGGCCAAGAGCCCCCCCTGTAAGGAGACAAGGGAGAGGAATAGAGGGCGAGAAGAGAGAAGAGAGGCATGGGAGAGAAGAGTCAGGGGAAGGACGGAGTGAGAGAAAAGGGAAGAGGAGAGAGACATGGCAGTAGGGAGAACGAATAGGGGAGGAAGAATCATGAAGAGCGAATTAGGGCAAAGTATGGAAGGAGAAACAAACAGTGCGGTGACATGCGGTTGCAGTGGGTGGCACGCACCCATAATGACAATCTTAATGCGTTGTTCCGTGTTGACGGGCGATGGGTTTTAAGAGAGAGAGGTGAGAGTGGAGGAGAGAGGAAGGAGGGGAGAGGGAGGAGAGAGGAGGGAGGGTGGGAAAAAGGAGCAGGGAAGGAAGAGGGGAGAGGGAGGACGGGAGAGGGAGGGGGGGGGAGGCACAGAAAAGGGAGAGGAACGGGTGAGGAGAGAGTGGGAGAAACGAATAACGTCAGACAGAGAGAGGCTGAGCGCGTCGAAGGCTGAGCGAGTGGAAGGCTGAGCGAGTGGAAGGCTGAGCGTGGGGAAGGCTGAGCGAGTGGAAGGCTGAGCGTGGGGAAGGCTGAGCGTGTGGAAGATGCGAAGCCCAGAGGAAGGAAGGGCGTGTGTTAGAGGAACGAATCAAGTGGATTGTCTACTTCATTGAAACCCTTCCCTCATGTCTACCCTCTTGACTGAAACCCTCCGCTCATGTCTACCTTTTTGATTGAAACCCGTTTGGCATAAGCACCCACTCACCGCTCACCACACACACCCTCCCAGCCCCCCCACTCACCTCAATCATGCTCTTGACTTGGGGATGCACTGTGAGCAGCAGAGAAGCGTTGGTGAGACTGCCTGCCTGTGCATAACAGCTGACCCAACCCAGACACCTCACCCTACACAGTCACCACTCAACGCCACACACCACTCAACACCCTCTCACCTCGATCATGCTCTTGACTTGGGGATGCACTGTGAGCAGCAGAGAAGCGTTGGTGAGACTGCCTGCCTGTGCATAACAGCTGACCCAACCCAGACACCTCACCCTACACAGTCACCACTCAACGCCACACACCACTCAACACCCTCTCACCTCGATCATGCTCTTGACTTGGGGATGCACTGTGAGCAGCAGAGCAGCGTTGGTGAGACTGCCTGCCTGTGCATAACAGCTGACCCAACCCAGACACCTCACCCTACACAGTCACCACTCAACGCCACACACCACTCAACACCCTCTCACCTCGATCGTGCTCTTGACCTGGGGGTGCACTGTGAGCAGCAGAGCAGCGTTGGTGAGGCTGCCTGTGCACACCAGTGCCACCCTCTCCCTCCGCCCCTCCCAGATTTCCTTCTTCTCCCCTCCCACAACTGCAGCGGTGGTACCGACAGCAGTACCAACAGCAGCAGCAGCGACAGCGTGGACCGTGTCAGCAGCAGGGGGACCACCGTTTACTACCGCTGCCCCATCTGCCACTGTGCCATCAGTCATTGCACCATCTGTCATTGCCCCAGTCACCCCTACTTCTCGATTACTCTCTTCCTCCCTTCTCCTTTTTGCTGGAGGCTTATCCTCTGCTCCACCCGCCCCTTCTCCCACTGCCGCACTCCCATTCCCTGCTGCACCAGCCCACTTCTCCTTCCCTCCCCCTTGTTCTTCGTTCAAATCACTTTGCCCTGCTCTCTTCTTTCGCTCCTTTATTGCAGCTTGCCTCTCTAAGAAACCGCGTCGAATGTGGCGGAACATATGGGTTACTGTCGGCACATCCCCCTCCTCCCCCACTCCCTCTCCCCCCTCTCCCCTCCCTCCCTCCCCTTCTCTGCGCCCCTCCGCTCCTCCCCCACCCGTCTCCCTCTCTATCTCCGCCACCTCCTCTGCCTCCTCTTCTGCCGTCCCCCATAGTGGAGTTTCCTCCCTCTCGCCTCTCTCCCCACTCCCACCGCTCTCCTCCCTGTCCTCCCTCCTCCCTGCTCCTCCCCCATCACCCCCTTTTCCCTTCCCCTGTTCCCCCTCCCCCTGCGCCTCCCCCTCCCCCCAGTCAGGCCCATCCAGCCCCGACTCCCCGTGAATCTCAGCGCAGTGCTGCCTGGCGCGCATTAAGGGGGACGCCTGCCCGCAGAACACGGCTGGTGGATGGGGGAAATTGGGGTGCAAGGACGGGAGGGGAGCAGGGAGTGGACGGGATAGAGGGAGGGCGGGGGGGGAACAAAGGGGAGGCAAGCTACTTGCTGTCTGTCTCCCCGTGAATCTCAGCGCAGTGCTGCCTGGCGCGCATCAGAGGAGAGGCCTGCCCGCAGAACACGGCTGGTGTGAGCAAGGAGGGGAGGGAAGAAGGAGCAAAAGAGGCATGAGGGGAGCAGGGAGGCATGTGAGTTGCTGTCTCTCCCCAGTCTGGCACATCCAGCCCTGACTCCCCGTGAATCTCAGCGCAGTGCTGCCTGGCGCGCATTAAGGGGGATGCTTGCCCGCAGAACACGGCTGGTGGGAGCAAGGAGGGGATGGGAGGCCGGGGGCAGGGAGTGAAAAGGAAGGTAGCGGCGCAACAGGGCCAGTGAGGGGCTGTCTTGCCGTGGATCTCAGCGCAGTGCTGCCTGGCGCGCATCAGGGGAGAGGCCTGCCCGCAAAACACAGCTGGCGGAGATTGGGGTTGGAGGGAGGAGAGGGGAGCAGTGAGGCATGGCATGGTGTGTGAGTTGCTGCCTTTCCCCAGTCAGGACCATCCAGCCCTGATTCCCCGTGGATCTCAGCGCAGTGCTGCCTGGCGCGCATTAAGGGGGACGCCTGCCCGCAGAACACAGCTGGGGATTGCCCGCAGAACAAGGATGGTGTGAGGAAGGTAGGGAGGGGAGCCGGGGGGCCGGGAGTGGAAGGGAAAGTAGGCGTCCCTATTGAGAGCCGCCCTGCAGCCGCCCGACAGCCGCCCTACGGCCGCCCTACAGCCGCCCAGATAGGACCCAGCCCCAACAGCACTCACGAATGTCGGGTCGCGCGCACATCAGCAGCACCCGCCTCGCATTGATTGTCACCTTCTGCACCTGGCACGATTGGGGGTTGCAGGGTGGGCGGCAGGGAGTGGGATTAGGGTAGATACGGCATTAGGATTGGGATATAGACACAGGTTGCAGGGGGGAATGACGAGGGGATAGGAGGTGGATATGAGAGAAGGAGCGCAGAAGGGTCCTCTTGACACGTGGCACTCACTGATTGGTTGCCGTGAACAGTGCTGATGCCGAGCAGGTGCAGCGACGGGGTGTGGGCGGCAAGAATGATGGCCATTGCGTCATCGTGGCCTGCAATGAGTCAGCATGACATCAGCATTGCATGTAATGAGTCAGCAGAACGCTATCTCCGGAGAAAGACTCGTGTCGCATGGACGCCACGATGAGATCTTAACCACGGCGCGGCATGATAGCGGATGCGCCGCGGACAGCAAAGAGAAACGCGGTCGACGGAGTGGGGGGAGGGGGGGAGAAAGCGGATGCGCCGCGGACAGCAAAGTGAAACGCGGTCGACGGAGTGGGGGGAGGGGGGGAGAAAGCGGATGCGCCGCGGACAGCAAAGTGAAACGCGGTCGACGGAGTGGGGGGAGGGGGGGAGAAAGCGGATGCGCCGCGGACAGCAAAGTGAAACGCGGTCGACGGAACATCCCTCGCACCTGGATCACAGTCTAACCACACGGGGCGCGGCGGGTCCATGGCTGCGAGACTGGTTGCGACTGCCACTGCCACGGCGACTGAAGGCTGTTCCTGAAAATTCTAACCAATTCCACGCGCACAGCCCCCTCGCACCTGGATCACAGTCTAACCACACGGGGCGCGGCGGGTCCATGGCTGCAAGAACTGGCGGGCGACTTTCACGGCGATTGCGCGGACGAGCGCGCAGCAAATGCGGGTGGCGATGAGCGCAATGACATTCGCGCGGGAGGCAAAAAAGGAAAAAGAGAAGGTGAGATGTGGGAAACGTGAAAAGCTGGCGTGGAGGTGAGGGGTATCGATCCCCTTACCTATCGCATGCGAAGCGATCGCTCTACCATATGAGCTACACCCCCATGTTACTGTAAGTCCCTGCAAAATCTATTATTATTTTTTTATACCAATCCTTCCCAATTCCCCTCCCGCACCACGCACACCCTGCCAAATTCGTCTCGTCAGCACCCTTCTCCCGTCTTTGTCCCGTCCTTCTACTGTCAAACTCTCTCGTCTCTCATCTCCCATCTTCAATTTTATACCTCATGTCTCATTGCCTCAACTTCACAATTGGCAGCTGCCCAATGGTCAATACCGTAATGTTGGATATTGAGGATGTATTACGGTAAGCAGCCGGTGAAGTACAGGTGGCTTCAGGGTGGCCTGAAGTGACATGTATGTTAGATAGGAAAGAGAACTTCAGCTCAACCACTGTGTGTGCTCCTGCTGGCAAGTACCGTATTGGAACCCTTTCCTTAGCTCTCCTTGGACTCACAGATGGACCATGCACTGCCTGTGGTACAGGCTCATGCATACAGTGTATTGTCGAGATAGCTAAGCAAGGTTGAGTTGCATTGACGAGAGAGATTGCTACAAGAAACACAACCCCAAAGTGTTATCCCCTATAACATCTACCCCACTACAGCCTACCAATATATATCACACATATATATCATTTGACACACCCCCATAGGCAAAGTGGGGGAGAGCAACGGGTCACAAGACCAGTCAAGAGAAGCAAAACAAGCTCAGGGTGGATCACAACGTCACCACACATTCAGAGAACAAGCAAATGGCCACAAGGCCAGTTCACATGCAGAGATATATATGCAGCAATAACAGTACAGTGATGGCTACCTAGCAAGAGCCAGCATGCAGGTATATATATATATATATATATCACAGTACAAGCAGAGACTACAGCAAGTGTGGAAACGTAGGCACAAGGCCCAACAGAGTACAAAAGCGCTGATGATCACCAGACGGAAGTGCCTTGGTGAATATATCAGCAGTGTTGGCCCGAGTGGCCACGTGGCGAAGACGAAGCTGGCCTCGCTGCTGCAACTCTCGAGCCAGGAAGTAACGCAGAGCAATGTGCTTCGTTCTGTGCTCCAGTCTGTGCTTCTCACACAAGGCAATGGCAGCCTTGTTGTCAACGTACAGCACTCGAGGAGAACGAGGCCGCTCACCCAAGTCAGTCAGCAGGTAGGTGAGCCAGCGTAGCTCCTGTGCAGCCATGGCGGTGGCGTAGATCTCAGCCTCACAACTGGAGCTGAGAACAGAAGACGAGCGTGTAGACCGCCAAGAAACAGAGCTAGAGCCAAGGCTGAAGGTGTAACCCTGTGACGACCGCTGTGTAGCCTGGTCGTCAACCCAAGACGCGTCTGAGTGCCCAGTGAGGACCACCTCACTCCGTCCTCCAAGCACGAGCCCCATGCCCGATGTACTGCACAAGTAGCGCAGTACCCTCTTAGCAGCAGCCATGTGCTCTGGTCGGTGCCTACCAGGAGCCACGTAGCGAGCGAGAAGGCCAAGAGGGTACGCAAGGTCAGGACGAGTGCAGGTCATCAGGTACATGAGGCAGCCCACTAGCTCTGGGTAAGGACCACTCGGCTCTACGGACTCGTCCGAAGGTGGAGCTGAGAGCGAGTGACCTGTAGCCAGAGGAGTGTGCTGTGGCGAGGACCAGGTGAAGCCGAAGCGCTGAAGAACCTGCTGCACCATGTGTGACTGAGTCAGTGTGATGGTGCGGCGTGCTCTGTCCCGAGTGATCTGCAAGCCAAGGTAACTGCGCAGCTCACCCAGGTTTGTGCACGTGTGTCTCTTCTGCAGCTCCGACTTCACCAAGGCGAGAGCCTCAGTGTCAGCAGTGGCAAAGACTAAGTCGTCTACGTACACGAGGATGTAGAACGGTGGCAGCGAAGTGTCGGTGCGCAGGAACAGCGACGGGTCAGCTGTCGAAGGAGCGAACCCAAGAGCCGCCAGTGTCGTCCTCAGTGTGTCGTGCCACTCACGTGGCGCCTGGCGGAGACCGTAGACTGGCCGCCGGAGGCTCCACTGGGTACCAGGAGGGAACGACCCAGTGAAGCCAGGTGGGCGGCGCAGCCAGATCTCCTCGTGCAGGCTGCCCTGTAAGAAAGCTGTGCTGAAGTCAAGAGAGTGAAGCTCGTAGTCACGGTGAGCGGCAACGTGCAGCAGCACCCGAAGAGTAGTCATCTTCGGGGTAGGGGAGAAGGTCTGGAAGAAGTCAACTCCCTCTCGCTGACTGAAGCCTCGAGCAACGTAACGAGCCTTGAAGACAGGCGGAGAACCCGGCGGCCGCTTCACCCTGAAAATCCACATGCCATCGACGATGTTCGCCCCAGGAGGGGGAACCTCATCGACGTAAGTGCCTGTGGACTTCCAGGATGCCATCTCTGCGTCCATGGCTGTCTGCCACTGAGAGGAGTACTCACCCGCCATCGCCTCAGCGTAAGAGCGCGGGGTCGGGATGTCTGGTGCATCCGGGTCTCCCTCAGGGGCAAGCAGCATGGCCACGAGATGAGGCGCAGCAGCCGCAAGACACTCAAGGTCCTCGCGCCTGTCCTCAAGGACGTCCGTGCTAAGAGCACACTCACCCCCAACGGACGGAGGACAGACAGACTCAGACTCTGCAACAAGACTGGCAGCGTAGTCTAGATGACAGGCAGCAGCAAAGTCAACAAGCTCAGCGACAAGAGCAGACGCAGCAGTAGACTCAAACGACGGGTCAGTGACAACAGTGGCTAGCAGACGCGTGACAGTAGGGTGCTCAGCACGAAACCGGTCAGACTCAGGGTCTGGAACGTCAGGTAGAGAGGACGCAGGAGGAGACGGCAGAGGAACAGGCTGCGGAGCAGAGGAAGGACGACGGACGACGAGGTGTGCGCTGGGGACAGCCGGCTGACGCGAACGAGGAACACGACGACCGGTACGACCAGGACGAGCAGGCGAGACAGGACGCGACGCAGGCTCACGACGCTCAGCAGGACTACCAGTCTGCTCAGTGTAAGGAGAAGGAGCAGGCAGCGGTGAGCCAGGCTGTAACGGAAGACCAGTAGACGACGGGAGAGTAAGAACCTGACGAAGAGCAGAGTCAGACGGCGGCAGAGACGACGGAGACGGCGGAGCGAAGAACAGTCGTGTCGGCGCAGCTGCGCCAGTACCGGCAGCTCCAGCAGCTCCAGTACCTCCAGCAGCTCCAGCACCTCCAGCAGCTCCAGTCCCAGAACCGACACCTCCAGTCCCAGGGTCTCCAACCTCAGTGTCTCCAGCAGCAGCACCCCTAGAACCAGCACCCCCAGCCCCAGCAGCTCCAGTACCCCCAGGACGAGCACCTCCGGAACCAGCGACTCCAGCAGTAGAGCCCCGGGCTCCAGCAGCGCGACCCTGACGGCGACCGTACCGGTCCTGCAGCTGCTGTGAGGTGAGAGGCACACGTGGACGAAGGCGGCTACTCCAAGGAGACCGCGCAACAGCAGACTCAGAACCCTCAGCGCCAGCACCCCCAACTGCTCCAGCACCTCCAGGCTCCTCACGCGTAGGCTCAGTACCCGCAGACTCGGCACCCCCAAGCTCAGCACCTCCAGGCTCCTCACGCGCAGGCACAGCACCCCCAGACTCCGCACCCCTAGGCTCAGCACCTCCAGGCTCCTCTCGCGCAGGCTCCGCACCCTCAGACTCGACACCCCCAAGCTCAGCACCTCCAGGCTCCTCACGCGCAGGCACAGCACCCCCAGACTCCGCACCCCCAGGCTCAGCACCTCTAGGCGCCTCTCGCTCAGGCTCCGCACCCCCAGGCTCAGCACCCCCAGAGACAGCACCCCGAGCAGGACCACCTCCAGCAGGACCTGAGTCACCAGTGACCTCAACAGGCGCAGGTACCGGAGGGTCTACCTGAGAAACACCTGAAGGAGCAGGACCTGGCGCGGGGAGGGGGTCTACCTGGGGAGGACCTGGAGCGAGAAAGAGCGGCGGGGGGGGGGGGCGAGAGGCAGTGCGGTAGGGAAAGAGACGGTAGAAGGGAACAGACTCGTCAAAGGTGACGTCCTGAGACGCAAAGACACGGCGCGAGGTGGGGTCGTAAAACTGCCAGCCAGGCGCGTCAGGAGGAAAACCAAGGAAGACGCAGGGAATGGCGCGAGCAGAGAGCTTGTCCGCGGTGAGATCGCGGACAAAGGCACGAGCACCCCAGACCCGGAAACGCGACGCATCGCCAACCTCCCCCGTCCACAGCAGCGTGGGCGAGGTCTCCGGCAAGGAGACACGGGGCCAGAGGTTGAGCTGATGCGCGGCGTACCGGACCGCGAACGGCCACAGAAAATGGGGAGCCGCCGCATGGATCATGGAGGTACGAGCGACCTCCATGACTAAGCCAATGCGGCGCTCAGCAACCCCATTCTGCTGCGGAGAGGCCGGAAGCGTGAACGACTGGGTGATGCCGTGCTCCGCACAGAAGGCTGCCAAGAGGTCAGAGGAGAACTCACCACCTCTGTCAGAGTGCAGACGCAGGACAGGGAAGTCCCGCTCGAACCGCTCGCGGAGCTGGAGACGCACAGCGCGGATCCAGGGGATCAAAACAGCAGGGACGTCCCCTTTGCTGCGCAAGGGGAAGACCGTGGTGTAACGCGTGTAGTCGTCGACAACCAGCAAAAAGTACCGCTCACGGCCCTGTCCCTGGACGCGGGCTGGGCCCCACACGTCCAGGTGGAGCGTCTGCAGGGGAGCCTCTGTGGGAGGAAACGAGGAGGAGTGAGGAGCGGCGCGCTGCCGCCCCTCGACGCAGGGAATGCAGGGCGGCGCAGGCGAGGGAGGGAGGGCAGGCAGAGACCTGGGAAGCCCAGAGACCAGGGAGCGAGAGTGCATGCTACGAAGGCGAGGAAGGGAGGGGTGACCAAGGCGGTGGTGCCACAGAAGCGTGTCGTGCGACAGGCGGCGGCACTCACACTGGGTAGCTACCTGAGCAGACGCGTACAGCTGAGGAGACAAAGGAGTGTAGCGTGAAACAGTGGTGAGGGTGTACAGACTAGACCCCGGCTCACGAGTGAACGTGGCCAGGTGGCGGCCAGTCTTGGAGCACGTGCAGATCGCCACACGCTGCCCTCCAGGAGTCCAGGTGTCAACCCAGTGATCCTGGAGGACGGCGTTGCTCACCAGGTTCGTAGAGAACGAGGGAACGTGGAGACCTGACAGCTCACCAGACGGGACCGCCGGGCACGGGAGCACAGTCGTGGCTCGTGCAAGCACTGGGCCCCCAGAGGGGTCAGCCAGTGAGACAGGGACAGGTGCAGGGAGGGGAGTGACGGTGGTGCTATCGCGAAAGAAACAGCGGGAAGCACCAGAGTCAAGTGTAAACGTGTGCAAGGCCTGAGTCGACTCAGTACCAAGGGGAGCAGACTCACTAGCACCTAGGGCTGCAGCCCTTATACCGGGGTCAATACCAGGATCAGGCGGCACACACAAGTAACAGTCACCCTCAGCACTAACAGTCAATGCATACATGGCAGCAAGAATAACATCATAGTCCAGATCAAAGATAGGCACATCACGCCTAAGCAGCTCGGCCCAGTTGGGGAACTCAGTAGCATCAGGATACTTGGCACGCCAGGCGTCACTAAGCCTAGCAAAACAACGATACTCAGTGTGAAAACCGTTGCAGGGGCGACCCTTGCGGGGGCCAGTACGAATGACATAGGGGCAGCGGTCAGAACCCCGAGACGCCCCACGCCCAGCATACCAGTCATTGAGCTGCTGGGAGGTGAGGGGAGGAAGCTGCTGCTGCTGCTGCTGCTGCTGCTGCTGGCCACCAGTGGGGCCACCCTTCTGGCCAGATCCACCCCCACTCCCACCTCCACCGCCACTGCCGCTGCCTCCTCCCCCACCACCGCCGCCGCCGCCTCCACCGCCCCCGGTCCTGCCGCCACCCCACCCACCGCCTCCACCCCCACGGCCACCCCCACCACCTCCACCACCCCCGCCGCCTCCACCACCGCTCCCTCCACCGCCACCTCCGCCACCCCTGCCACCCTTGCCGCCCCTGCCACCACCACGCTTCCCACCAGGAGCGGAAGCCGCTGCGACCTTCTCCGCACCGAGGAAGTCGACAGCAGTAGCAGCAGAGGCGTAGGAGGGGTCAAGAGGGGAGGGGGAGCACCCCTCAAAGAGGGGAGTGCGGGGAGTGCCACGAGCAGCACCGACAGCGAGGATGTTCTTCTCTGCTGCGACCAGCTGCTGCTCGAAGTCGTCCAGAGTGATAGTTGGAGGATCCTTGGCAAGGAAGTGATCCCTGACAGAGCGAAGAGTGTCAGGGAGGCGGGTGACGAGGATGTAGAGGGTGAAGTACAGCGGGGGGGTGTTCGTGGCGAGGAACTCGTCGGTAAGAGCGGCTCGAAAGCGGGCGTCACTAGCGCGGAGGTGAGTGATAAGGTCGGCAGCAGTGTGAAACGAGGCTAAGTCTGGGAACAGGTAAGGCAGGATGAGACTACCAACGGTGGCTGTGGCCGGGGCGGAATAGCGGGCAACGACAGCATCATACAGCGTCTTAGCAGTCTTAAGCTGGTTGAAATGCGCGCGCTCAGAGATCGGTAGGTGATTGCGAATAACAAGGCGCGCGACTGCATCGCGGAGCTCCCACTGTGCTCGTTCAGGGGCAGGAGCAGTCTCAGCGGGAGTAGGGACAGTGCCGGTCACATAGGCTAGCAGTGATACTCCGTCTGCGACGTCAGTCATAAGGTAAAGCCGCAGATCACTAAGCCAGGTGTCAAACTCGATGGGGCGGCCGTCAGGCTCAAAGGCGAGAACAGTAAGGGTCGCCATGGTTGCAGCGCAGGCAAAAGTAGCAGGCTCAGGCAGCAGGCTCAGGCAGCAGGCTCAGGCAGTAGGCTCAGGCAGCAGGCAAAGGTAACTTAGTAACTGGTGGGCCCTTAAACTTAGGTCCTAAGAACCTGCTCTAGATGCCATGTCGAGATAGCTAGGCAAGGTTGGTTGCATTGACGAGAGAGATTGGTACAAGAAACACAACCCTAAAGTGTTATCCCCTATAACATCTACCCCACTACAGCCTACCAATATACCGTATAACCCCGGATATAGGCGCATGTGCGCTTATAATAAAACTGGTTTTTTTAGGGGGGGGCGCTTGTAATTGAGTCACGGCCATAAGCGCCGGCGCTTATATCATGGTAAAAAATGAAATTGTAATGGAAAAGTACCAAATCGAAGCCCGCAATAAGGCGAACACATTTGTGTAACGTGCGCGTGAGGTAATGCATGAAATCCCGCCGAAAACCACCACGCTTCGATTCCCGACCGCACAAACCCCGTCCAGGAGCAGGGAATCTGCCAGCGCTGACGTGAATGTTGCCATGCGGTCCAATCAGGGTACCATGCGGTGGCAGGCAGCTGCATTTCACCCGAACCATCGAGAAGGCGGTGGAATGACCTGCCAGCGCATCATGTTCGTGCCACGATACCCTCCTCTCCGGGTTCAGACAGGGGGTACCCGTCTCGCCCCGACGAGGACCCCGAGGCGCAAACCCGCAGGGGTCCCTTTGAATCTCTCATTTGTGCACCTTTTCTCTCAGTTTCTTGTTCCGTTTCTTCTTCACTCCCGCCTGGCTGCGGAAGCCATGGCGGAATTCAGCGGCACCCACTTCTTGTTCAAGAAAAAGCCTACTCGAAGGCCCGCGTTTACAGTAGACGCTGACGGGTGGTGCACCCGTATCCCGCCAGATCCACCAGAGCCACCACAGCCTCCTACGCCGCCTGCGCCTCCTGCACCTCCTGCTCCTCCTTCGCCTCCTGTTCCTCCTTCGCCTCCTGCGCCTCCTCTTCCTCCTTCGCCTCTGGGTCATGTGTCACCGCAACACGCTGCCAATCAGCCCGTGCTCACGCTGCTACCATCGGCGTTCGACGAGTTCCTGTCAGAACCAGAGACTAACAACGCGCCGGATGTGTACGTGCGAGTGGACCACGTGCCTGGAGGACGTTGGGGACAGCCCGAAGATTGCCCTTGGGACGAATCTGCAGTCGGCGCCGACGATGATGTTGCTGACGCTGAGGATGCGAGCGGCTTTGACGGCGCCGAGGGTGACACGGAGGCTTCCGCCGAGGGCGGCGCCGAGGGCGGCACCGCTGAAGATGTATTTCCAGAAGGCGTTACGGGCGACGGTGACGACGACGGCGTTGAGTACTGGTCACGCGACGGGCTACCTGAGAAACTGCCCATACCAACGTATCCTCCGACTAATCGCAAGCGACCCCACCCCTCTTCTGAGAACCGTGATGCCCGCCCCCCCTCTCCCAGGCACAAGCTCACCGAGCACAAGCGGCAAGGTTACACCGCCGCGGAGAAGTTGAAGTGGGCAAGTCGCCTCGATGGGTCGGTGTCGGTGCGCGCCTTGGCTCGCGAGAGCGGAATCCACCGCAAGTGTTTCAGCAACTGGAAGCGGGCGGCGGATTTCCTCAAGGAAGTTCACTCCGCCCGGAAGCGCATGCACGGTCGCGGGCGGTCGTCGTGGTACCGGCCGATGGAGTTGAAGGTGTACGAGAAGCTGCTCGAGTGGCGCCGCAAGGGAACTGCCGTGTCAGTCGGCCGCCTGCAGGAGTGGTCGCGGGAGTTCATGAGGCTGCTGTACCCGGACAAGAAGTGGAAAGGAAGCCAGAGGTGGTCGGCGCGGTTCCGGCGTCGTTGGAATTTGAGCGTCCGCATGAAGACCCGGGTTGCCCAGAAAACCGCTGCGCGTAAGTGATACCCCGGTTTATGTGCCACGTGTGTTTTGTACATGTGTACTAACACCCTCTGTGTGTGCTGGTCCTCTCTTCTCCCGCCGTGCAGGTGTCGCTGAGCTGTGCCGCATGTTCTGGCAGTTCGTGCGTGACAAGCGTCGAGAGCGCGGCATCGACACCGCGTGGATCATCAACGCGGATCAGACGCCGCTATGGCTGGAGATGCCCGCCACCAGCACCGTGGAGGAAACGGGTGCTCGCTCGGTGCCTATCAGGAGCGCGGGGTATCAGAAGCAGCGAGTGACCGTGATGCTGGCGTGCGCGGCTGACGGACGGAAGCTGAAGCCGTGGGTGTTCTTCAAGCGCAAAACATTGCCGAAGGGCGATTTCCCTGCCGGTAAGCAAACAATTGCCCTCGTCTGTATTTGCGTTCTGTTCTGAGTGCGTCTTCTAACCACACGCTCGGGTTTCGTGCAGATGTGGTCGTGGCTTGCCACGAGAACGGATGGATGGACTCCGCGGGCGTCGTTCGCTGGCTTGAGGAGGGCGTCAAGCCTTTCTTGAAGCCTCGGTTCGGCAGATGCGCGAAGAGCTCGATGCTGGTGCTGGACTCTTACCGCGGTCACCTCACCGAGGAGGTCAAGGAGAAGCTCCGCGAGATGAACTGCGTGCCGGCTGTCATCCCGTCGGGCTGTACGGCGGAGGTACAGCCGCTCGATGTCTCCATCAACAAAAGCTTTAAGGCGTCGGTCCGCCAGCAGTACCAGAGGTGGTTCGAGGCAGAGGGGCAAGCGCAGCTGACCGCGGCAGGTACGGCGTGTGTACGGTTTTGTTATGAAGTTCCCAACCCCCCCCACCCCCCCGCTTTTTTTATGCACTAACGGCTTTCCACCATTCTCCTGTTACTGTATTTCGCAGGGAATCTGAAGAAGCCTCCACCTGAAGTCGTCCTGCGGTGGATATCTCAGGCCTGGCGGGCAGTGCCGTCCGACCTCATCACGCGCGCCTTCCTCACCTGTGGCATCAGCAACGCACTCGACGGCAGCGAGGACAACCTCGCCATGGCGCACAGGCGGACCCAGCTGACAGCGGAGGTGGATGTCGACGACGACATCATCGCCGACGGCTTCTTTGGCAACAACTGCCAGGAGCCCGAATCTGACGATGAGGAAGATTAGGAGGGGTACTGGCTGATGCATGTTACCTAGAAGTACCCCGGCTAGACTAGGTAGTTGTAGTTAAGCATCATGATGATTTAGTTGCTATGGAAAATGAGGTTTAGTTGAATATTTTGTAATGCGTCCAATGTAAGGTTAACGGATGCGCTTATAATAAGTACAGAAATTTTAGGGGGTGCGCTTATAATCGAGTTCCGGCCATAGGCGCCATGCTCCAGATAGAGGCGCCGGCGCCGTTAATCGGACGGCGCCTATATCCTGGGCGATACGGTATATCACACATATATATCATTTGACATGTATGTCATAACACACAGTAGTGACTGTGAAACAGAACAAATATGTGATTCAGTGCAGTACAGTACAGTGGAGCATTTCAACTCTAAACGAAGCTCCTACGCGGTGACAGGAAGGGGGCAGGCAGGCAGTATGTGGTGCAGGCGAATGTGATGTGCGGGCGAGGCATGGTGGTCTGCGGTAACAGGGTTACTTTCTTGAGGCGCTGCAAGGGGCAGCTCTTGCGGGTGTGATGGGGAGGCAGAGGGGGACGGCTGAGAGGGCAGGGGGAGGGGAAGCCAGGCGACGGTGAGAGTGGACGGTGCGAGGTGGGGGGGGAAGGAGAGGAGGAGGTGCGTGGGTAGGCTGGCTGCAGGGAGGGAGAGTGACCGCATTCCATGGAACTGGTATCAGGGGAGGGGGAATGTGGGGAAAGAGGGAGGAAGGAAATGGCAGGAGGAAATGCTGATGTGAGGAGTGCGAGGTTGTGAAGTGTAGTGCTGGAGGCAAGGATGGAAGCGGATGCGGCAATATAGCACATTGAGCCATCATGACACATGCTGTGCCTACTACCACCCATCATGACACATGCTGTGCCTACTACCACCCATCATGACACATGCTGTGCCTACTACCACCCATCATGACACATGCTGTGCCTACTACCACCCATCATGACACATGCTGTGCCTACTACCACCCATCATGACACATGCTGTGCCTACTACCACCCATCATGACACATGCTGTGCCTACTACCACCCATCATGACACATGCTGTGCCTACTACCAACCATCATGACACATGCTGTGCCTACTACCACCCATCATGACACATGCTGTGCCTACTACCACCCATCATGACACATGCTGTGCCTACTACCACCCATCATGACACATGCTGTGCCTACTACCACCCATCATGACACATGCTGTGCCTACTACCACCCATCATGACACATGCTGTGCCTACTACCACCCATCATGACACATGCTGTGCCTACTACCACCCATCATGACACATGCTGTGCCTACTACCACCCATCATGACACATGCTGTGCCTACTACCACCCATCATGACACATGCTGTGCCTACTACCACCCATCATGACACACTCGTCGCAGAATGCCACCCATGTGGCGACCCACAGAAGCTACCACTCACACCTGCTATGATGCATTTACCACATAATCCCACCCACCATGACACATGGCACATGCTGTGTGCACCTGTCATCATGACACACTCAATGCAGAATGCCACCCACCTGACACATGCCATGCAGCAGCAGTCTTAAAAAGGCATCATCAGCAGCAAACACCAGCACCTGCCGCCCCGCCCCTCGTCTACCTGCGCAGACACACGCCGTGCATTACCCAGGTAGCACATACATACCATGCACCACCCACCCACCTGGCACATGCCGTGCAGCAGCAGTCTAAGGAAGGCATCATCTGCAGCAAACACCAGCACCTGCCGCCCCGCCCCTCCCCTCCCCGCACCACCCCTGTCCGCCTCCCCCTCTGCTGCACCTGCACCGCCGCTCACGCCCCCCTTCAACTTCCCCGCATGTGCCTCCAAAGCACGCTCCACGTCGCCCCATGCTGCCTGCACACACCATTCCGGCAACACACTCCCAATCCCACTCCCACTCCCCCTCCCCTCCAGCATCCCCTCTCCAGCCACCTGCTCTTGCTCCTCCTTCTCCACCTGCTGCTGCTGTTCTGCTCCATCAGGACCAGCCATGCCTGCTGCACGTGGCACAGTGCTTCTGTCGGCCTCCCTGCCATCCTCACCGCTCATCTCTCCTGGACTGCTCGTGGTACCAGTGGTGGCAGCAGCAGCAACAGCAGGTGGCGGTTGCAGGAATGCCACCAGAAGAGCCTGAAGGAGCGGAAAAGGGTGGGGGTGAGGTCAGCAAGAGGGTAAGGCATTTTTGGTCGGTTAAAACGATCCCACTACAATCACACACAAAGCGATGGCACAGAATTCAACAGTCGCAGAATGCATACATGGGCCTCGATACAAGCACATATCACACCGTGACTGCCCGGCCTCACCTCAACAGTCCCCACCACCACCCAGCCTGCAGCACGCCGCATGGCCCCTCTTGCTGCCTCCGGCACGCGCCTTCATGCAAGCAACTTGGGCATCCCCCTTAAGTAGATACTGACTGCCCAGTCCCAACCTCTCACCTCAACAGTCCCCACCACCACCCAGCCTGCAGCGCGCAGCATGTCCCCTCTAGCTGCCTCCGGCATGCGCCTCCATGCCGCCTGGGATGCCGCCACCACCGCTGCTCCTCCTCCTGCTCCTGCCCCTCCTACTGGTGCGAAATCCTGGGTGCACTCACCTCAACCGTCCCCACCACCACCCAGCCTGCAGCGCGCCGCATCGCCCCCCTCGCTGCCTCTGGCACCTACCTGCATGCAAGCAACTTAGGCACCCGCCTTAGGCACACACTAAGTTCCCGCACTCACCTCAACGGTCCCCACAACCACCCAGCCTGCAGCGCGCCGCATCGCCCCCATAGCTGCCTCCGGCACGCGCCTCCATGCAACTTATGCACCCGCCTTAGGCACACACTAAGTTCCCGCACTCACCTCAACGGTCCCCACCACCACCCAGCCTGCAGCGCGCCGCATCGCCCCTCTCGCTGCCTCTGGCACCCTCCTCCAAGCTGCCTGTGACGCCGCCACTGCCGCTGCTCCTGCCGCTGAGTGCTGGGTGCTGCTGCTGGCGTGCTCCTGAGACTGCTTGCTCTTGGCCTTGCGGGACGGCAGCTGTGGGGGCAGGCGAGGGGTGTGGAGTGATTGGCAGAGACAGATGAGAGGAAACGGAGGGGATTAGCTAGCTCGTTCACTGCGTATGACAAGCTAAACTTCGTGTGGCAAGAAGTGGTCATCTATCCAATAGTACTACACGCACCTTGTTGAATGTCGCCCCTGCGAGGTACTGCTGGCACACGAAGGCCTCAAAGGGCGTGGCGAGCGCCACGTCTGACAGCCTCTCCAGCACTGGCCGCTCCGTCTTCTCTCCTGCAAGGGAGGTGATGTGAGGACGGAGATGAAAAATGCCAGAGGGGGTTAGACAGTGGAAGGGAAGCACAGCTACCCACGGGTGTCACAAAGGGCGTGGCAAGCGCCACGTCTGACAGCCTCTCCAGCACTGGCCTCTCCGTCTTCTCGCCTGAAAAAGACATGATGCAAGAAGCGAGAGAAAAAAAGGGTTAGACGGTGGAAGGGAAGAGAGCACCACAGCTAGCAAAAGGTTCCCTCGGCTAAGGTGCCTCGGGGGGCGTGGCGAGCGCCACGTCTGACAGCCACTCCAACACTGACCGCTCCGTCTTCTCACCTATGAGGGAGGCGATGGGAGGAACAGGGGTGATGGGAGGAAGAGAGGCGGTGCGAGAGAAGGGGGCTGCCATACGAGGGAGAGTTGTAACGCAAAAAGGCAGCGAGGGAATGAGCGGAGGTTGAAAAAACAGGTGTTCGGATTGCTCTAACACGCCTTGCTACCTACCCCATGGCGGCGGCGCATAGAGCGAGGTGACGTCAGGGCCAGTGAGAGGCCCCGCCATGTCCTTGAGCAGCCTCTCGTTCACCCACCGCCTCGCCTTGCGCTGATGTAATGAAAGCACAATGGGCGGAGAGGGAGGTCCGAAGGAAGAAAAAGAAAGGATACTTTTTAGACTTCTTCTCACGAGGGCCCAGTGAGCGGCCCAGCCATGTCCTTGAGCAGCCACCGCCTCGCCTTGCGCTGATGCACTTGGCGGAAGGGAGGGAAGGAAAGGGAGGGGAGGAGAGGGGAAGGGAGGGGAGGGACGTATACAGGGAGGGTGGGAGAGTCCAGGGACGAGTGAAGAACAGGGAGTTGTTGGTAGGCCAGCAGCAATGATGCTTAATGCGACGACGGAAGGACAGGAAAGAGGACGGCGGGCTTGGGTCTGGGCACACGTGTCGTCTCGTGCAAAAGAGAGAAAACTCTGTTTGGCTGCTTACTATGACGGCTGTGACTTACCTTGCCTGACAGCGGCAGAGCGTCTGGTGGTAACATGAGGGATGAGGCGATCACGGCTGCAGCGGGGTGGGGGGACCAATGAGGAGAAAAAAGGCAGTATTTGGAATGAGGTTAAATGACGACAATAATGACTGCTGTTGCACCTCAAGCGGGTTGCGAGGGTGTGACACGCGCGGACCACGTGCGAGCCGTCGCTGACAACATGGGAGCAAGCAACCTCGCCACGGCTATCCGCACCAGTCATGCGACCAGATGACGCGGACAAACCATGCAACACATCGCACCGTGAGAATGCGCCTGCGCGTTGCGCGGGTCGTGCTCCTCCCCCTTGGTGCTGCGCGCCTTGCCCTTCCTCCGCCTCCCCTGCGCGTCGTCCTCGTTGTTCACTGAGCCCAATGGTTGGTGCAGCAGCGCGGGAAACGGGATAACAGAGAAAATGGGCAAAATAGAAATGGTTACAATTTGAAGCAGAGTAAAACATAGCAAAAAATGTGAGGCGAAACGTGTAGGCTCTAAACGCAAACAAAAAAACTGAAAGTGTCTATCGGTGTATGTTGAGACAAAAAGGGGGGTCGATCACTTTCGCGTACCGTATCGCGATTGGATAAGCCAGTTATGGAACGACATCTGGCCATGGCTGATGGATCCGAAGGTCACTGAATCGGCCATTGTGAGCACTAGAATCGGACAACAGACGCGTTCGTCCTGAAACCGGCCTGCGCTCTGGAGTTTGTCACGGCCAATTGAAAATACCCAAGTGGCTTTCTGCCACTGAACGACCTAATTAAATGCCCGAGCTGCGCTGAGTGCTACGTCACTGTCTATCTCACACAACTTCAAGACTTAGTTCCAAAGCTGAAGGTGAAGGCTGAGCGAGGCAGAGCGCGGAGGTATCTAGGGAATATCCGTCGGATCCTTGTTGGCTTTGCTCTGCGTGAACTGCACTCAACTAATAGGGGAAAGGGTTCCAAGAAATTTGTACCCGTTATTGACAGCTGGCGCAACAAATAACAAACAATTTCATACACCAGGCGTGAATTTCCAGCAACTCCGTCATTCCGAATTATCGCGCAAAGCGGGACTTTTTCTGCGGAGCCCGCTGTCACGCGGGTGAGCGAGGGGAGGAGGAAACTTGCGCCTGAGGGGCATGAACTAGCTAGTATGAGGGGAATCCAGCTGCCAGTCGCACACACTCACGCAACCTTTTCCAACCAGCAAAAGCACGCCGCGTGGCAATCGATATTTCCAATCTCCTCGCCCGCCCCAGGGCTTCGTCGCACGGCAAAAATCGCACGCCCTCCGATCATCGCCTCGCCATCCCGCAATTTTCCGAACACCCACCTTCTTCTTCGTCCCCACCCCACTGTCACTCACTGGCCATTTTGCTGTGCGACCCAAAAGGAACACATTTTATGGAAGCGTTTTGGCCAATTCGCTAGTTTTGCCTCCGCTAGTGTAACGTTCCTGCGAGGGTTGTAGGGGAGCCGTCAGTCGTCATTTTCAGCCGACTGCGGCTCCGAGTTGTAAATTGCGGTCTTAACATCTCGCCCGCCATGGCCGCAGTGCAGGTCGTCGCGGCTGTCGCAATGTGCGACCCCCAAGTCGCCATATCGTCGTCCATTGTGCAGGGGCGTCGCATGTCGCATTCACTCACAGCCCGTAGTCCCTCTTTAAGGCTCCTCCCCAGTCGCCGTTCCGTGCCATTGCGCGCCGAGCTTCGCGCCAGCCAGCCAACAGTCCAATCAACGTTTCCTTCCAGCTCGCGGAAATCCGTGCGCGTGTCGGCAGTTGCGGCGCCGAAAGAAGGAGCACAGGTGTCGACTTCCGCCGCGACAGATGCTCGATCGGCGGAGGTTGGCGGAAGCGGCGCGGAGCGAGCAGCGGAAGCGGAAGCGTCGGCGGTGGTGCTGCTGGACGTGCGCGAGATGATGTGCGGAGGATGCGCCGCCGCCGTGCGCCAGGTGCTGTCGGAGCATCCGCGCGTGATTAGCGCGGGCGTGAATCTCGTCACCGAATCCGCCGCTGTTACCGTCTCGCTCCGCGCGCCTGAGGCCTCCGCTTCCGCATCCGCTTCCGCCTCCACTTCCGCCGCTCCTTCCGCCACCGCGGCTTTCCCCCCCGCAAATGCGAAGGCGGGCGACGCGGCGGCGGAGCTAGAGGCGCTGCGCGCGGAGCTGGCGGAGCTGGTGGAGGACGCGGGGTTCCCCTGCTCCGTGCGCCGCGTGGGGGAGGCGGACGAAGAAGGTAGGGACGGACGAGGAAGGTAGTGTGGGGAGGGGGGCGATGTGGAGGGGAGCAGAGGAGAGGGATGGAGACGGAATTGGGGTGGCCCTTCGCTTACCACCTCCCTAGTCCCTTTTTCATCGTCTCCCGTCGCTCCACCCCCTCGTCTCCCCCCCCCCCCCAACCGCCCCGCCACATCCCCCACCAGCGGAGGCACGGAGAAAGGAGGCGGCGGAGAGGAGGCAGCGAGCAGTGGCGCGCACCCCCATTCCACGCTTCTCTCCCTTTCGCCCCCTCGTGTTTAGACTCTCCTCCCCCCCCACACCCCATATCCCCCACACCAGCGGAGGCACGGAGGAAGGAGGCGGCGGAGCGGCGGCAGCGCGCAGTGGCGCGCGCACGCGTGGACGTGGCGGTGGCGGGCGTGCTGGCGGCGCTGTGCTGTGCACACCACGTGGGGCATTTACTGCATGGCATGGGGCTGCACGCACTCGCTCATGGTACGTGGCATACAGCTTATGAGTTGCCCATGTGTTGGGGAGGCAGAGGCACCTGCTTGGTGGCGGGCGTGCTGGCGGCGCTGTGCTGCGCGCACCACGTGGGGCACCTGTTCCACGGCATGGGGCTGCACGCGCTTGCACACGGTACGTACATACAGCCGCCACCCCTCCCTTCACCTGCGCGTGCACGTGGCGGTGGCGCTGCCCGGCAGCTTGAGAGTCAATCAACTGCAAAAGCCCCGGTGCATCCCCCTCGCTCCCTTAACCCGCGCGTGGATGTGGCGGTGGCGGGAGTGCTGCGCGCACCACGTGGGGCACCTTTTCCATGGCATGGGGCTGCACGCACTCGCCCACGGTAAGTAGCACACACACAGCTTATGAGTTGCCCATGCGTTAAGGAGGCACCTGCTTGCTGGCGGGCGTGCTGGCGGCGCTGTGCTGCGCGCACCACGTGGGGCACCTGCTGCACGGCATGGGACTGCACGCCCTTGCTCACGGTACATAGCACACAGCCGCCTCCCCTCTGGTACAGAGCACACACACAGGCCTCTCCATACGCACAGGTGCACGGTCAACTCATTAGTCACCTGCTTGCTGGCAGCGCTGTGATGCGCGCACCACGTGGGGCACCTGCTGCATGGGGCTGCACGCCCTTGCACACGGTACACATAGGTTGCTCCGCACACACATGTGCACTCAGCCCCTGTCTGCTTCCTTTCCTCCTCCCACCCCCCCACTCTCCCCTTTGTTTCTTGCTTTTATTTCTTTCTCTCTTGTCTTCGCTTTTGCACTCAAATATCCATTTTTCCTCACCTGCCGGCCTCCCTGCACGCCTGTCTGTGTGCCCCCCTTGTTCGCCGTGCATCCGTGCCAGGCCCATGGATGGCGGTGCTGGACGATGTGAGGGCATGCTCTCCCATCACAGGCTTCTGCCATAGTGCTGCTGTTGAGGCACATTTTCTTAACAACCATTCCTCTGCCGGCTCCCCCCACTCCCCCACTTCCTCGTCCGCCCTGCATGCCTGTCCGCCCTGCATGCCTGTCCGCCCTGTCACGCCTGTCCGCCCTGTCACGCCTGTCCGCCCTGTCACGCCTGTCCGCCCTGTCACGCCTGTCCGCCCTGTCACGCCTGTCCGCCCTGTCACGCCTGTCCGCCCTGTCACGCCTGTCCGCCCTGTCACGCCTGTCCGCCCTGTCACGCCTGTCCGCCCTGTCACGCCTGTCCGCCCTGTCACGCCTGTCCGCCCTGTCACGCCTGTCCGCCCTGTCACGCCTGTCCGCCCTGTCACGCCTGTCCGCTCTGTCACGCCTGTCCGCCCTGTCACGCCTGTCCGCCCTGTCACGCCTGTCCGCCCTGTCACGCCTGTCCGCCCTGTCACGCCTGTCCGCCCTGTCACGCCTGTCCGCCCTGTCACGCCTGTCCGCCCTGTCACGCCTGTCCGCCCTGTCACGCCTGTCCGCCCTGTCACGCCTGTCCGTTCGCCAGGCCCATGGATGGCTGTGCTGGACGATGTGAGGGCACGCTCTGCCATCGCTGCCGTTGCGCTGCTGGGCCCTGCCAGAGGTACTGTGTGTGCCACATGCCCTTTAGCCTGCCTCAAGGTACTCAGTGGTAGATGTATAGTGGCACGGTGGCATGGTGGTTCAAGACTTTGGCACCAATTCATCAGGCGCTGCTGCTGCAGGGTTGCGCGTGTGCCTGTCCCGTTGCTCTCCGTACTTGTTGTTTTTTCTTTTCTCCCAAAATGCGGCCTTCTCTGCTCTTCTTCGTCCCCTTTCAGCGCCCCCCACATCTCCCACTCCTCTTCTCATCCATCTCTGTTGCCCTCTATCCCTGTGCCTCGCGCCAACACTCCCTCTGCCCTCGTCCCTTTCCCCACACATCCCCCGCAACCCCTTTCGCCACATGACCTCCCCCATGGGGCGCCAGGTGCCCTGACATGACATGACATCATCAGGCCGCTGCGTCTGGACGTTCCCACTGCTCCCAACCCCTCACTCGCTCCCAACCCCTCACTCGCTCCCAACCCCTCACTCGCTCCCAACCCCTCACTCTCTCCCAACCAAGGTTAAAAAAAACGCCGTTTTTTTGAAAATTTACCGTAAAAAACGGCCGTAAAAAACGACCGTAAAAAACGGCCGTAAAAAACGGTAAAAAACGGTTCCAGAAGGTGGTTTCGTTCGAAGAAAAAATCAGCCATTTATGGGACAAAATTGATGGCGAAAATCACCAGCATGAAGAGGACAAACACCTCCTTGCATGAGTGCGCTTGTGGGCATGATTGAAAATGTATTTGACCTTGTTTTTCCCTTTTTTTCTTGGTGACGACAGTTTTCTAACAAAAAAACGCCGTTTTTTTGGAAAATTACCGTAAAAAACGGACCGTAAAAAACGGACCGTTTTTTACGAAAACCGTATTTTTCATCCTTGCTCCCAACCCCTCACTCGCTCCCAACCCCTCACTCGCTCCCAACCCCTCACTCGCTCCCAACCCCTCACTCGCTCCCAACCCCTCACTCGCTCCCAACCCCTCACTCGCTCCCAACCCCTCACTCGCTCCCAACCCCTCACTCGCTCCCAACCCCTCACTCGCTCCCTACCCCTCACTCGCTCCCAACCCCTCACTCGCTCCCAACCCCTCACTCGCTCCCAACCCCTCACTCGCTCCCAACCCCTCACTCGCTCCCAACCCCTCACTCGCTCCCAACCCCTCACTCGCTCCCAACCCCTCACTCTCTCCCAACCCCTCACTCGCTCCCAACCCCTCACTCGCTCCCAACCCCTCACTCGCTCCCAACCCCTCACTCGCTCCCAACCCCTCACTCGCTCCCAACCCCTCACTCGCTCTCAACCCCTCACTCTCTCCCAACCCCTCACTCTCTCCCAACCCCTCACTAGCTCCCAACCCCTCACTCGCTCCCAACCCCTCACTCGCTCCCAACCCCTCACTCGCTCCCAACCCCTCACTCGCTCCCAACCCCTCACTCGCTCCCAACCCCTCACTCGCTCCCAACCCCTCACTCGCCCCCTCCAGACCTGCTGCTGGACGGCATGAGGGCGCTGCTGCGTCGGTCACCCAACATGAACTCTCTAGTGGGTCTCGACTCCGGATGCTGTATCGGGCTCGCTGACCTGCTTGTACAGGGCTGCTCCCCAAGCCCAACCAACCCTCTCTCTCTCTGTCCTTCAACCCCCAGACCTGCTGCTGGACGGCATGAGGGCGCTGCTGCGTCGTTCACCCAACATGAACTCCCTCGTGGGGCTGCTAACATCTTGCTCCCTGCCTCTCCCCAACCCGTCTTCCCCCAATCTCTCTCTCTCACCAGACTTGCTGCTGGACGGCATGAAGGCACTGCTGCGCAGGTCACCCAACATGAACTCCCTCGTGGGGCTTGCCTCGCTCGCTGCCTTCTTCATCGCTGTCGTACGTGCCCCCCTGCTTTGCTGCCCTGCCTTACTTCCCAACCGCCAAACCTCCCCACCCCACCAACCCTAACTCCCTCGTGGGGCTCGCCTCCCTCGCTGCCTTCTGCATTGGAGTGGTAATTGCCCCCCTCCTCCACTGCCCTCCCTTACTCCATCCGCCCTCGTCCTCTTCCCCCCGTCTCCCTCGTGGGACTCGCCTCCCTCGCTGCCTTGTTCATCGATGTGGTCGGTGCCTTCTCCTAGAGCCCTTTCTGCACGCCAATCCCACAGCCATCCATCCTCGAGCACAAGCCGCTTCCCACACTGTCTCCTACTTCTCCTTCCTCTTCTTCGTTGTCTCCCCCTGTCATCCGTCTCCCACGTGTGCAGGTGGGTGGCGTGGCACAGCTGGACCCTGTCCGACCTCCGCCTGAGTTTCCTTCCAGCCCCACTTCCTCCCATCTTCTTCTTCCGCCTCCACTCCTCCCCACCTTGCATCCATCCCCCCCCACCCCCCACCACTGCAGGCGGCTCAGCTGTACCTGGGCCTTGGCCTCGATTCCTACTTCTCTGAAACAGCCCAGCCCACCCACTCCAGAACCATCGCACTTACCTTCCCCCCAACTCCTCCTCCCCTCCCTCCTCCCCACTGCAGGCGGCACAGCTGTACCCGGGCCTTGGCCTCGATTCCTCCTTCTCTGAACCAGCCCAGCCCACCCACTCCAGAACCATCGCACTTACCTTCCCCCCAACTCCTCCTCCCCTCCCTCCTCCCCACTGCAGGCGGCACAGCTGTACCCGGGCCTTGGCCTCGATTCCTCCTTCTCTGAACCAGCCCAGCCCACCCACTCCAGAACCATCGCACTTACCTTCCCCTCAACTCCTCCTCCCCTCCTCCCCACTGCAGGCGGTGTGAGAAAGTGTAAGAACAACCGATAGTTTCATTAGGAAGGGCATGGGTTTACATAGTTGAGCTAGGATGTAGGAGCCATGCCAACATTATTGGCCCCCACCAATAAGTTGGGTTGAGGAGTTATTGGGGGGACCAATAATGTTGACCAAAAGTGGGTCAACATTATTGGGGGGGCCAATAATCTCCCAACCCAACCTTGGGGGCCCAATAATTGGGCCAAGGTTGGGTTCCAACCTCAAACTAGGGTAAACCCTAGTTGTGCACCCAAACTAAGTTTGGGTGCCTATCTCTAGTCAAAGCTTATATGATGATGCAGGTTACAATGAAGATGGTAATCTGACACAACCCCTTAACCTGCAGAAATCCATAGGCTTTGGAAGAGAGAACGCAACAACCCCTGAATCAGCCACCGCGGGGAGCAAGTCCCTGAAGATGCAGGAGCGCAGAGTGGTTAGAGCGATGGAGAGCCTTGGTGAAGAGGTCAGCGAGGTTGGCGGACGAGTCGATTTTACGAACAGTGATGTGACCATCTTGCACAAGATCGCGGACAAAGTAGTAGCGGAGTTCGATGTGTTTGGAGCGACCATGAAAGACGGCCTCCTTGGTGAGGTGGATGGTACTATCGTTGTCACACCACAGGGTGGGGCAGGGCTGTGGTGAGCCAAGGTCGGTGAGAAGATAGCTAAGCCAGCGTGCCTCTTGAGCCGCCATGGTGACTGCGTACAGCTCGGCTTCGCAGGAGGAGAGGGCGACGGAGGAGGAGCGAGTGGAGCGCCAGCTGATGAGGCCGCTCCCAAGGGAGAAGCCATATCCTTGAGAACTGCGATGGTCCGGCTGTGCATCCGCCCAAGATGAGTCACTGAAGCCTTGAAGAACAGGTGGGTCCACACCACCAAGCGTGAGGCCATAGTCCTTTGTGCCTTGGAGGTAGCGCAGAACACGCATGGCCGCCTTCCAGTGCTCCTCACCATGCCTGCCAGTGCCAACAAACCGCGCCAGGACACTGACGGGGTATGCAAGGTCGGGACGAGTGCAGACCATGGCGTACATCAGGGCCCCAACGAGTTCTGCATAGGGATGAGGGGAGGTGACAGGAGTGGCTGGAGGGGACAGCCGATGCCCGAATGCAAGTGGTGTGGGGATGGGTTTGGATTTGGACATGCCGAATCTCTCGAGCACCTTCCCGATGTAGAATGACTGAGAGAGGGTGATAGTCTTGGCAGTGAGGTCGCGGGTGATCTCCATGCCAAGGTAGTTGCGGACTTCCCCCAGATCTTTGCAGGCGAGACGTTGCTGCAGCTCATCCTTGACCTCCTGAAGTTCAGCAGCTGTCTCAGCTGCTAGCAGCATGTCGTCGACGTAGACGAGGATGAAGAAGGGTGACGGAGTTAAGCGAAGGAAGAGGCAAGAGGCAGCACGGGAGGGGCGAAAGCCAAGTGCGCGAAGGGTGGATGAGAGTTTGGCGTGCCATTCTCGAGGTGCTTGTTTGAGCCCGTAAACAGGGCGTAGTAGTTTCCAGACGGTGGCAGGGTCGTGAGGAGCGTGGAAGCCCTTGGGACGTTCCAAGAAGATGAGTTCGTGGAGGTCGCCTTGTAAGAAGGCCGTGGTGACATCCATGGAGTGGAGGAGCATCCCGCGTCTGCCAACGAAGTCCAGAAACACGCGAATGACCGGCGGAGTGGCGGTAGGTGAGTAGGTCTCGAAGAAGTCCGAGCCATAAGTCTGTGTAAAGCCTTTCGCCACATACCGAGCCTTGTAGACAGGAGCTTCACCAGGGAGTAGTTTTACTCGGAAGAGCCACCTGCCTTTGACCACGTTGTGCTTGGAGGGGCGAGGGACGTCGAGGAAAGAGCGGTTGTGGATGAAGGCGTTGCATTCCTTGACCATGGCCTCGATCCAGAGAGGTGCGTCAAGACATGCAATTGCTTGCTCGTAGGTGGTGGGTTCGTAGATGGTGGGGGTGTTGGAGAAAAGAAGGACCGTAGTACCAGCCATGGTGCGGACGACAGGGGCGATGGTGGGTGAGAGGAGGTGGAGGAAAAGGAGTTCATCATGAGAGTCTTCATAGAGGTCCGGAGAGAGAGGAGGAGGAAGAGGAGGCGGTGAAGATGCAAGACAGCTGCGCTGGAGGGTCAGGCTGGAGCGGGAACACGGCTGCACTGCTGCTCTGCTGCGCCGAGGGTCGGGGCGAGGAGACAGCTGCAATGCTGCTCTGCTGCGCTGAGTTGCCGTGAGGGGCAGGGAGACGGGAGCGCGGCTGGTGTGAGAACCTGAGGGGCTGGTGCGGGGGAGTGGGGAAGTGCTAGAGTGGTGGAGGAGTGGAATGGATGTGAGAGACTGGAAGGAGAGGTGATTGGACCGTGGGGGACCAAGGATGGGGACTGTGGAGCGGGTGTGAGGGTAGTGACGAAGGAGCAGAGGAGGGGACGAAAGTAAGGGCCGAGATGGTGGAGGGGAAGGGGGGGGAGGAGGAGATGGGGAGGGTGGAGGTTGGGAGAGGGGAGGGGGTGGGGGAGAGTTCAGGGGGGGAGGGGATGGAGAGGGAGGGGGGGGGGGGAGGAGGGAGGGGGGGGGTCAGCGGGGAGAGGGGGAGGGTCAGTGGGGGGAGAGGGAGTTACAGCGGAAGGGGAGGGTGGGGCAGCCGGGTCAAGGATGTCCCCTGAGGAGGTTGGGAGAGAAGGGGGAGGGGGTGGGGGTGCGGGTATGACCAGGGTGGGGGGAGGTTGAAGGGGAGGGGTGATGACAGTGTCAGTCCAGAGGAGAGGACGTATGGTGAGGGGGAGGGGGTTAGGGGCGGAGGGGGAGGTGTAGTACGGATTGGCTTCATCAAAAACCACATCCCGACTACGAATGAGACGACCTGAGGGGGGGTGGAGGAAGAGGTAGTCCGGGGAGGTGGGGTTATGACCAATGAAGATGCAAGGGAGGGTGCGGGAGGCAAGTTTCCCAGCTGCACGTGAACGGTCCTCAGGGTGTATGAGAACATACGCCTTGGAGCCCCACACGCGCAGGGGGGAGATGTCGGGTTTAGTGGAGGTCCAGAGTTCGGTGGGAGTAGTGGTGGGCCGTGAGGGATGGGGGTAGAGATTAGTGAGGATGGCGGCGTGGAGGATAGCATAACCCCACAGAGAAGGCGGGCAGGAGGCATGGACCATGAGGCATCGAGCGGTCTTGGTGACCTCCCGAACCCTGCTCTCCGCCACACCATTTTGCTGAGGGGAATGAGGAAGGGTGTAGGTGTGGATAATGCCATGGGTGGAGCAGTAGGAGGAAAGCATCCGGTTAAGGAACTCACCGCCGCCATCGGAATGGAAGCGAGAGACAGGGCGTTTGAAATGGGTGCGTGCTTGTTCAGCCCAGGCAATAATGGCAGCCGGGGCCTCCGCCTTCTTGCGAAGGAGAGAGACAGTGGAGTACCGACTGTGGTCATCTACCAGTATGAGCAGGTAGCGATGACCTTGCCTGGTGGGGGTGGGATTGGGGCCCCAGAGGTCCATGTGGACGAGATCAATGGGTTGGGGAGAGAAGGAGGGATGACTCTTGTGGGGGGCTTGCTTTAGTTTGCTTTCAACGCAAACTGAGCAGGGAGGGGAGGGCGACGGGGGGAGAGGGGGGAGGGTGAGGGGAAGTCCTTCAAGAAGTTGAGAGGAGACAGATTGACGAAGGGTGGCAAAGTTGGGATGACCCAAGCGATGGTGAAGGAGGACGGCGAGATGGGTAAGGTCACGACAGTGACAGGAGGGGGAGGAGGGAGGGGAGGGGGAGGAGGGAGGGGAGGGGGAGGAGGGAGGGGGAGGGGAGGCAAGAGGAGGGGGGGAGGGAGGGGAGGGAAGGGGGGAAGAAGGGGAGGGGAGGAGGGGGGGGAGAGGGGAGGGGGGAAGGGAGGTAGGGGGAAGTAAGGTGGGAGTGGTGAGTTGGTGGATGGAGGGGCGAGGGGTGCGGTATGTGTACAGGTTTGTGTGTGGGCAGAGGGGAATACGACAGATGAAGCGACCAGTGATGGTGTGAAAGAGGTCGCAGTGAAGTGCATGTCCGGGGAAGATGGCGGTGACACCTAACCTTGGGAGGTCACGAAGTGCTACCAGATTGTTGCGTAGGGAGGGGACGTGTAGACCTGTGACTGTGCCTGAGGGGAAGATGGGGCAGGGGAGAGTGGAGGTGTGTCGACTTGTGATGGTGAAGCTGAAGTCGGCTCCGTAAATGGTGGAGGGAGTGGGGAGGGGGACTAGTGTGCCTGCGTCCCGAAGGACAGTGTGTGTAGCGCCGCTGTCAAGAATGAACTCAAGGAGTGTAGAGGAGGAGGAAGAAGCGGAATACTGGAAGGATGTCTCATTAATAGCATGGGCATACATTGAAGGAGCAGGAGAAGCAGTGCTAACATGTCCTATGAATCCAGCAGAAGGGAACGGAGTGAAGCCAGGAGGATTGGAGGAGGAGGAGGGCTGGTCAGTAGGAGTGGTAGCAGGTGGAGGAAGCACAGGGCCGTATTGAGGAGGTGGATAAGGAGGGTATGGCCAGCCGGTATAGGGCGGAGGATAGTGGGGGGGAGGGGCTTGAGGAGGAGGTGTGGGTGAAGGGGGAATGGGAGGGGTGGGAGGGGTGGGAGTGGGAGGAGATGAAGGGAGAAGATGTTGAACTTGCTGGAGGATATGAGGTGGGAGATGCTCAGTGAGGACATTGTGAAGATTAGGGGTGGAGGGTTGATAGGCGGGGAGAGTGCGTATGTCATGGAGAGAGGGGCGCGGGAAGATGGTGTTCCATCGAGGTGGGGTGCCGACATTGCCACGTGCAAACCACTCATCAGTGAGGGCTTTGAAGCACGTGTCAGTGGTGTGAGTGGTTTGAGCGCAAGGCTGACCTTTGTTGGAGCCATAGCGAATGATGTACTGACACGGGGGAAGGGTACCCGAGGGAGAGGGGTTTTTGCCACGCCCACCACGGCCGCCACCACGACCACCACCGCGTCCACCGCCTCGCCCACCACCTCGTCCACCACCGCCACCGCCAGTACCGCTTGAGCCGCTACCTCCGCCGCTGCTGTGGTTGCCTGCGGGAGTTTTGCGAGCCTGGATAGCATTGATGGTGGTGGAGTCACGTTGGATGTCCGCTTCGCTGTCAAGGAGCCAGTCGATTGTGTCGGCCACAGGAGGAGGATGGCGGTACCTAGAGGTAAAGGTGATGCGGTAGGTATCGTATGTGGGTGGAAGGCAGTCGAGGATGCGTGCAGTGAGAAGTGATTCATGAATGACAATGCCGCGGTCGTTGAGACGTTGCGCAGTGTCGATGAGGCGCCGAGTGAAGGCAGCAGCAGTGGGGGATGAGTCAAGAGTGGTGTCTTGAAATTTGCGAAAGAGAGCAAGGAGAGAGCGAAGGTCCTGTCGGTCGTACTGAGTGGACAGGGTTTTCCAGAGGCCAGAGGAGGAGGTGGGGCGGAGGTCACGTTTGAGATGGGAAGGGATGCAGGAGAAGATAATGGCTAGAGCGCGGCGATCCGCAATTCGCCATGCTGCAGTATCCTTGTTGAACTTGCGAAGTTCATCAGCATAGTCTTTTTCATCCTGTGCGTAGGAGAGGATACGCGCAGTAGCATCAGCGTGAGCCTTCTCAGCAGCACGGTGCGCCTCACGCTGGATGGTGTAGGCATCGCGAAGCTTGTTGTAGTTGTTCAAGTTGGCCGCCCATCGATCTGGGTTGTCATCATGAACTGGGGCACGAGGGGGATCAGACAGAGGCTCTGGGGGAGGAGGGGCATCAGGAGGAGGAGGCTCAAGAGGAGGAGGGGGGACGGGTGGAAGGCCGTTAGGGTGCTCAAGAACTACATCAAGAAGACAGTAGTCTTGAACAATGACAGAGCCAAGGTGGGTGTGAAGTGTGTCCTCAAACGACGCCCAGTTCACGGCCGTAGTGTCATGGAGGAGTTCGAGCTTATCGATAGCTCCGAGTTCAATGGGAGTAGAGTCGTCCGCCATGAGGGGGGAGGAGGGGGGGGGGAGAGGGTGACGACACCGGCTGGAGGGCGGGTGCGGTCAAAGACGACACCACCTGGAGGGGTGGCGCGGTCACGTTGCGTGCGGCAGCGCTTCGTCACCCGCGGCTGCCCCTTGTCGCCCGCGGCTGCGTCTCGTCGCCCGCGGCTGCGCCTCGTCGCCTGCAGCTGTGCCTTGACGACACGCGGCTGCGTCTCGTCGCCCTCGCTGGTCGCGTCCGTGACGTCCGCCCGCGCTGGTCGCGTCCGCGGCGTCCGCCCGCGCTGGTCGCGTCCGCGGCGTCCGCCCTCGCTGGTCGCGTCCGCGGCGTCCGCCCTCGCTGGTCGCGTCCGCGGCGTCCGCCCGCGCTGGTCGCGTCCGCGGCGTCCGCCCGCGCTGGTCGCGTCCGCGGCGTCCGCCCTCGCTGGTCGCGTCCGCGGCGTCCGCCCTCGCTGGTCGCGTCCGCGGCGTCCGCCCTCGCTGGTCGCGTCCGCGGCGTCCGCCCGCGCTGGTCGCGTCCGCGGCGTCCGCCCGCGCTGGTCGCGTCCGCGGCGTCCGCCCTCGCTGGTCGCGTCCGCGGCGTCCGCCCTCGCTGGTCGCGTCCGCGGCGTCCGCCCTCGCTGGTCGCGTCCGCGGCGTCCGCCCGCGCTGGTCGCGTCCGCGGCGTCCGCCCTCGCTGGTCGCGTCCGCGGCGTCCGCCCTCGCTGGTCGCGTCCGCGGCGTCCGCCCGCGCTGGTCGCGTCCGCGGCGTCCGCCCTCGCTGGTCGCGTCCGCGGCGTCCGCCCTCGCTGGTCGCGTCCGCGGCGTCCGCCCCCGCTGGTCGCGTCCGCGGCGTCCGCCCCCGCTGGTCGCGTCCGCGGCGGTCGCCCTCGCTGGTCGCGTCCGCGGCGTCCGCCCCCGCTGGTCGCGTCCGCGGCGGTCGCCCGTTCTCGTCGCGTCCGCGGCCGTCGTTCGTCGCGGGTGTGGCGTCCGCCCGCGATTAGGGTTTCGTCGGTCGCGGCGGTCGCCGATGCTCGTCGCGGGTGTGGCGTCCGCCCGCGATTAGGGTTCCGTCGCTCGTGCTGGCCGTTCCGACGGTCGCGCTGGTCGTTCCGACGGTTGCGCAGATCGTTCCGACGGTTGCGCGGATCGTTCCGACGGTTGGCGTGGCCGTTCCGACGGTTGATGGGTTAGTGGGAGAGAGGGGAGAGCCGCGAGAGGCGGAATTGACTGTAGAAAGGAGGGAGGGGGGCGCTGAAATTTAGCGCAAGGGGAGGGGGCGGGCGTGACGGCGTAGGGGCGCACTAGGCGCAAAGGGCGACGTAGTGTCGCGTGAGAGAGGGGGGCGTGATATAGCACGCGGTATGTGCGGTCCTTAGGATCGAGATGGTGTGAGCCGTAGTTGCTCTGAATACCATGTGAGAAAGTGTAAGAACAACCGATAGTTTCATTAGGAAGGGCATGGGTTTACATAGTTGAGCTAGGATGTAGGAGCCATGCCAACATTATTGGCCCCCACCAATAAGTTGGGTTGAGGAGTTATTGGGGGGACCAATAATGTTGACCAAAAGTGGGTCAACATTATTGGGGGGGCCAATAATCTCCCAACCCAACCTTGGGGGCCCAATAATTGGGCCAAGGTTGGGTTCCAACCTCAAACTAGGGTAAACCCTAGTTGTGCACCCAAACTAAGTTTGGGTGCCTATCTCTAGTCAAAGCTTATATGATGATGCAGGTTACAATGAAGATGGTAATCTGACAGGCGGCACAGCTGTACCCGGGCCTTGGCCTCAATTCCTCCTTCTCTGAACCAGCCCAGCCCACCCACTCCAGAACCATCGCACTTACTCCCATCCTCTCCTGCTCTCCCCATTGCTCCACAACTTTCCCAACCCCCCCACACCACACCACACCCCCCTATGCAGGCGGCACAGCTGTACCCGGACCTGGGCCTCGACTCCTCCTTCACTGACGAACCTGTGAGTAGCGATGAGGTGAAGCCATGTGCACAGGCGTATGGGGCAAGGGGCATGGAGCATGGGGCATGGGGCATTGGGCACGGGGTTACTTAGCGTGATGCATCCACTGGTGACCTGGGATGGGACTCGAGTCCTCCACTGACGATCCCATGAGTGGCGCAGGAGATGCTGCCGGGACTGTATGCTGCCGGGACTGTATGCTGCCGGGACTGTATGCTGCCGGGACTGTATGCTGCCGGGACTGTATGCTGCCGGGACTGTATGCTGCCGGGACTGTATGCTGCCGGGACTGTATGCTGCCGGGACTGTATGCTGCCGGGACTGTATGCTGCCGGGACTGTATGCTGCCGGGACTGTATGCTGCCGGGACTGTATGCTGCCGGGACTGTATGCTGCCGGGACTGTATGCTGCCGGGACTGTTTGCTGCCGTGACTGCATGCTGCCGGGACTGCAGAGGCACATCGGATTACGTACGGTATGGGGCTTGGATGCGTGGGCATGGGCCATGGGGGCAGAGGGGGGCACGGGGACGCATGGGGGGCATGGGGGGCATGGGGAGAGTGGAAGGAGTGGGGAACATTCGGGGCATGGGGCAGTACATGATGCATGCATATCATGCAACCCACGAGTTATTCATGTCTCACTCCCCCCCTCACTGTCCCCCACATGCCAGGTGATGCTGCTGGCGGTGGTGCTGCTGGGTCGCTCCCTAGAGGCCTCTGCCAGGGCGCAGGCCTCCTCCGACCTCAATGCCCTCATGGTACATGAAAGTCCGTATTATGCTCCCCATTGTTCGTCCAACACTGGGAGCACGTCGTGCCATGCCATGCCACCTGTGCTGCTGGGTCGCTCCCTACGGGCCTCTGCCAGGGCGCAAGCCTCCTCCGACCTCAATGCCCTCATGGTAAACTGGAGTTCATACTTTGTTCCCCATCGTTCGTGGATTATTTGTGAGCCCTTCTTATCATGCCGTCTCTGCTGGGTTGCTCCCTAGAGGCCTCTGCCAGGGCGCAAGCCTCCTCCGACCTCAATGCCCTCATGGTACATGGAACTTCATTAATTGATCCCCGTCATATATTCATCCATCACTGTGAGCACCTCATGCCACCTGTGCTGCTGGGTCGCTCACTAGAGGCCTCTGCCAGGGCGCAAGCCTCCTCCGACCTCAATGCTCTCATGGTGATTCCTCTGCCCTGGTTAAGCGGGAAAATGCACTGGTGCTCTTAGTTTCCTCCCCATCATTTGCTGATCGTTGTGAGCGCCATATCCCACCTCTGCTGGGTCGGTCACTGGAGACCTCAGGCCTCTGCCAGGGCACAAGCCTCCTCCAACCTCAATGCCCTCATGGTAATGCCTCCTTTTAGGTTACCAAGGGACTGCTTTGCTTTGTGCTGGGGATAAGGAGGCCAGTGAAATGCAGTGCACTCGTGCTCATAGTTTGAACTTTGCTCCCAACATTCGTCCTTCATTGTGTGAGCGCCTCATTCTCTCCCCCATCTCACCCCTCTGACCGCTCTACCCCTCCCCATTTCCCTACCCATCCCCATGCCTGTCCATGTGCCAGTCGCTGCTCCCCTCCACGGCTCGCCTGCTAGTGCAAGATGACAGCACTGGGGGCAGCGAGCAGGGGGTGGGGGCCGAAGCAGGCGAAATAACCACTTTCACCCCTCTCACCGCTCTACCCATCCCTGTTCCCCTCCCCATCCCCACACCGTCCCCACGCACAGTCGCTGCTCCCCTCCACGGCTCGCCTGCTAGTGCAAGATGACAGTGCCGGGGGGAGCGAGCAGGGGGAGGGGGCTGAAGCAGGCGGGAGCACAAAGGGACTGCTGGCCTCTCTGAGTGCCTCTGGAGTGGGGAGTGGGGGTGTGAGTGAGGGAGGAGGACGAGGGGTGGAGAGTGGGAGTGAGGAGGAGGGGGGGGAGGGATTGGCGCTAAGCATGGCGGCGTGGGTGCAGGTGCCAGCCAATCACGTGCGGCCGGGGGACCGGGTGCTGGTGCTGCCTGGTGACGTCATCCCTGTGGACGTGAGTGGCTGTGTGCTGACGTGGCTGTGTTGACGTGGCTGTGAGCTGACTTGGCTATGCTGATGTGGTTGTGTGCTGACGTGGCTGTGTTGACGTGGCTGTAACAACTGGTTGTGTGGTGATGTGACCATAATCACGAGTGACTATGTGGCATACAGACAGGTGATGTCATCTTCCCCCACTTCCACCCCCCCCCCCGCCCCTCTGTTCCTTCACTCAGGGCGTGGTGGAGAGTGGGCGCAGTGCAGTGGACGAGTCACTGCAGACAGTGACTAAGCGCTATTGCTGCCACCGCTGCTGTTGCCGCTCTAGTCTCATAGATTGTTCCATTCTGTTCATGTCCCCCCTCCTCTCCCATCAGGGCGTGGTGGAGAGTGGGCGCAGTGCAGTGGACGAGTCTTTGCAAACAGGAGAGGCAGCCACAGTGCCCAAACGCAGAGGCGCTGCTGTTGCTGCCGGCACCGTCAATTGGGTGAGTGGTTGCAGAAGAGTGGCAGGGACATGTTGTACAGAGAAGGGCCGAGTGCGTGTTGTAACTTCGTGAGAGTGCAACAGCACCGGCTACGGCCACCAGATGTGCGTCGTGTGAACGCCTTGGCGCGCAGAAGAGGCACAGCTTATCCAAGCCAAGGCTCCCTTCCTGTGCACATACCTCCCCCTCCCTCCCATCAAGAGGGGCCCATAGTGGTATCAGCAACGGCCACAGGCGCAAGCTGCGCTGTGTGTGAGATTGCAGGTGGGTGGAAGGCGCACAACAACCCATTCCCCCCTGTTTCTGCACATCCCTTCTCTTCCCCGGCAACAGGAGGGACCCATAGTGGTCTCAGCGACAGCAACAGGCGCCAGCTGTGCCGTGTGTGAGATGGCACGGCGGGTGGAGGACGCACAGCACTTTTCCTTACAGTGCACTCCACTTCCCTCTCCCCCCGTACCAGGAGGGGCCTATAGTGGTCTCGGCGACAGCAACAGGCGCCAGCTGCGCCGTGTGTGAGATGGCACGGCGGGTGGGGGACGCGCAGCAGTGCATTCTCCCCTTTTCCTTGCACCTCCCTTCCGCTTCCCCCACCAACAGGAGGGCCCGATAGTGGTTTCAGCAACAGCCACAGGTGCAAGCTGTGGCGTGTGTGAGATGGCACGGAGGGTGGAGGACGCACAGCAGCGCACGGCACCAGTGCAGCGCCTGGCAGATGCCATTGCAGGGCCCTTCGTCTTCACCATCATGTCACTTTCTGCTGCCACCTTTGCATTCTGGTAAGTATGAACCGTCATGCAATTACATATCGCAGCAGCTGTGAAACAAAGCTCACAGCAGCGCAGAGCGCCGGTGCAGCGCCTGGCAGACGCCATCGCAGGCCCGTTCGTCTTTACCATCATGACTCTGTCTGCTGCTACCTTCGCCTTTTGGTGAGTGGAAGCCAGGTGGTGCTGTCTGTCCGTTTACTCAGTAGGAATCATGACTCACAGCAGCGCAGAGCGCCAGTGCAGTGACTAGCAGACGCCATTGCAGGGCCCTTTGTGTTCACCGTCATGTGCCTCTGTACCGCGACCTTTGCATTTTGGTGAGTAGAAACCAGCTTGTTTCCGCAGCTTGCTGCTGTGCATCCGGTGCCTCAGTGGGATGACGTGGCACAGCAGCGCACGGCACCGGTGCAGGGACCAGCAGACGCCATTTCAGGGCCCTTTGTGTTCATCATGACTCTCTCTGCTGCTACCTTCGCCTTCTGGTGGGAAGGAATCAGACCTTCCCATCCCCCATCCCCCATCCTCCCCAGGAATCAGACCCCCCCCATCCCCCATCCCTCATCCCCCATCGCATCTCCCCCGCCATCTTCCTCCCACCCCCCCAGGTACACGGTGGGAGTGCATCTGTACCCAGCAGTGCTGCTGTCTGACTTTGCAAGCGACGACTCAGACCCTCTCGTGCTCAGCCTCAGCCTTGTGCCTATCTGCCTCTCCTCCCCACTTTCTTCTCACCTTCTCCTCCCCCCCCACACCAACCACCCATTGCAACCCCCCCAGGTACACGGTGGGAGTGCATCTGTACCCAGCCGTGCTGCTCTCTGACTTTGCAGGGCCCCCTTGTTCTCAGCATCCGTCTTTTGAAGCGCCCCAAAGCTCGTTCTCAGCCTCAGGCTCGTGCATGTCCACCTCCTCTCCTCCAACTTCTTCTCCCCTTCTCCTCCCCCCCCACTGCAACCCCCCCAGGTACACGGTGGGCGTGCACCTGTACCCAGCAGTGCTGCTGTCAGACTTTGCAGGGGACGTCTCGGACCCCCTCGTGCTCAGCCTCAGACTCGCCATCAGCGTGCTGGTGAGAGGGGGCGGACGGACCATAGCCGTTAGTGCTGGTGAGAGGGGGCGGACCATTGCCGTTAGTGCTGGTGAGAGGGGGCGGACCATTGCCGTTAGTGCTGGCGAGGGTGGGCAGGAGCGCGCTGGTGAGGGAGTAGATGACTCAGAAGTGGGCTCTGACCATTACCATTACCATTACCATTACCATTACCACTACCATTATCATTATTATTACCACTACCATTACCATTACCACTACCATTACCATTACCACTACCATTACCACTACCACTACCATTACCACTACCACTACCATTACCACTACCATTACCATTACCATTACCATTATCATTACCATTACCACTACCATTACCATTACCACTACCATTACCATTATCATTACCATTACCATTACCACTACCATTACCATTACCACTACCATTACCACTACCATTACCACTACCATTACCATTATCATTACCATTACCATTACCATTACCACTACCATTACCATTACCATTACCATTACCATTGCCATTACCATTACCACTACCATTACCATTACCATTACCACTATCATTACCATTACCATTACCATTAACATTACCATTACCATTACCATTACCATTACAATTACCATTACCATTACCATTACCACTACCATTATCATTACCACTACCATTACCATTACCATTACCACTACCATTACCATTACCATTACCATTATCATTACCATTACCACTACCATTACCATTACCACTACCATTACCATTACCATTACCATTACCATTATCATTACCATTACCGTTTTACCTGTTGAGGTCGAGTGCAACGAGCGTGCTGGTGAGAAAGGACACGGCTGTTGAGATGTTGAGATGCCGCAAGGTCAACTCTGACCCCCTCGAGCTCAGCCTGTGCCTCGCCATCAGCGTGTTACTGAAACAAGCATCGCCTTCTCACTACGTGAATTCTCTTGCTCCTCTCTTCCAAGCCATTCCCACATGTGTGTCTCCAATCCCCAACCCTTTGATACCCAACCCCATGCTTCCCAAGCCCCTTAGTCCCCACCTCCCTGACTCCATTCCACCTGCTGCTGTGCTCCCTTTGACTGATCCCTGCTTCTCACTCCCCACCACAGGTGGTGGCCTGCCCATGTGCGCTCGGCCTTGCCACGCGCGCGTTGAGTTGACTCAACCACTTAACTCCCTTTGACTGATCCCCCCCTCCCACTCCCCCTTCCATCCCCCCCTCACTCCCCACCACAGGTGGTGGCCTGCCCATGTGCGCTCGGCCTCGCCACGCCCACTGCCATCCTCGTTGGCACATCCCTGGGTACGGTCTCAGCACACCGCAGCGCACCTCCCTGCACCGCAGCACACCTCCCTGCACCGCAGCACACCTCCCTGCACCGCAGCACACCTCCCTGCACCGCAGCACACCTCCCGGCACTGCAGCACACATCTCCCTGGCTCTGCCCTCTGGCCTCGCTACCACTCTTCCATGCCCTCATATCCCACCCACCCACCCATCACATGCCAAACCATGCGTCTTAAGACGATCTGCCGCAACTTTGATAGCTTGCGCAAACTCTTAATTTTAAGACCCTGCATGCGTGCATGGCAGGTGCGAGGAGAGGGCTGCTGCTGCGTGGGGGAGGCTAGCAGCAGTCAATGTGGTGTTTTGCGTCGACTCTGAACACGCCTCCCATAACCTCATTCACATGGATGCGTGTGTGCGTGCATGGCAGGGGCGAGGAGGGGACTGCTGTTGCGCGGGGGAGACGTGTTGGAAAGACTGGCCGCAGTCGATGTGGTGGCGTTTGACAAGGTGAGCCACGCGAGGGGAGGAGAGGTGAGGCGAGGCGAGATGGGGTGCGCGCACCTGTCTGACGGTGTTACTTTTGAGAATGCTCAAAAGTTCCACAGAATCACTGCTACTAGCACCTACAAGTTCATCCCAGTCACAGCCAATCCCCTTCTGCCACGTCCTCTTCTCACTTCCCCCCCCCTCGTTCGTCCCCCTATCTGCCTCCCCCACTCCCCCAGACGGGCACGCTGACAGCGGGGCAGCCCCAGGTGTCGGCTGTGGTGCCTGCAGCCCACCTGCAATCCACCACTCTCCACCGCTCACAATCCCACTCCACCTCCCTCCACCAAGACCCAGCCTCAGCGTCAACCCACCCACACGCCACCACTGCTACTGCCATTGCTACCGATACAGATACTGCCACTGATGCTGCCACTGTGTCTCTGCTGCGCCTGGCAGCAGCAGCAGAGGCCACTACCCGTCACCCAGTAGCTGCCGCTATCACCGCCCATGCCGCTCTCCTCTCCGCCGCCCCTCTGCCGGCCGTTTCGTCTGCTCTCACTGTTCCTGGGCGGGGCGTGGTGGCTGTAGTGGATGGTAAAGAGATCCACGTGGGGGGCTTTGATTGGGTGGCGAAGCATTGCTTGGGAGGAACAAGGGAGAGGGAGGGGCGGGGAGGGAGTGGGAAAGGGAGTGAGGTGGAAGGGGAGAGGGAGAGATGGCGGAGAGTGGAGGAGGGGGTGTTGAGAGGAGAGTGTGGGGGCGTGGGAGGGAGTGGGGAGAGAGGAGAGTGGGGATGAGAGACAGCAGCAGCAGCCACACGTTTGTGTATGTGGGTGAAACGATGAGCGAGGAGGAGAAGGGGGGGGCGGCGGAGGAGGGGAGGAGTGTGGACGGTGGCATTCTGGGGTGCATCTGTGTGAGCGACTCACTGCGCGCCGAGGCACAGGAGACCGTGAGCAGGTGAGTGTTGGAGGGCAGGTGCACATTCATCTGTGGGGGACATGGGCATGGGCGGTCTTCTGGGGTGCATCTGTGTTAGCGACTCACTGCGCGCCGAGGCAAGGGAGACTGAGCCGGTGAGTGTGTAAAGGTGGATGCACAATTATGTGAGGGGGGTTGGAGAGTGAGGGAGATGTGTGGGCGAGGCGAGGCGAGGGGTGCATGTATCTGTGTGAGTGACTCGCTGCGCACCAAGGCACAGCAGATCATGAGCCGGTGAGTGTCGATTCAAGTGAAAAATCATCTAGGGGTGCTGAAGAAGAGGCAGTAGATCTATGAGGGCGCCATGAAGTCACATGCATCCCGCACCCTCCATTTCACATGCTGGCTTCCTTGGGAGTGTTGCCTGCTGTGCTGTCGCGCGACCAGCAGGCAGCAGTGGCAGCAGTCCGCCTCCAGAGCAGGAATACCCCCTTCTCTCCCTGCTTCCTCCCCCCCACCTCCTCCTCAGGTTGGAATCGCTGGGAGTGTCAGCAGCAGTGCTGTCGGGCGACCAGCAAACAGCAGTGACGCGCGTGGTTTGAGGCAGCTGATTCTTGAAACACCTTGGTAGTCAAGAAGGTCTGTCTCTCGCTTCCTCCATCCACTCTCCACCCCTCCTCCACAGGCTGGCCTCTCTGGGTGTGTCAGCAGCAGTGCTGTCGGGCGACCGGCACGCAGCAGTTACTCGCGTGGCAGAGGCCGTTGATTCTCAAAACACCATGTTAGTCAAAGGGTTCTGTCTCTCGCTTCCTCCATCCACTCTCCACCCCTCCTCCACAGGCTGGCTACCTTGGGAGTGTCGCCTGCAGTGCTGTCGGGCGACAGGCAGGCGGCAGTGACATGTGTGGTAGAGGCAGTTGGCATTGCTGGCCCGCGTGGCACATGCAGTTCGTGGTTTAGCTTTCTTGCCTGCTTGTTCCCTCCATCCACCACCCTGCATGCCCGCCCACAGGCAGGCAGCACCGGTGCTGTCGGGCGATCGGCAGGCGGCAGTGACCCGCATGTGGCAGAGGCAGTTGATTCTCAAAACACCTTGTTAGTCAAGAAGCTCTGTCTCTCGCTTCCTTCCTGCACCCGTAACAGGTTGGAGTCACTGGGTGTATCAGCAGCAGTGCTGTCGGGCGACCGGCAGGCGGCAGTGACGCGCGTGGCTGAGGCTGTTGGCATCGCTGGCCCGGGGAAGGTTCTCGGAAGGCTGCTGCCGGAGGGCAAGGCTGAGGCGATTGAGGGCTTTCAAAGGGACGGGCACAGCGTGGCGATGGTGAGAGATGGAGGGGGCGGGGAAATGGGGAGGCAGGGCGTGGATGAGGTGTGAGGAGTGCAAACGCCAGGGCAGCCTGAGGCGTGGCTGTTGCCCGGAGGCGAGGCGGAGGCGATTGAGAGCATGCAAAGGGACGGTCGCAGTGTAGCGATGGTGAGATGACATGGGGGGGGGGTTGGAGGCAGGGCGTGGATGAGGTGTGAGGAGTGCAAACGCCAGGGCAGCCTGAGGCGTGGGTGCTGCCTGAGGGCAAGGCTGAGGCGATTGAGAGCATGCAAATGAACGGTCACAGCGTGGCGATGGTGAGATGAGAGGCGGGAAGTGGGGGGGGAAGGGGAGGAAGGGAGTGGGTGACGAGGGTGGAGAAGGGAGGGAACATGTAGTGGGACGAGCATAGCGTGGCAATGGTGAGAGGAAGAGGAGAGGAAGGGAGTGGTTGAGGGTGGAGGAGAGGGGGAAAATGTAGCGAAACGGGCACAGCATGGCATTGGTGAGAGGGGGATGGTGATAGAGAGGGGGAGGGTGGTGGGGGATGGGGATTGTGAGAGAGAGGGGGAGGGTGGTGGGGAGAGGGATGACGAGTGCAAGCGACTGAGAAGTCTGAGGCTTGGTGCGTGCACCCTCTGCTGTGCTGCTACCCTGTTGATCCGCTTTGCCACCGCCTCATGTCCTAGCCCTAGTCGGTATAGTGCAGACGTGGGCGTGGCACCTCTACCTCCCCTCCGCCTGCCATCTGCATCCAGTCCCTCTTCTCCCTTCACCTCTTTCCTTCTTCCCCTTTATCCTCACCCCCCTCCATTTCACACCAGGTGGGTGAGTGCATCAACGACACCCCGTGCAGATGTGGGAGTGGCGGTACCTCCGCCGGGTTTCACCTCGGCTGTCATGAGCTATGCTCATTGTGTTGCAAACCGCTGCCTTGTCCCTCTCCTCTCCCCTCACCCCCCATCCCCCTTCACACACCAGGTGGGAGACGGCATCAACGACACGCTCGCCCTGGCTCGTGCAGATGTGGGAGTGGCGGTGCCTCCTCCAGGTGCCACCTCGGCTGTCATGAGTGCTGCTGCCGATGCTGCTGACCTCGTGCTGTTGGGAAACCGACTCACACAGGTGCGACCTTTGAGTTGCCTCAAATGTTTCGGTACCTCCCCCTGGGCCACCTCCCCTGACCTCGTGCTGTCCGGCTTGCTCAGCCAGGCCCACCTCCCCCCTCCCCGCTCCCCGCTCCACCCTCCCTCTCACCACCTCTCCTGCATGCTTTCATCTCTTACCGCTGCCTTTCGCGTCATGAACCCTCCCTTCTCCCTTCCTTGCTTCTTTTGCGCCTCCCGCACCATCTGCCCTTCCTCTCTCCTCTTCCTCTGCTCTCCCCTCCCTGGCGTGCCGTGTTGCCTCCCATCTATCCTCTCCCGCCTCCCTCACCAACCCCCATCACCAGTTAGTGGAAGCAGTACACCTAGCGCGAGCCTCAATGAACAGAGTGCGTTTCAACCTCGCATGGGTCTTCGCCCACAACTGCCCCTTCCTCCTCTCCCTCTTCTCCCTCTTCTCCCTGCCATGCCTCACTTCCTTGCGTTCCCACAAACCCCACCCCTCCGTCCTCCTCCCCATGACCAGCTAGTGGAGGCGGTGCATCTAGCGCGGGCCACAATGAACAGGGTGCGCCTCAACCTCACATGGGCCCTCATCCACAACTGCCCCTTCTCCTCCCCCTTGTGTGTGTCGTGCTGCCTTGCTTCCCCCTTCCCCTCACCGCCAGCTAGTGGAGGCGGTGCATCTAGCGCGGGCCACAATGAACAGGGTGCGGCTCAACCTCGCCTGGGCTCTCGCATACAACTGCCCCTTCCCCCTCTCCCTACCGTGCCTCGCTGCCTTGCTTTCCCACCCTCCCTCCTTCCCTCCTCCCCACCGCCAGCTAGTGGAGGCGGTGCATCTAGCGCGGGCCACAATGAACAGGGTGCGCCTCAACCTCGCATGGGCCCTCGCCTACAACTGCCTCGCGGTGCCGCTGGCAGCTGGGGCCTTCCTCCCGGCCTACGACATCGCCCTCACACCCACCCTCGCTGGTACGACTATCATGCTCACCCTCAATGGTACGACTATCATGCTCACCCTCAATGGTGTGATGCACACCGCACTGAATCTCTAAGCGCGCACATCTCCTGTTACCAAAGCACACGCCCAAGCCCCTCTCAACCTCCACCTCTCCACGCACTTGCCCCCTCCGTATCTGTCCTCCCCCTTCGCCCTTCTTTCCTCCCCTTTCCCATCCCCACTCTCCCTTCCCCCCCTCTCCCCTCTCCCTTTTCTCCTCATCCCTCCCCTACCCCCCTCTCCCCTCCCCCTTCTCCCCTCTCGCCTCCCACTTCTCCCCTCTCTCCTCTCACCTCTCCCTTCTCCTTGCCCCCCCCGTCCCTCTTCGCCGCTGCAGGGGGCCTCATGGCTGGGAGCTCTGTGCTGGTGGTGGTCAGCTCGCTGCTGCTGCGACTGCACAAGGCACCGCAGTGAACCACAGGGCACCGCAGTGAACCACAAGGCACCGCAGTGAACCACCCATCGCCACAGTGAACCACAAGGCACCGCAGTGAACCACCCATCGCCGCAGGGTGACTTGGTGCGCAGGTGGGTTGCTGTCAAGCAGGAACACTCAGCTTACCTAGTTTGTGGCGCTGGTTGTGTTTGTCACCCCCTTGCTTTGTACCATGAGAGGACAAGTCTCGGGGCACCTCAAAACCCATACCACTTGCACAGGCGGACCCGCGGTGTTGTGGTTTAAGCAATCTTGCTGCCGGCAGCATCATTGAGTTTGTACAGTAACGCAAATGTGGGCTACAGGAGATTCAGCCAGCCACTATCAACAATTTGATTTGGATGGTTCCAGCAGCAATGCAGCCTGGCATGGAGATTACCGTAATCACCCGGACATAACACCCGGGGGTATTATGATAACCACAGGGAAAAAAGGGGGGGGGGTCCTCTCAACGGAAAATCCTATATAATACCCGGGTGGTTATATATGGCACTTTTTAGTGTAAGAAAAAAAATTAATTAGACAATTTGGGTGTTTCAATAGTCGTTATAACATCACAGGTTGAGGCGAGAATTCGAGTTTTGGCGAGAAAGCGAGTTTCACCTCTCGGGCCACGTGCAGCAAAAGATTCGCCAGCGTGGCGACAGCGAGATTGTGGAAGGGAGGGAATCTCGGTAGATTCGAAGTGAAAGTGCACGCGAAATTTCATTCAGGGAGCGATTTTCGTCATATCCTCCCGTAAAAAATCTGACTCGATAACAGCTATAATAGGGTTTCGTAAGAAAAGGGGGGTGTTATAAAGAATCGCCCCAAAAGGGGGGGTATAGTACAAACGAGGTCGGCTATAGCACCCCCCCCGCACAAGCTACCCGGGGGTGTACTATTACGGGGGGGTGTTTTGTCCAGGTGATTACGGTATGTATGGTATGGTCGCATGCATGGACTCTCATGCAAGGGGTGTGCAACAACAAAAGGCAATCCAACAATGTAGCCTGGCAAGGCTCGCTCGGTAGTGTAGGAAGAGCTCAAAGAGTAAAACATTGTACCCTATAACAAACATCAACTGGCTATGGAACAAGCTACACTAGCAATGTGGTACAGTACAGACCGGTACTCCTACATGCTAACGTAGTGCATGCATACTGAAGTCGCATACTTTGGTACTGTATTTGCATTACAGCTACAGGCAGCAGCAAGAGCAGACCATTTACAGCACATCTGTGGCGAGTTGCTATGTATGCATGGACATAGGGCAGGAAGCCAGCAGCTCAACACCCCTCAGCTGCACTAATCTCCCAGTCGACAGCAACCACCACTGCCTGCCACCTCTTGCTTCCATTCACTCCGCAAATCCCCAGCTCCATTCGTGTCTCCACAGCTACACCACCTGCTCCCCCTCGTCCCTCACTGCAGGTAGGAGACATATTTTGCCGACAGCAGCAGCTTCTGCACGGGGTCAGCATGGTCCAGCAGGCGCAGCACTCGCTCCTTGCCCTTCATGTCATGCGCCACTCCCCGCCCCGCCCCGCCCACACCCCGCCCCGCCCCGCCCTGCCCCGCTACTCCCTGCCCTGCCACTCCCCGCCCCACACCCTGCCGCACCCCACCCAGCCAACCCTCCCCCCTGCCCTCCCTCACTGCAGGTAGGAAACATACTTGGCAGAGAGCAGCAGCTTCTGCACGGCCAGCAGAGCCTGCTTGCGCACCTCGGGGTCAGCATTGTCCAGCAGGCGCAGCACTCGCTCCTTGCCCTTCATGTCATGCGCCACTCCCCGCCCCGCCGGGTGATACGTGATGAACTGCCCCAGGTCGTGGCAGGCCACTGCGAGTGTGCGCGGCTCATGGCTGGTGTCCAATAAGGCCACCAGCGCCCGCAGAACCTGGTGTGAAGTGAGGTAGGGAAGAAGAGGGTACTTGGTGCCTCAGACTCCCCGCCCCGCCGGGTGATACGTGATGAACTGCCCCAGGTCGTGACAGGCCACTGCGAGTGTGCAGGGCTCGTGGCTCGTGTCAAGTAAGGCCACCAACGCTCGCAGCACCTGCCATGAGGTGGGGTAGGGAGGAAGGTGAAGTGGGGTTGGTTGGATCAAGTGTCCACTGCGCGTAAGAAACGAGATGAAGTGCCCCGGGTCATCCACGCCCCTGCCAGCGTGCGTGGCTCATGGCTCGAGTTCTAGTAAGGCCGTGAGTGCTGGCAGCACCTGAGATGGGGTAGGCGAAAGGGGGAGTTGAAAGGTAGTGTGGAGGCGGAAGGTTGGGATGTTTAAGGTGTCTCAAATAAGAGGTAAACTGCCCCAGGTCGTGGCACGGTAGCAGTACAGCACGAGGCTGCGTTTCTGTGCATGGGCATCCAGTCAAGCCAGGCACCCTCACAACCGCACAGCACCGCACACCACCCAACCATGCCCACCTGGAAGTCGTTATCCTCAAAGTGCATGACGTTCTCGCGCCAGAAAGCGGCATCCTTGTGCATGGGCGTCCAGTCGAGTGAGCCTGACATCCTCACAACCACACAGCACTGCACAGTACCACACAGCACCCAACCTTCCGCACCTGGAAGTCGTTATCCTCAAAGTGCATGACGTTCTCGCGCCAGGAAGCGGCGTCCTTGTGCATGGGCGTCCAGTCGAGCCCAGCAGCACCCTCACAACCGCACAGTACCGCACGCCACCCATCCAACCATCCGCACCTGGAAATCATTATCTTCAAAGTGCATGACATTCTCGCGCCAGAACGCGGCGTCCTTGTGCATGGGCGTCCAGTCGAGCGCGCCCAACACCCTCACAACCACACAGAACCGCACAGTACCCAGCCTAGCATACCTGGAAGTCATTATCCTCAAAGTGCATGACATTCTCGCGCCAGAAAGCCGCGTCCTTGTGCATGGGCGTCCAGTCCAGCGACCCCGACAGCACCTCCTGGCGGTACTTATCGAACGAGCTCATCACGCGCAGGTTGTGCCTCAACCCCACGTCCAGGGCTTCAAGGGCTTCCTTCAAGTCCTGGTTATTGAGGCAGTGCGAGAAGCACGGGGCACAGAGAGGGAAGGAAGGTAAGGCGGTGTGATATGAGGCTTGTGAGCGAGCCTCAGAGCACCTCCTGGCGGTACTTGTTGAGAGAGGCTCATCACGCGCAGGTTGTGCCACAGCCCCACGTCTAGAGCTTCCAATGCCTCTTTCAGGTCCTGGTGGGAAAAGCAGAAGGCACAGTCGGGAAAATGATGGTTCGTTGTGGGGCGAGCGAGCCCCACAGCACCTCCTGACAGTACTTGTCGAACGAGCTCATCACGCGCAGGTTGTGCCTCAACCCCAGGAAAAACGAGCTGCTGGTTATGACAGTGCAGTATGCCATGGCAAGAAACTCGTCGTGCCACGTCATGCCGCCAGCTCACCTCGTCGTGCCACGCGTGCAGCTTGAGGCTCTGCACGACCTTGGGCAGCCCCAGCTCCACCATTGATGCTCCCAGGTGCCCGCGCGTCATCAGGTTGCTGAGGGTGAGCACCGCCACCCGCACTATCTGTAAAATGTACGGTGGGGGCGGTATGTAGGGGTTGGGAGAGGTGCAGAGGTGTGAAGGAAGGCTCTGCACGACCTTGGCAGCCCCAGCTCCACCATGGACGCCCCCAGGTGCCCGCGGGTCATGAGGTTGCTGAGGGTCAGCACCGCCACCCGCACTATCTGTGACATGTAGAGGGGGGAGGTGGGGGTTCGGCAGTTAAGAGAGGTGCAAAGGTGTGAGGGGAGGTGGAGGGGCGTGAGCTGCTGTGCGACCTTGGGCAGCCCCAGCTCCACCATGGACGCCCCCAGGTGGCCGCGGGTCATGAGGTTGCTTAGAGTCAGCACCGCCACCCGCACTATCTGAGAATGGGGGACTCAGGGGTTGGGGGAGGTGCAGAGAGGTGTGAGGCTCTGCACGACCTTGAGTAACCCCAGCTTCAACAGGTTGCTTAGACTCAGCACCGCCACCCGCAGTATGAGGGACATGAAGGAGGGGGGATGTGGGAATAGGGAGAGGTGCAGTGAAGGGATATGAGCTGGTTACCTTTTCTTTGAATGAAGCAAAGCTTTTTGAGGCGGGTGAAAAACAGTTCGCCCAGCTAACTACCTTTTTTTTAACCGTCTCTCACACACACCCCCAGCATTCCCTGTCACTCACCTTCTATTTAGCAGAGCTCTTGGCAACGTCAATGAGGCGCGGCAGCACGCGCGCGTGACGAATGAAGAGTTGACTTTTGACTTTTGAGTCGACTCAAAAGTCAACGCAGCTACCCACCTTCTCTTTAGCAGAGCTCTTGGCGACGTCAATGAGGCGCGGCAGCACGCGCGCCTGGCGAATGGCCTCCAGGGAAGGTCCTTAACCTCCCTCACAACCCCAGCACTCATCGCCTCACCTTCTCCTTGGCGGAGCTCTTGGCGTCGTCGATGAGGCGCGCCAGTATGCGTGCTTGGCAAATGGCCTCCAAGGAAGGCTCCTCTTATGAGGTGCCTAGCCGTCCCTATCCGCCCAGCTACCCACCTTCTCCTTGGCAGAGCTCTTGGCAACGTCAATGAGGCGCGGCAGCACGCGCGCCTGGCGAATGGCCTCCAGGGAAGGCTCGTGGAAGGAGAGCAGCCAGAGGCACAGCACTGCCTCGTACAGCAGCTGAATGGGAGGGAGGGCGAGGACGGGGAAAGGAGGGGTGGGTGATGCATATTGAGTCGAGTCCAACATACACTTGGACGAGCAGCCAGATGCACAGCACCGCCTCATACAGCAGCTGGATGGGAGGGCGAGGGGGAGAAGGGGGGGAGGGGCGAGGAGGGGGGGAGGGGGGTTAGTGAATTTCATTTCAGTCGACTCAAGAATCGGGAGCGGGTGGGGGCTGTGTTTTGAGTTAGACTCAACACTTGAACGAGCAGCCAGAGGCACAGCACTGCCTCGTACAGCAGCTGGATGGGGAGAGAGGGGCGGAGGACAGGAGGAAAGAGGGTGGGGCGGTGAATATTAAGTCGACTCAAGAAACGGGAAGAGGGGGGTTCAATATCTAAGTTGGCTCTACACATTGGCGAGCAGCCAGAGGCACAGCACTGCCTTGTAAAGCAGCTGACGGGTGAAGAGAGTGGGGGCGGGGACGGTGGGAGGGGAGTGGGTGGGTGGGGGGGTGTGGTGTGAGAAGGGGAGAGACAGGGGCATTGGCCGAGAGTGCATGGACACTTGCACTTGCACACATTCTGTGGTGTCGCGGCAGTGTGCAACGTCACACATGCAGCAGCACGCGGTTCTGGCCAGCCAGCCACGAGTGGAATGTGCGGCTGCGGTAGGCAGCATGGGGAAGCACGACTGAAAGAATGTCACCACACCATCACGCACCACACCATCACCCACCACACCATCACCCATGACAATAGTTCTGTCAGCCAGGGGAGCAATGCACGGCAGCAGCAGACAGAACACAGCAAAGCCACTTATGAAAGCACAGCATAACGAATCACACCATAACGCATCGCACCTGCATTTGGTTCTGGCCGGCCACGGGTGCAATGTAGGGCAGCAGCAGGCGCACGCCATCAGCCTTGGCAAAGATGGAGCGAGCTGACACGTCCCTGAGTGTTGTGGCGAGCGCTGTTATGGCTGCTGGCACCGCTCGCACCGGGTGCACCGGGCGAGTTAGCTGGGGGCGGGATGGGGAAGAGAAGGGGCGGAAAAGTGTGGGGGGTGACTTCTGAGGTGCTTCTACAGCCGACACATCTCTGCGCGTTGTGGCGAGTGCTGTTATGGCTGCTGGCACCGCGCGCACCGGGTGCACTGGGCGAGTTAGCTGAGGTGGGAGTGGGGGCAGAGAGGGAGGGAGGGAGGGAGGGAGGGAGGGAGGGAGGGAGGGGGGGAGGGAGGGAGGGAGTAGAGGGAGGAGCTGTGTTGTTGGGCAAGGGGAAGTATGATGCAGGCAGCAGCAGGCGCACGCCACCCGCGTTGGCAAAGATGAAGCGAGCCCACATGTCCCTGAGCGTTGTGGCGAGCGCTGTTATGGCTGCTGGCACCGCCCTCACCGGGTGCACCGGCTGCACTGGGCGAGTCAGCTGGGAATGGGAGGGAGGGAAGGGGGGAGGCGGAGAGGTGCGGGGAAAGGGTAAATATGGTGGGGGTGAGGGGGAAGCGAGATGACTAGGACGTGGGCATGGCAGAGAAGTCACCTGGTGGCAGCGCACTCACCTGGTGGCAGCGCACTCACCTGGTGGCAGCGCACTCACCTGGTGGCAGCGCACTCACCTGGTGGCAGCGCACTCACCTGGTGGCAGCGCACTCACCTGGTGGCAGCGCACTCACCTGGTGGCAGCGCCCTCACCTGGTGGCAGAGCCAGGCGATAAAGGGCTCGAGCACGTAGTCTATGTTGCCTGCTGCGCGTGCGGGAGTCACTGCCCCTGCCGCCGCTGGTGCAGCTGCAGGCGCGGACGTGCTGTGGGGGCGAGAGCTGGTGGGCAGGCAGGCACGAGGCGGGTGTGACCGTTGGAGAGGGGTTGATAAAAAAGAGGGAGGGGAGATGCAAGGAATGACGTTATTATGATTGGAAGGGCAGGTGCTGTGGACGCATGTTTCCCATTTGCTGGATACAGAGGGGTGAGGCAAGGACCTGGTGATGTGGAGATGCACGCACACGAAGCAGCAAACAGCAAAAAGCACCCACACAAGGCTGAGAGAGAAATGCACGGGAAGAAGCAGCGCACTCACACGATGGCATGCATGGGACGCAGCAAACAGCATAGAGCGCTCACACAACAGCATGTATGACAAGCAGAAGATGAGCACTCACACAATGATGAGTGGCAGAATGCGAGACGTGGCCTCCAGCACGAACCAGTTGGTGTGCCCCAGCAGTCTGTGCGATGGTGGAGGGGTGGGGTAAGGGGGGGCGGGCAGTGGAGAGAGGTGTGCAAGAGATAAGCGCGGAAGAATAACGAATGTGTGAATGCGCGACGTGGCCTCCAGCACGAACCAGTTGGTGTGTCCCAGCAATCTGTGCAATGGCGGAGGGTGGGCAGGGCACAGTGGGAAGGTGAAAACGGTCAGTTTATTCACGGTCAGATGGTGGAGGAGCGGGCAGTGCAGCGTTGGATAGGGTTGTTAATGAACTGTTGGACTGGTGAGATGGGTGTGCAAGAGATGGGCGACGGATGGCGCTCATTCACCTGATGAAGGGCGCTCACTCACCTGAGGAAGGGCGCTCACTCACCTGAGGAAGGGCGCTCACTCACCTGAGGAAGGGTGTTCACTCACTCACATGATGAAGGGCGTTCACTCACTCACCTGATGAAGGGCGTTCACTCACTCACCTGATGAAGGGCGTTCACTCACTCACCTGATGAAGAGTGTTCGCTCACTCACCTGATGAAGGGCGTTCACTCACCTGATGAAGGGCGTTCACTCACTCACCTGATGAAGGGCGTTCACTCACTCACCTGATGAAGGGCGTTCACTCACTCACCTGATGAAGGGCGTTCACTCACTCACCTGATGAAGGGCGTTCACTCACTCACCTGATGAAGGGCGTTCACTCACTCACCTGATGAAGGGCGTTCACTCACTCACCTGATGAAGGGCGCTCACCCACCTAATGAAGGGCGCATAGACATCGTCCGTTATGGATGGGTCGTGGAACAAACGCGCCCTCTTCTTGTCTCCTGCAGCACACGCAAGCGGCAGCATGAGCGCATGGTGAGGAGAAGGGAGGGGACAGACGAAGTGTCGTCCATGCTGTCACACTCGGCACTCGGTCGCTTGACAAGAAACGGTACAACAGTTGCAATGTGCGGTTCTAGGCACGAGAAATTTTATTTGGGAATTGTCTTTGTGATTCCCACAACGCAGAACCCGTTACTTGTTAAAAGCTCGTCGATGAGGGCGATAGTGTACTCCACAGTCTCCTCTTTAAAGACATTCTTCAGTACGGATACAAACGTGCGCACGTATCCGACGCCGTTCTGTAAGGTCAATGTGTGGAGCCAGACAAGACAAGGGGCGGTTGCGACAAGCGTAAGGGCACCAGAGAGAAGAAATAGAGTAGCAATGAATGCGAGAGGAGGACATTGATGATGCATACATACTACAGCTGTCAGCCTGTCATGAGAACCGATGCACCTGAATACAGCCGCTCCGCAGGGAACCAGGCGAGGAGAGAGCGGAGATTGCCGTACGAGCAGAACGGACGGAACACGAGAAACACGAGAAACGCAAAGAGGGGCGGGGAGGGGAGAGGATCGAGGAGGGGAGGCGGCCGGGACGGCGCTCGCCTCTTCGAGCAGGGCGGCTATCTACCTTTTCAACTCAGAAAAGAGGAGAGAGGAAGGAGAGGTGGTTGGGGCGGCGCTTGCCTCTTCGAGCAGCGCGGCCTGGACCTCCTTGGAGCGGTGGTCGTAGCGGCGCAGCAGCTGGAAGTCCGTGCCCGTGATCAGCTTCGCCGTCACGTACGTGTCCCACGCCACGTCGCCCAGCAGCACCTGCGACGGCGTGCGACAGAAACCAGGCGTCGCACGCGACGGAAAAATGGCATCGCACGTGAGGATGTGAGGCGGTTCGCAGGAGCAGGAACAGGCATATTAGAGTGGCATGGGATGGGACGCGTTAGCGATAAGAATGCGGTGCGCAGCAGATAGAGCTATGTCGGCTGCAGATCTGACGGCCGAGATTCACGGCTCGAGCAGCACGGCAAGGTCGAGAACATCGGGACATGGATCTGAAAATGGGATCACTAGGCGTCTAGAAATAAAAGCAGGTGATTTTTTAGCTCGAGCTCGATAGCGAAACGCCTTGGTTCATTCGTATGCTATTTAATGGTCAGCAGACGAGGGCTCGAATCGTGCGCGAAGGAAGGAGATCCTAATACGAAGGGACGAGATCCGAATGCGCACCTTCTCCTTGTACGCCTCGAACGACCCTTCCATCTGCTCGATCTCGCTCAGTTGTTCTGGTCAATAGCGTGAGAGAACGATCAACGAGTGCGGAGATGCCGCTTACGCACAGTGAGATAAGCCGTAAACAGTCACGTGCTTCCAGAAACGGCAATGCAGGAATAATTTGAACGAAGCTGACTAGTGCTCCGTCAAATGTGCTTGCTACCCCACCTTGCTGAGCAGCGAACCTCAAGGGAATCCTGGCAGAGCACAGCACAGCAGCCCGAAGAAGAGCTGTTTCTGACAATATCGAGGTAATTCATTGTTTCGACATCGGTACCTCGGAAGCTGAGAATTGAAATATTCAGACATAAACATTTGGAGTGTTCTGTTTCGCTGATGTTAGTATACCGAGAATGTTACGAAAAGATTCGCGCCTCTCGCTTGGAGACGTGGCGCTGACAATGCAGCAGGCGAGGTCTCGCTTCCCTTGCCTTCTTCCCTCTGCCTCAGCCACTCCCCTCAAACCCTCATTCCGCCATCTTCATCCCTCCTCACCACTCACCTCTTCCTCAAGAAGACCGAATCTGAAATCCAAACCAAACGGGCATCTGGGCCTTTTTAGGATCCCCCCACTTTCTCCCAACTTTCAGGATCTGCTAGTAAACCAGTTCAAGTTAGCTTCATTGCAAAGTTTCTAGACTCAGTTTCGTTCACATGTTTTAGTGCGTGGTGAAAATACGCGAAGCTGCTGTTCCTTGTTGTTCCGATTGGTGTAGCAGCAACGGTTAGCGGCGCGCACACACAGAAGGAAAGAGAGACGCAGCGGAGAGTGCGGCGATGAAGGTCACAGTGAAGACCCTCAAGGGGCTTCAATTCGACGTCAACGTCGAACCGTCAGATAAGGCAAGAACCGTCGAATTGCCAGATGACGCAAGATCCGCCGATGCGTCGCTGATAGTTTCTCTGTCAGGGCCGGAATCTGCCACATGGATACCTGCGTGCTGGTAGATCCACTATCGTAATTTATTATAGGGAATCTTTGTGCTCTGAACCCGTCGAAACCCCGTAGGTGGCGTAAGTGAAGGGAAAGATCTTAAAGATTCTGGGCGCGGCGTTGATAGATGCGCTGTCGTGATTTACACTAGTAAATATATTGAGCGCATCGGTGTACCCCTGTGCCCCGCACTCCCCCGCAGGTGGCGGAGGTGAAGGGGAAGATCTTTGAGATTCAGGGCGCGGCGTTTCCGCGCGAGCAGCAGCTGCTGATCCACCAGGGCAAGGTGCTCAAAGACGACTCCACGCTCGCTGACAGCAACGTCTCCGAGAATGGATTCCTCGTCGTCATGCTGACAAAGGTACGCCGCGTCACGTCCAACGTTTTGGGCACGTCACGCCGAGCCGTCGCTCCACCCTCCTCCAGATCCACCTCTCTGTTCCTCCTGTGTTTGACGTAGATCTGGCGGTTATGTTGGTTTTATCGACCCTGATTTCGGCCGTGTGTGTGTGTGTGTTCCTGCTTGCAGCCTAAACCCGGAGCCGCGGGGGCGTCGTCATCAGCGCAAGCAGCGGTACGTCATCTTGCTCTTCTGTTTCCCCAACCGGGACTCTTTTCAGAGCGTCGAATAGCTTGCTGGACGCCTAAAAAATTAACTGATAGTGAATAACGATAATAAAGCGCATATGATGTCGTGATTTTCGTCCCCCCAGCCTGCAGCCACCCCTGCGCCAGCGCCTGCTGCGCCACCAGCGGCCGCGCCAGCGGCACCAGCGGCGCAGGCAGCCCCCGCAGCGCCGGCCGAGCCCGCCGCTCCAGCCGCACCCGCCGCCCCGCCTGCCGCCACCGCCGCACCCGCAGCAGCCGCGGGCGAGCAGGCAGGGAGTGGCGCGGCGGCGGAGAGCGGGGGGGTGTACGGGCAGGCGGCGTCCGCGCTGCTGGCGGGGCCGCACCTAGAGTCGACGGTCCAGCAGATCCTGGAGATGGGCGGCGGCAGCTGGGATCGCGACACGGTGCTGCGCGCGCTGCGGGCGGCGTTCAACAACCCCGAGCGCGCTGTGGAGTACCTTTACTCGGTGCGCGCCCCTGACCGCTCCGCAGTGCACCGCACCTGGCCTCACCGTACTCCACCGTTTTTCACCTCGTCTCTCCTCTTCTCATCCCACATCACCGCCTCTTACCTGACTCTTCTCCTCTCTGTGCGCACACCGCATCCCACCTCACCCCACCTTGCCGCACCCCCCAACTTCCCTGCCCCTCTCCGCAGGGCATACCAGAGACGGCCGCTCCGCCTGTGGCGCGCGCGCCCCCAGCGGCGGGAGGGGGAGGGGGAGGGGAGGCGGAGGGCATGGAGGACGTGGCGATGGAGGGCGGACCCAACACCGCGCCCCTCAACCTCTTCCCCCAGGTGCGCCCTTCCCCCAGGTACGCCCTTCCCCCAGGTACGCCCATTCTCCAGGTGCGCCCTTCCCCCTGGTAAGCTTATCCCCGAGTGTGCTTGTCCCTCAGGTGCGCTTTTTCCCAGGTGCGCTGTTCCCCAGATGCGCTCTTCCCCCAGGCGCGCTCTCCCCCAGATGCGCTCTTTCCCAGGTGCTCTTCCTCCCGTAGGTGCGCGCCTGCTCACCTCTCACTTATTCCGCTTGTTTTCCCAAGTCGCCCCACGCTGTCCTGTCCCCATGTCTGCACAAACCCTGACCACGTCTCGTCCTCCCTTGCGCTGCTTACCTTGTTGTTCCGTGCGAGAAAATGCTCTTCTCTTTGTGTCGCTCTCCTCGTGTCGCTCTCCTCGTGTCGCTCTCCTCGTGTTGCTCTCCTCGTGTCGCTCTCCTCGAGTCCTTGTCCTGCCATGTTGATCCCACCTGACCTGAGTTGTGCATCTCCCTGACTGGTGGACTTCTCTTTCCCTGTATCGTGGATTCACGGCAGCCGGGGCAAGGGGGAGCAGCAGCAGGCGCGGAGGGAGCGGCGGCGCTGGACTTCCTGCGAAGCAATCGCCGGGTGAGTGCTGACCAACCACAGGGCGAGCGTTTACAAAGCGTAGCCTGAAACAAGTGGTGATCTTGGTGAGGGCTGGCTGTGGTGGCTTTGGGTGAGGCCCGGCTGTGGTGCTGTGTGGGCCCGTTGTGGGTGTAATGGACTGTTAGCAGCGATGCGAGGGAGCGCTTTACTATATCCTTCTCTGAATGGCACTTAGTGCCTTCCCTGAATACTCACGGGATTTGCGTTGTTACAGCAAGCCAGGTCTTGCATACAGGCAGTGTTTGGTCGGTCATGTGCTCTTACTTCTGATGCTGCTGCTGCTGCTGATGCTGATGCTGATGCTGATGCTAATGCTGATGCTGATGCTGATGCTGTTGCTGTTGCTGATGCTGATGCTGATGCTGATGCTGATGCTGCTGCTGTTGCTGTTGCTGATGCTGATGCTGATGCTGATGCTGATGCTGATGCTAATGCTGATGCTGATGCTGATGCTGTTGCTGTTGCTGATGCTGATGCTGATGCTGATGCTGATGCTGCTGCTGTTGCTGTTGCTGATGCTGATGCTGATGCTGATGCTGATGCTGTTGCTGTTGCTGTTGCTGATGCTGATGCTGATGCTGATGCTGATGCTGTTGCTGATGCTGATGCTGATGCTGTTGCTGTTGCTGTTGCTGTTGCTGTTGCTGTTGCTGATGCTGATGCTGATGCTGATGCTGATGCTGTTGCTGATGCTGATGCTGATGCTGTTGCTGATGCTGATGCTGTTGCTGTTGCTGTTGCTGTTGCTGATGCTGATGCTGATGCTGATGCTGATGCTGATGCTGATGCTGTTGCTGTTGCTGATGCTGATGCTGATGCTGTTGCTGATGCTGATGCTGATGCTGTTGCTGATGCTGATGCTGATGCTGATGCTGATGCTGTTGCTGATGCTGTTGCTGTTGCTGTTGCTGTTGCTGTTGCTGATGCTGATGCTGATGCTGATGCTGATGCTGATGCTGTTGCTGATGCTGTTGCTGTTGCTGTTGCTGTTGCTGTTGCTGTTGCTGTTGCTGATGCTGTTGCTGTTGCTGATGCTGATGCTGATGCTGATGCTGATGCTGATGCTGTTGCTGATGCTGATGCTGATGCTGATGCTGTTGCTGTTGCTGTTGCTGTTGCTGATGCTGTTGCTGTTGCTGTTGCTGTTGCTGTTGCTGTTGCTGTTGCTGTTGCTGTTGCTGATGCTGATGCTGATGCTGATGCTGATGCTGACGCTGATGCTGTTGCCACTGCTCGTGCGGCCTCTTACCCTTGGCAGTTCCAAGAGAGCCACGGTGCAAGCGCGCCCACAACTGCTTTTGAGGCGCCTCAAATCAATGCTCATGCTGATGTTAATGCTGTCGTTTCTGCTCGTGCCGCTTGTGCTGCGTGTTCTGCGTGGCAGTTCCAAGAGCTAAGAGCCATGGTTCAAGCGCGCCCACAGCTGCTGCAGGTACGCGCTCCCCTTCTGCACTCTGCTTGTACCCACCGCACCACCTCCCTTTCTCTCATGACTTCGCTCTGTGTCCAATCATCAAACCACTCCCTTGTAGTTCAGCTCATCTTGCCCACTTCTAGATGCGCCCGTGCAACCATCCCCTACCCATTTGCCACCATCCCACCCATGCCACCGTGCCACCATCCTGCGTCTCCCTTCCCCCACCCTCTCCCTTCCATCCCTGTGCCCAAGTGCAGCCCATGCTACAGGAACTGGGCAAGCAGAGCCTTGGTGTTCTGCAGCTCATTCATGCTACCGTCCCACTTCCATCTCCCTCACCTCAAACCCCACATCTCTCCTCCCCCCTCACCATCCCTCCCCTCTCACCATCACCAGCCCATGCTACAGGAGCTGGGTAAGCAGAACCCGGAGCTGCTGCAACCCCATACCCGTCCCATTCTCCCCCCTCCTACCACCCCTCTCTCCCAAATTTCCCATCACCATCACCAGCCCATGCTACAGGAGCTGGGTAAGCAGAACCCGGAGCTGCTGCAGCTGATCCAGGCACACCAGACGGAGTTCCTGCAACTCATCAACGAGCCTCCCCCGGAAGGGTAAAAGCCGCCCGTGTGCCGTTACCCCTCTTTTCCTTGTGTCGGTCTCACTGTCCTGTCTTGCTCCCCAAAAGCTGCGCTCCCCCTTTCTCTGCGCCTCCTGTGTGGCAGCCTGCTTCATCTTGTGGCTCGCCCGGCATCGTCCCTCCATCAGTTTATCTCTCAATCCGTCCATCTCTCAATCCGTCCATCTCTCAATCCGTCCATCTCTCAATCTGTCCAACTCTCAATCCGTCCATCTCTCAATTCATCCCTCCATCCATCCGTCCATCCATCTCCCCCCGTCCTTGCCCCGCAGTGAGCTGATGAGTCAGCTGGAGGCGGCAGCAGCAGCGGCAGCAGGGGGGGAGGGCCTGCCTCCTGGTGTGAGAGCAATCCAAGTCACCCCGGAGGAGCAAGAGGCCATTGCACGGGTGAGAGGGGCTGAGGGCGGCTGTGGGACGGGTGAGGGGGTGAGTTCTGAGTCGACTAAAACACACCTCCAGGCGTGAGAGCAATCCAAGTCACCCCGGAGGAGCAAGAGGCGATTGCACAGGTGAGAGGGGCAAGAGGCCATTGCACGGGTGAGAGGGGCTGTAGCACAGATGGGGTGTTGCACGGGAAGGATGAATGAGCCGTTACATGGGGATGGCATTCAGCTGCTGGACCATGCTGCATGGATGTGCCAATGCTCTTCAATTGTGCCCCACGTGTGTGCGCTGTGCCTTGTGGCCCCATGCAGCTGGAGGCGATGGGGTTTGAGTGCGACCTGCTGGTGGAGGCATTCTTTCCTCCAACCACTCTCTCCTTCACATCACTCACCGCCCCGCACACACCCCTCATGCGCTGTTCCCCGTGCCTCATACCTTCATGCCTCATACCCCCATGCAGCTGGAGGCGATGGGGTTTGACCGCGACCTGCTGGTGGAGGCATTCTTCGCGTGCGACAAGAACGAGGAGCTCACCGTGCCTCTCACTTAACCCAGTCTAATTGAACACCCCTCTTGCCCCCTGCACAATAACCATGCAGCTGGAGGCGATGGGGTTTGAGCGCGACCTGGTGGTGGAGGCATTCTTTGCGTGCGACAAGAACGAGGAGCTCGCTGCCAACTACCTGCCGCACTCCCTTCTTTCCTCTGCTGCTCATGCCCTGTGCCCCATGCCCTCTGCCCCATTCCCCATGCCCTGTGCCCTGTGCTCTGTGCATGTATGCATGCAGCTGGAGGCAATGGGGTTCGAAAGGGACTTGGTGGTGGAGGCATTCTTTGCATGCGACAAGAACGAGGAGCTTGCTGCCAACTACCTGCTGGAGCACGGCGCTGAGTTTGACGACTGATGGACCCCCACGGGTGCCTGTGGCAGCACAAAGGAACGCAGGGCAGAACAGAGTGATGCAACTCAGTGCAGTGCGGTGCTGCAGTGAATAATGATGCTTCGTTGTCAGGGCTGGTTTGCCTCGACTGTGTTGTTGCACGTATGGACTGCGGCTTCTGGCATTTGGTGGAGCTTGGGTTTTTTAGAAGCGAGTCACTAGCTTCCCTGGTCTCTCGAGCTCTGTTTGCTCTAGCTGTACTGGTTGGTTGTGACTACAGGCCGGTGATTAGACCTATACATGAAGTGCACTGGGGGTTTCTATGGCAGCTTTTTGTGTTACCGTATAACAGATTCACTTACTGTTATGTACTAGTTAGGAATGGTGATAGTGTACTACAGCAGTAATACATTGTATTTACTATACCATCCTTGATCCTGCAACTGCCTCTCTGTAGCCATGGGAGAGTGTACTGCACTGCATGAATATGGAAACCAATAGGGCGGGTTGAAGTTCTTCGAAGTGGGGTGGGGACTTGCAGATGAAGCCAGCAAACCATTCTCTAGTGCACGCACACCGCACCACTGCACTGCACCAAAACCGCATTAACCGGTAAATAAAGATAAATGTACCACAGTAGGAACTCTGACATGTCCTACCAGTACAAGCATACGAGGTTACCATGGGCATGGGTCGAGTTGATACGATGTCATGAATCAAAAGCTGACAAAAGTTACGTTCATTCCACATGTCACGAGACATGACCTGCAGCTACTGACACTACCACAATCCACTCCTACCTTATTCTGAACGCTACACAGCCACTTCCACACTGCACTGGGCGAGGTCCCCTGTAGCATCACACCACAAAGCAGCCACACCACACTGGATGAGCTACAGTGGACAAGCTATGGTTGACAGCTACATTCGTCTCTTCATCCATCCACCCCTCCCTTTCCTCCCCACCTTCAACCACCACCCCTCCGTCCCCTCTCCCCACACCGCTCCCACTCCCCCCTTCACTGCCGCCCCCACTGCTGCCACCCCCACTGCTACTTCCCTCCCCTCCACCATTCCCCATACCCATGCTCTGCTGCAGCTGGTAGGCATACTGCAGGCTGCGGCAGTAGTGCAGCGCGTGTACGCTAAGTTATGGTGAGCCCTTCAGTACTGTCCTCTGTTAGAAACGCCCCGTGCTCTGTATGCTCACCTGCCTCCCTCGCTCAACCCCCCACCACCGCCCCCTCCCCCTCCTCCCCACCTTCCCCCATCACCCCTCCTTCCACCCCTCCGTCCACGCCGCTCCCACTCTCTAACTCGCGGCCATCGCCACTACTACTCCCCTCCCCACCACCGCCCCCAGCCATGTTCTGCTGCAGCTGGTAGGCATACTGCAGGCTGCGGCAGTAGTGCAGCGGCGGGTTGAAGCGCGGGTCCTGCATGTCCTCTGCTAGGAACGCTCCACTTTCTAAAAGAAAACGAATTGCTCTTCGTCGGTTGTGCCGCGCCGCGTGGTGCAGGGGCGTCCCTGGGGGAGAGAGGGGGGGGGGGGGGCGAGGGAAGGGGGAAGAAAGAAGAGGATGGTGAGGGAGGGATGTGAGGGAAGGGAGAAGGGGAATGGGACCCATGAGCGACAAAGCATGCACTGCAGCAGTGGCGGGTTGAAGCGCGGGTCCTGCATGTCCTCTGCCAGGAATGCTCCGCTTTCTAAAAGGAATCGGATGGCTCGCCGGCGGTTGTGCCGTGCCGCGTGGTGCAGCGGGGTCCCTGCGGGAGAGAGGTGAAGGTGGGAGGGGGAAGGGGAACAAGGGGGAGGGGAAAAAGGGGGAGGGGATAGAGAGAAGGCAGGGGTGGGGGGAAGGAGGGATGCGAGGCGAGGGAGGAGTGGAGGGGAATGGGGGCCATGAGTGACAGAGAACGCCCTGCAGCAGTAGTGCAGTGGCGGGTTGAAGCGCGGGTCCTGCACGTCCTCTGCCAGGAATGCCCTGCTCTCCAATAGGAAACGGATGGCTCGTCGTCGGTTGTGCCGCGTCGCATGGTGCAGGGGAGTCCCTGGGGGAGACAGGTGGAGGTGGGGAGGGGGAAGGGGAGGGCGCTTCGATGTTGGCACCACCCTCCAGCAGCGCGTCCATCCATGACCGCCACGTGGCCCGCTGCTGCCGCCAGGTGCCTTCTGAGTCGGCTCAACAGTCACCTAGCAACAGCAGCAGCAAAAGCACATGCGCGCTCCAGCAGAATCAGGAGCAGCAGCAGGAGGATGCACACTCACAGCCAAAGGCACCGCGGGTGCGGGCTTCAATGTTGGCTCCCCCCTCCAGCAGCGCATCCATGACGGCTATGTGCCCCGCTGCTGCTGCCTTTCAAGGCGCTTTTTGTGGCGAAAAACACAGACACCAGAAAGAGGAATAAGGGCACTTACATCCAAACGCGCCACGTGTGCACGCCTCAATGTTGGCTCCCCCCTCCAGCAGTGCGTCCATGACCGCTATGTGCCCCGCTGCTGCTGTCTTTTCGAGGCGCCTAAAAAGCAAAGACACATCTAAACAACACAGACACCAGCAAGCAAGTGAATGGGCACTCACAGCCAAAACCACCGCGCGTGCGCGCTTCAATGTTCGCGCCGCCCTCCAACAGCGCGTCCATGACCGCTATGTGCCCCGCTGCTGCCGCCAGGTGCAGCGCCGTGGCCCCCGCGTGCTTTGGGCCCAGCGATGGCTCGTCCACTGCCACATCGCCCTCCTCCAGTAGCTGCCGCACCTGGTGAGATGAAAAGGAAAGAAGGGAAAAGGGGGATTTGGGGCGCGGGTGCTAGACAACACTGACTGCTTGCTCTCGGCCAGGACAGTGTGCTTCGGGCCCAGCGATGGCTCGTCCACTGCCACGTCTCCCTCCTCCAGTAACTGCCGCGCCTGGTGAGGTGAAAGGGAAAGAAAGGGAAAAGGGGGATTTGGGGCCCAGGAAAGCAAGCTCTCGGCCAGGATAGTGTGCTTTGGCCCCAGCCATAGCTCATCCACCGCCACGTCCCCCTCCTTCGCACCTGGAATAAGTGGGTCCGTACGTTGGGGACGGAGAGGAGAACAAAGCAAAAAAAGGGGTGTGGGATACAGGTGCGAGGGAGCACTGCCAGCTTGCTCTCGCCCCGGACGCCCACGATAGTGCTTCGGGTCCAGCGATGGCTCACCAACGCCCACGTCGCGCTGCCGTCCTATCCTCCACGCTACCATGCTGCCTCAATACCCGGTTACCGGGTTACCACTTACCATGCGCACGTTGCCCATGTGGCTGGCGATGTGCAGCATCGTCCACCCGCGGTCGTCCCGCACGCTCAGCGCCACAGGCGGGCCCGGCCGCGTGCCTGCTCTGCTGCTGCTGCCGCCTGCTCTTGAGGCGCGGGAGGCGGAGCGACGAGGCGGGCGGATGGACGGCACGGGGCGACGGGCCTCATTCTCGCTCTCGGTTGCTTCCGCGTCACTATCCCCTGCCCCGGCTGCTGCTGTTGCTGCTGCTGCTGCTGCCGCTGCCCCATCACCACCATCACCGCCCTCAGACGCGTCACGGCCATCAGCAGCGTCATCAGCGTCACGCGCGACCACGAGCTGGCCGTCAGCGTCGCGTCCCTTCCTGCTGCGTCGGGTCGCGCTTCTCCTCCCCGCCTTCTCCGCCTCGAGTCTCGCCTTGGCCTCAAGCTTCGTTACCTCCTCGCCATCGACTGCCACGTCAGCATCAAGCAAGCGAGTCTGGTTGTGCCACTGCAAGTCCTGGGAAAGAGACGGGGATGAGAATCGCTCGTGAGCACCGAATCTAATCGCGTGAGCATCCGAATCTAATCGCGTGAGCATTCGTATATAATCGCGTGAGCCTTATAATAAGCTCACTCACATCCTGATCTCCTGCACTCATTTCCTAACCTTGCCCGGGTCTCCGCACGCGGAACGAATCTAACGTGCTTCTCGCAGCCCAGACGTACCATTCCCACCATGTCGCTCGGCTCCTGGGGATCCCTCAATTCCCAAAACTTCGCTAACGGCTTGAAGTGTCGCACGTCGTCGCAGCCTCGCCGCCTTTGTCTGTATCCCGCAAACTGCTCGCTGGCGTCGTCATCGCCTCCCGCCAAAATCCATTGTCACGACGCGACACCCTCCTAAGTTCGCTCGCGAAGGCTTCTGCTACATAACAACCTAATTCAAACGGTTAACAGATCACTTCATGAGCTATATGAATTAGATCACTAAAGAAACATCAAGCGGCAATGGGAGTCGCTAGGGAAGCGGAACAACTGGGCATGGAAGTGGCAAGAGATCGTTTCTCCCTCGGGGACCAGAACAGTCGCTTCCAGCAGCGACGGCAGCGATGGTGGCAATGCAACAAGGCTCAACCACACTAGGGTGGTCCGTGCTGATGCTCTGTCCCCAAAAAGCATTTCTGGCAAGGGTGAAGGTGGCACGGCAAGGCGGCAACAGCGATCCGTTTATCCTCCATACAAATGTAAAGACCGAAATGCACTTCACTCCCCGTTCCTACTCGTGTTCTATGCACACTACATGTAGGTACCTAAAGGGCAATGGATTTTCCCACAGATATACTGTTTGTGGTCATCAGCAATGCATTGCAATTGAAGTTTGATTTCTGATATAGTGAGATAATATTGAAAATAATAATTTGTTTATTTGTAAATCTCATGTGTTCTCTATACCCCCACCAACTACCTCCACGATTGTACACGCATGATCTTCGAGGTACTCTGGTGCTACAGTACACGTAATATCGAAACTGGGTCAGATTCCCAGGCGACAATACAGGCAAGCCCTAGATTTGGAGCGTCCATGGTGAAATCAATAAACACGTGAATCTGCACCGTCCGCCGGTGTGTGCGGTGAGGCGTGCGCTGGCAGCGCTGCTGCGCTGTCGGCCAGGATTGCCTGTGGGCCCACACGGGCAGATGCAATCTGGCAGGACGGCTTGTCATTGGCGGCTGCCAATGAAAAAGTGCAGAGAACCTTGGGGCAACGGGGCGGTCTGGCGGGGAAAAGAGGTTTGATCGAGGAGGGGGGCGTGCGGGGGAAGCGAAGCGAGGTGTGCGGCTGGACTTTCAGGACGCGGCACCTGTTTGCCAGGAGGCACGATCGATCCTGGTTGGGGATCGATATGCCGTGTGTACAGTGTACTGGCGACATCGCGCATACCTGGTTTCCTGCTTTCGTTAAATCGCCAAAATGTACAGTAAACACAAGTGATGAAGTGGTGGCACCCGCAGCTCGCACGATCGATGTGCCTGTGAGCACACATCGATCTTGGTCTAAGCAGGCGGGATAGTACATCGCGCCACAGATGACAACCAAGATCGATTGGCGTCGCCCTAGGTCGCAGGCTGAAACTGAATGAGTCGCTGCGACTTCCAACGAACATTCTTTGTGCTAGGGAATATGGGCTGCTTGCACGTCGGGAAGGTGGTTTGATTTGATTGGGGCCCAACTCGCCCAGGGCCGTGCTGTGCGACGACCAAGGTGTTCATTGATTGGATGGATTTTCAGTGTGTTGTAAATTACAGCAACGCACTGGCTAGGCCAACCCTGCATTGTCGACCCTGGCACTTGAGGCTCGAAGTGTGTATCACACTGCAATTTTGCAGTGTGGGCACATCGATGTGCCACTCGATGTGCCAGGATCGGTGTGACTGCCCGACCCTTCCCCGACCCTGGAAAAACACAAACAGGTGCCGCGTCCTCAGAGGGAAGACTGCAGCGCACAAGGTGGATGCGAGGTGCGCAGGAGGGGGCGGTGTGGGGAAGGGGAGCCCACCCACCCAAACCCAATCCAGCCAGCTCAGTTCAAACCAGTTCAAACCCGCTCTAACAAGCAGAAACCAATCGTAACCATTTGAACCCATTCCAAATCTTCAATATCCGTTCACCAGGGGGAAGCTCTGTTTCTCGCTTTCGGGACAAGCCGTGATCAATAAATCAAGAGGAAGTGGTGATGAACAGAAGAGAGGCGTGCTCGCGCGCCCGCACCCGCAACAACGCCATCAATTTCCTCTTGACTGCGCAATTGTCCCTGGTTGGTTGTATGTGGAGCACGATTGCCAGGCGAGCAAAGAGCATGGTACAGAATGAAAAGACCTGGTCCATGGCTGTTAGCTTCTCAGATGCGATACTAGAAGCCGTTTTTATTGTTGGACTCCGTGCGAGCAAGCAAGAGATAAGCCTCCCCACCGTCCCCCCCTCCCAGACCAGCCTGGCAGTGCAGCGCCGAATCAATATTTCGCGCGTCTTTCCAGCTGTCACGCGTCGTGTGGATTTCCCTCTTATCACCCGAACGCGGTACAATCGGGCCGGTGTAACCCCCAGGCATGATCGTGCAACCGGGTGTGTCTGCTGCAGCCATATCAACGCATGGCGCAACGAGTAGAGGCCCAGCAAAGAACCATCAAAAGAGTGATATTCCGTGCCAACTGATCGAACAACACACCAAACTCCCTTCCATCTTGCATTCGTCGATCGCGACAGTCATCACCCTTTTTGCGTGTGCTCGCCGCATGCTAGTAGCGTAGTTGTACGATGACCGGCGCTTACCACTCGAGCCAACAATCAAATACATCTTAGTCCGCCGCGTCGCGCACCCGTCGTACCATTTATCAAAATATGGCGTTTCTCCCGCGGGTTTTACCCTCCGCCTGGAGCGGTCCGTTATGTCCCGTGTGGTCTCTAATGGGCGTGCCAATCGCGCTGCTCGTCGCGTCGCTCAACCCGCACCTCTGGTCGCTCGCCCTCTCCGCGGCCGCGTCGCGCCACGGCGGAGCGACGCTGCTGCCACTCCTGCTGTTCGCGCACGCCGTCGCGCTGCTCCTCAATTACTCCGCTGCGCGCATCGTCGACGTTACCGGCGCCACCGTTCCTCAGGTTTGCACTGCCGCGCTCGCAAGCTCGCCTTCCGCTGTTACCCGATTTCGCACTCCGTCGCTCGCGAATTCCCGCATAATTTCCGCATTCAGCCGCTCACGAATCCGCCCCGTGTTTTCCGCCTCGCTGCAGGTGTGGCTTCACGAGTTTCCGCGCGCCCTCCGCCGCCTGCTGCCGCTCCTCTGCGCCGCCTCCATCGTCGCGCTCGACGTCGCCGCGCTCTGGGCCTCCGCCACGGCGCTGCAGCTGCTGGCGGGGCTCGCGCTCAAGCCCGCGCTGCTGCTCTCCGCCCTCTCTGGCCTCGCCGCCATCGCCGCCCCTCCCGGCAAGGTGCGCCCTTCCGCTGACTGCCATCCGCTACGAAATCATTCCCCGTCCACGTTCCAGCCCCCTTTTTTTACTTCCCTTCCCATCGCGCGGCAAACCGGGCCGCTTTATCTGCGGCGCACCCACGGTCTGTACGGCGCCGAGTTGCCCGCGCAAGCCCGGATGCGCACGCACGCGCCATCGGCTGGCGCGAGCGACGTGCGTCCGTCCATGGCCCATGCCCCCCATTCCACGCCCCGTCGCACTGCTTCCTCTTCGTGCGCTAGCTATCCCACCCGTATCTCTACGATCCCGTCTCTCCCCGCCGCTCCCCGCCTCTCCCCGCCTCTTTCCGCCGCTCCCCGCCTCTCCCCGCCTCTCCGCGCCCTAACACGTGCAGGCCCAGCAGCTGGTGTCGCTGTGCGTCAGCCTGCTGCTGCTGCTCCTCCTCTCCTGCGCGCTGCACTGCCTCTCCGCCCTTAGCTTTCTCGCCCCCGCCGCGTTCATCCCGGCCCGCCTTCCCCTCCCCCTCGTCGCGCCCGCCGCGCTTCTCCCCTCCGCGGAGAGCGCGTGGATGGGCGCGGCGCTGCTGGGCGCGTGTCTGCTGCCGCACACCTTCCTGCTCCTCGCCTGGCAGGTACGCCCCTCGTCTCCTCATTCCCGCTTCCCTTGCATCGTCACTTCGTCTCTTTGCCGCTTCGTTGCGTTGCTTCGCCCCTCTTCCTTTTCCTTATCTGCTCGTTTGGCTCCGCTGTCTGACCTCCGCTTGCTGCTTCCCCTTTCCAGTATCTTGTCTCTCATGCCCCATGTCACTGCCCTCTTGCGCCCCATGCCTGTTCCTCCTTCCTTCTGCCCGCGCGCAGGAAAACGCCGACGCGGAAAAGCGCAAGCCAGAGAAGCAGGGGGCGGGCGCAGGGTGCACGGGGGGGCGGCGGTGGCGGCGGTGGGGGGAGCTGCTGCTGCCGCAGTCGCTGGCTCTGGCGGCGACGGCGCTGCTGGTGCTGGGCGCTGCTGCTGCTGCTGGGGCGATGAGGAGAGGGGAGGGTGAGGAGGATGAGGCACGGGGAAACACACTGCCCGTGCTGTCGCTGCAGGACGGCCACTGCCTTCTCGTGCAGGTGTGTGAATGTGTGTGTGCGCGCGCGCATGTGCGCCGTCTGTCTCTCGCATTACCAGTCGCTGGCTCTGGCGGCGACGGCGCTGCTGGTGCTGCGATGAGGAGAGGGGCGGACGAGGAGGACGGTGCAGACTCTCTGTCTATGCTGTCACTGCAGGACGGCCACTGCCTCCTCGTGCAGGTGTGTGTGTGTGTGTGTGTGCGTGCGTGCGTGTGTGTGTGTGTGTGTGTGTGTGTGTGTGTGTGTGTGTGAGAACCAACAATAATCAAGGTAGCCTTGTGAACGCACACTGCAGAACCCTGTATCAGCACCTCACATCACACCCCCTCCTCCTCTTCCGCCCGTCTGCCCTCCCTCCCGTCCCACCCATGCCCCCTCTACCAGCTGCTCACAGCCAAGGCAGCCCCAGGGCTATTCGCGCTCGTGCTGCTGGCAGCAGCTCACCTCCTCGCGCCCTCCACCACCCTCGCCGCGCAGCTCGCGCTCTCCGCCTTCGCCTTCCCCCCTCCCCTCACCTCCTCCGCTCCCCCTTCCTCCCCCCCTCCCCGCCACCCCTCCCCGTACCTCGCCTTCGCAGCCACCCGCCTCGCCTCCCTCCTCCTCACTCTCCTCCCCGCGCTTCTCCTAGGGGATTCCTCCGCCCTCCACTTGATCCAATCCGCGCCTCTCGCCCTCGCGCCCCTGCTCCCCCTGGCCGCCGCGCCCCTCATCCGCCTGGCGGCTTCCCCCCACGTCATGGGCCCCTGCCGCCTCCCCCCCGCCCTGCGCCTGCTCGCCTGCCTCGACTGCTGCGCCCTCTCCGCGCTCTCCCTCGCGCCCCTGGCCTCCGCGCTGCCCGCGCTGCTGCAGGGCTATGCGGGGGAGATGGAGGGCATGGGGCTGTGGGAGTGGCTGGCGGGGGGGGCGTGGGCGGGGGAGGCGGGGGAGGAGGACGGAGGGGGGCTGGCAGTGGCGCTGGCGCCAGGCGCGGTGTGGCATGGGGTGGCGCAGGTGGGGGCGGCCGTGGGGGGGAGTGTGGGGGTGGCGGCGGCGGTGGGAGCGCTGGTGTGGGTGATGAGGGTGCCACTACGTTCGGAGGGAGCGGGGGAGGGGGAAGAGGAGGGGGAGGCGGAGGGGGATAGTGTTATGGATGAAGGCATGGGGAAAGAGACTCTTATGGGCGGGGGGATGGATGGGGACGCGCGGGAGGGGATGGCGGACTGGATGTATGGCGGGGAGGGGATGGCGGGGGAGGAGATGGGTGGGGATGATGTGATGTGGCAGCAGCAGTGGGTGGAGGAAGAGGGGGAGGGGGGGTTGCGGTGGGGGGAGCAGGTGGTGTGCGAGGAAGGTGAGGAGGGGTGGGAGGGAACCCAGAAATGGGGGGCAGAGTCTCTTGCAGGGGCAGATGAGCAAGAGGGAGCAGGAGAGGGAAAGATAGGGAGCATGAGCATGGGGCTTGAGAGTGGGGTCGTGGTTGGCGATGCGTGTGTGGGTGCGAGGCGAGAGGCAGCGCCGGCACTGAGTGTGGAGCACAAGGGGGGAGAGCAGGAGGGGGGAGAGCAGGAGGGGGGAGAGCAGGAGGGGGGAGAGCAGGAGGGGGGAGAGCAGGAGGGGGCGGGGCAGAGGGCAGAGGGAGAACCAGTGAAAGGTGGTGAGGAGCATTCTGGCGCTGAATCCGAGGCTGTTGCTGCCGTACCTTCTGCTGCTGCTGCCGCCGCCGAAACTTTTGTTGCTGTTACAGCTGCTGCCGATACAAGTGTGGTTGAGGCTGCAGCAATAGCAGTGGGAGGGGCCGTGGATGGGAAGGAATCAGCCGCAGCGGCAGGAGTAGGTGCTGTGACGGCCAGTGCAGCCCCGGTTGCTTCCTCTGCTGTTGAGGCCAAGGCGGCCGTATCACTGCCCGACAGGGAGGAGGAGCAAAAGGAGAAAAAGGAGCAGAAGGAGCAGATGGAGCAGAAGGAGAAGGGGGAGGGGGAGGATGCAAGGGGCGAGGCTCACACAGCAGCGGGTGGGGCCGCTGCAGATGCCCTCCACGCCAGCACAGGGGGCGCCGAGCAGCGGGGCGCTGCAGAGTGTGCAGAGCTGGAGGGGCTGGGGAGCGCTGCAGAGAGCAGGGAGGGGGCGCTTGGCGTGGGAGGGGGGTTGGAGGGTGTGGGGCAGGGTGGGGAGGAGGAGGTAGAGGAGGAGGAGAAACAGATGGTGGCGGTGCGTCAACGAGGGGAAGAGGTGGTGGGAGAGGAGGGGAGCAAAGGGGCGGATGCAGCAGGGGAGCAGAAGGGGGGGATGGCAGCAGCGGGTCCCTTGCCACACGATCCATTCGATTCCGCAACCACCCCTGCCAAGCCCTCATGCAAGCACCCACCAGAGGCAACCCCCAGCCCTGCCTCTCAGCCCGGTGTCTCTGAGAGTGGCCCTGTGTCTGCCTGCCAGGGTGGCAAGGGCTTCTCGGGGAAGTGTGTGGATCCATCAGCGCCCTCCTTCCTGCCAGCCCTTGCCCCCTGCTCCACCTCTGCTGCTGGCCATGCTAGCAGCAGCGGGATCAGCACCTGCAGCAGCGGGATCAGCACGTGCAGTAGCGGCACCGTGTGCAGCAGCAGTGGCATGAGTGGTACGGGTGGTGGTGGCAGGAGTGGCAGTGGCAGTCTGTCGCGCGTGTGTGGGCTGGGGCGAGGGGCGCGCAGGCAGGTGGCAGCAATTCTGGACGAGTTCTGGGCGGGGATTTTTGACCTGCATGGCCATGCAGTGGTGGTGGATGGGCGCGGGCAGGGCGTGGGGGAGGGGAGGGCGCGGGGAGTGTTGGGGGCAGCCGGGCAGGGCAGCACAGGAAGGGCAGCAGGAGGAGCATCGCAGGGCGGCATGGGCTTGCCTGTGGACTGTTATGTGTCGAAGCAGGCTTCCCTGCCTGCTTTCCACGGCTCACATCTGTTGTCAGCTAGTGCCAAGCCCTTCTCCCCGTCTTTCTCCCCTGCCTTCTCCTCACCCTCCTCCGTGCCCAGCAATAGCTTCAGCAGCATCAGCAGCACCAACAGCAACAGCACCAGCAGCACCATGAAGAGCAGCAGCATGGGCGGGGGCATGGCATCGCTGCTCTCATCCTCACTGCCATCGGCAGCAGCAGCAGCAGGGCGCGAGTACAGCACGCTCTCCCACCTGCCCACCCTGCACGAGCTCTCCCTGCTGCACCCCTCCTACCTCCTCCCCGCCCGCCGCTGCATCTCGCCTGACCCGCCCTCCTCCCTCCCGCCTCCCACCTATGTGGGCGCGGGCATGGGTGCAGGAATGAGTGCAGGCATGGTTGCGGGCATGGGCATGGATGGAGGCATGGGCATGGGCCAGGGGGCACAGAGCACAGCAGTGGCAGAGGGGATGTGCGGGGGAGCAGGAGGAGATACAGGACGCGCACTGCTGGGTGGGGTGGGTGGTGCAGGGCAGGTGTGGCAGGTGGAGGGGCCCAGTCGCTCCACTCCCAACCTGCGGGGCGACCTGCTGGGCGGACTCAGCCTCAGGGCGCACTCCCCCTCCCTGATCGGGGATGGTGGGCTGGCGGGGCAGTGCCAAGGCCTGCTCGCCCCTGGACGCCTGAGTTCCTTTCAGCAGCAGCAGCAGCAGCAGCAGCAGCAGCAGCAGCAGATGCAGTTGCAGCAGCAGCGCGTGTATCAGCAGGAGCGTGGAGTGGGGGCGCTTGGGTTTGCAGTGGTGGAAGACGATGGTATTGATGAGAGTGACGTGGCAGATACTGCTGCCAGCCTGGCACAGCTGAGCCAGCTGCAGCATGAGTATGCAGAATTCAGCAGTTTGGGACGAGCTGAGATTTCTGTGGGTGGTCCTGGTGGCGGGGCAGGCGGCATCATGGGCAGTGCATGGGAGCAGCAGGTGGATGAGCTGGTGGGGACGCGGTCACACCGCACTGCACCGCTCCATGTGGGGCTCTGCGACGCTGCCTCACCTGCTGCGCTCACAAACGGGCGAGTGGGGTCGCTGCAGCGAACAGGCAGCGGGAGCATGTGGGGGTATGGCTCCCAGGCCATGCGGGGCGCAGCAGCAGCAAGCAGCGGGGGCAGTGGAAAGTGGAGCACGATGCATGTGACGGGCATCCAGAGCAGCATGCACGGGCCCGCCCTGCCCCGGCATGACTTGCCCGACCTGGCGGACCAGTGGCTGGCCGCTACTGCTGTTGGCAAAGGAGGAAAGACCAGCAACCCAGGCTGGCAGCAAGCACAGCAGGTGACGCAGCAGGAGAAGCAGCAGAGTAGGCAGCACGAGCAGTGCATGCCTGTGATAGGAGCAGCAGCGGCAGCAGCAGCAGAGGAGGCGCGGGTGGAGGCGGTGCGGGTGTGTGTGCAGCGCCTGCTACGCGTGGAGGGCAGCGACTGGCTGTTCCGCTTTGACACGGGCCCCGACGAGGACCTCATAGCCGCCCTCGCCCTCGCCCTCGCCCTGCCCTTCCATGACCGCAAACAAATTCGCCGCCTCCTCCGCACTCTCCGCTCGCATCTCCCCACCCTCTCTCACCCTCGCGGCCGCTCACCATTCACACTCTCACAGTGGCGGTAGGGACGGGGAGTGGGTGCTGCCTGCGGGTGCGGCGCAGGGGTGCGGCGCGGGGTGTGTGTGGGGCCCGGCGCTGGTGGTGTCGTTTGGGGTGTGGTGTGTGCACCGGGTGTTGGAGCTGTCTCAGCTCGAGAGTCGCCCGGAGCTCTGGGGCAATTACACCTACGTACTCAACAGGCTGCAGGTCAGCCGCCTCCCCTCCTCCTTCCCCAGTGCGCATCCCTGCATCTTCTTCAATCGTGCTGCGTCTAGCCTCAAAACCTGTCGTTATGATGTTGTTCTCATCCTCATCTCTCCCCCTTCTCTTCTTAATTGCATTCTTTCAGGGAGTTTTGGACCCTGCATTTTCGCACCCGCGCCCGGTGCCGGTGCTGTGCGCCTGTTTTGGAGAGGCAGCGGGGCAGCCAGCACTAGCAGCGCAGCGCCTCTTCCAGGGGCTGCTGGGCGGCTCCCTCTGGGGCACGCAGATTCCCCTCGCTAGCCCCAACTGGCCCTTCCCCGGCCCGCCAGGCCACCGGGGGCCAGCGTGTGCTGCTCTCTTTCTCGACCGCATTCGCGAGGTGGAGGCGGCGGTGGGGGGGCGCAAGGGCAGGACGGGCACGGTGGCGGGGGATGTGGCGTTTCCCAAGGGGAAGGAGAACCTCTCGTCGGTGCTGAAGCGGTACAAGCGGCGCCTGGGCTTTTTTGCCAATTCTCAAACATAGATCTGCTGCTTTTTTCCCCTCCCATGATTGGTGGGTAGGCGTTCTTCAGGCCACTTTTTTGCCCAACTAGCTGGGCTTATTCGTCACACTGCGCGTAGGGCTTTTTGGCTTGCATTTTCTCCTGTTTGTATCTGCCTTTTTACGGGATGGAGATCATAATGCAAAGTTGAATTAATTTCTGCCTCTATATTACTTGTTGTCTACTCTCATTTTTCAGATTGCACCAGGTTTCTTAGCTTATATCGCGAAGCCAACCGACATGGCAGCACGGGTCTTGTGTGGCGGGCAAGCGCACTGGGCTCCGCGACAATCCATGAGCCAAAGTTGCGTCATCACCTCTTGTTACTCCCGATGGCTCGCCTCATCCACTTGGCTGTGAGAGACGTGCGACGACACCGCTTTCGCCAACCAAAGGCAACCTCCCCTCACCACGCGCACCACTTTTCTCGACAATTCACAAATCCCCGCTCGCCAAGCGTCATCGCACACGGATCAAGGTTGGATATTTCAGCCAATGGTGGTCGACTTACGCGTGGATCCCGTCGCACGCCAGCAAACCAGCGACACTTGCGTCGCACCCGCCTGTAACCTCCAAGGCCACATGGAGGTTGTCTCGAGCCATTCCAATTTTGAAACCAGATGAAATCCATGGCGGACGCATTCAGCCTCTGATCAGCAATATCTTCCAGCCATTGCATCGCCAGCCGCCAGGAAAGCCGCCGGCGGTAACGATCTGCACGCTTTCGGCTGTTCCCTAGCCTCGTTATCCACTCACGACGTGTAGCCATGGCAAATCGACCATGTCCGTCAACAAGCAATACCATACTTCCCGCCAGAACATGCATCCATCCCTTCGTTTGCGGAGTCGCTCTCACTTCAAACTAGCCGCGCCGTGCCGCAATGGACGGCGTCGATCTCTCGAAATGCCTGTGCGAGGCGGGCGCGGTGGAGTGGATTCGCGACTGGTTTCAGGACTGCGTGTACTCGCGATGGGACCTGCTCTCCTTCCTGCTGGGCCTCACCTCCATCGCCTGCTGGCTCGTGGCGCAGCTGCCGCAGTTCATTCAGAACATCCGAGTCGGCTCCGCCGACGCGCTCTCGCCCTGGTTCCTCTTCCAATGGCTCTCCGTACGCGCCGCTTCCGCCCCCACGCACACGCGCTTCGTGCCCTATCTTTTCGCTCAAAGGGCTTCGCACGGAAGTAGCTGTTCCTTTCCAAGTGTAGATAGCTGGCGAGTTGGCGTGATGATCCGGACGTGTATCCGAGATAGTGCAATGCTCCCATGGCCAGCCCGCGACCCATTCTCTGTTTCCGTCTGCGCATGCGTGTGCGTGTGCGTGTACGTGCGCGTGTGCGCTTGTGCGTGCGCGTGTGTGCGTGTCGTGTGCCTGTGCGTGTCCGCGTGACTGTACGCGCAGGGCGATCTGCTGAACCTTCTGGGCTGTCTGCTGTCGGGCAGCCAGCTCATCACGCAGACCTTTACCGCCATCTACTTCATCTTCGCCGACTGCTGCATCATCGCACAGGTACCATTCGCGCGGCGTCGCATAGCCATGTACCGCCTGCGCGCGCGTATGTCTTACTGCGCTGTGAGGCTAGGATGCCCTCTTCACGCAGACGTTTACCGCCATCTACTTCATCTTCGCCGACTGTTGCATCATCGCGCAGGTACTGCTCCCTCCCCGCGCGCACGTCGCACTGCCAGGTTCAAACCGCGCGCACGTCGCATTGCCGGGTACCGCCCGCGCGCGCGCATGTCCCAGTGCGAGACTCAGATGCCCGGGTCATTCCGGTCTGCGCAGCTGTCACCGCGGACTCGCCGTGCCTCACGCTACGCATTCCCGCCTTTCTTCCCACCCTCCCCCCGTTTTTCCTTGCCTCCTCTTTCGCCCGTTGCCACCATCCAACCCACTTCTTCTCTCCCCTCCCCCCACCCCCGCGCATCCCCGCAGTACGTGTACTACCAGCTGAAGAGCCGCGACTTGCTCGAGCTGGACGCGGACCTCCCCCCCCTCTCCCTCTTCCCCCACCTCCTCTTCCCTTTTTCTTTCCCCCCACCAACCCCACCCCCCGCAGTACGTGTACTACCAACTGAAGAACCGCGACTCGCTCGAGCTGGACGCGGACTGCATGTCGCGCGCGCCGTCGCAGCAGGACGGCTTCATCACCGCCGCCGCCTTCTCCTCCCCCTCCGCCGCCCTCCGCCGCCCGCTCCTGTCCGCCAGGCCCGCCGCGCCCGCAGACCACGCGGACGCCGCCAGCAGCAACGGGGCGGTCAGCAGAGCGCTGTCTGTAGTGTCGCCGCCTAAGGCGAAGACACGGCGTGCTGTGGAGGAAATCCGCGCTTTAGAAAACGAGCTGCCTTATAGAGAGGTTGAGGCTGGCGGGGCAGCAGCAGCGACAGCAGAGCAAGAGAGTCACGTGCACAGACAGAAGCAGCAGCAGCAGCAGCAGCATCAACCGCACCGGCACGAGCAGCAGCACCGGCACGAGCACCACAACTACCACCCGGTGTCGTTCTTAGCTGGTCGCTCAGGCGCCGTGCTCCTCGCCCACGCGTGGCAGGGCCCCCACCTCCCCTCCGACCCCCGCCCCCTTTCCCTCCCACCTTCTCAAGACGCACACACAGCCGGAGCCGAAGCAGACGTGGCAGGAGAAACGGACGTGGCAGGAAAACCAGAGGTGGCAGGAGTATCAGACGTGGCAGGAAAGGCAGACGTGGCAGGAAAATCAGTGCATCGGCGGCTCAATGCTGCTGGGCGGAGAGAGCAAGGCGCAGGAGCGCGGGGGGACGGGCGAGGCAGGTTGTTGCGGATAGTGGAGGAGGTAGAAGTGCGGGCAGACCTTTTTCCCGTGGCGTCAGACAGTGCAGGCGGAAGGGCGGACGGGGCAGGGGTGGTGGGGGAACGCAGCAGGATACGAGCGACTGGTGATGAGGCAGGGGGAGCAGAGGGACGCAGGGGCGGGGGGCAGGCGGGGCGAGTGCAGTTTGAGGAGCAAGGGGGGAAGGGTGGGGAGGGCGCGGGGGGCGAGGGGCGCAGGCGCAGGGCGTACAGCGGGCGGGAGGTGCGGCGGGTGGTGGAGCAGTATGGGCTCGAGCACGGCCCTCCGCTGCTGCACGCCCGCCTCACCATCCACCACCACCCCGCTGCCCCCGCGCCCAGCCCTGCAGCCCTGATGGGGGGCGATCAGGGGCAGGCAGGAGAGGGAGAGGGAGTGATGGGCGTGGGGCGGGCGGGGCATGGAGCAGCAGGTGCGGGTGGGGCGGGAGGCGGGCATGGGCGTGAGAGTGGGGCCACGCATGGAGGGGGGGGTTACGTGAAGCAGGAGGGGACAGCTGCTGAGGGAACGGGTGCCTCGGCTGCTGTAGCAGGTGCAGCTGCCACCGTGCCTGCTGCCACTGGGGGAGGGGCATCTGAGGGAGGTAGCTTGTCTGGTGGAGGGGCAGCAGGGCCCAGGCCACAGAAGGCGGGGGCGCTGTCTCTGCTGCTGGGCTCGCTCATGCTGCTGGCACTCGCATCCTCTGCTCTCAACCCCGCAGAGCAAGGGGATGCGCTCACAGCACAGCTCAGTGGTGGCGCTGGTCCGTGCAGAGGGGGCAGGTGCAGCAGGGCGTGGTGGGAAACAGGTGAGGGAGAGGTGGCGGCAGGGAGGAAGCTGCTGGCAGTGCAGGCGAGGGAGATGCAGGCCGCGCAGTGGCATCAGCTGCGGGGGGAGCGGCATGTGTGGCAGCAGCAGGCGGGGGTGGAGGTGGGGAGAGCGAGGCCTGGCAACAGCACGCTCTGCCTGCTGCATCCCCACCACCCCAACTGCCGGACCACTGCTGCTGTGCGCGCGAATGGTGGCAGTGCAGTGAGTGATGGTGGCAGTTTTGCGGGCAGGGAGGCAGGTGTGGTGCTGCAACTGCTGCCCCCCGTGCTTCCACTCGCTGGCAGACTGAGCGAGGAGCATAAGAACGCGGGGGGGAGGGGCGGGGGGGAGGGGGATGCGGAGATGGCAGCGTGCCGGGCGGAGAGGAAGCGGCGGAGGAAGGAACCCAGCAAGTTCATTCACCAGCTGGGCCTCATGCTCGGGTGTGTGCATCCCCCGTTGCATGACATCCGTCATCCATGGCATCTCGGCCACACCTGCATATCATCCACACACCTCTCCGTCACACCTCTCCCACACACCTCTCCCTCACACCTCTCCTTCACACCTCTCCCACACACCTCTCTGTGTCGCCCTCGCACCAGGTGGGTGTCAGCGGGCTTCTACCTGGGCTCGCGGGTGTCGCAGATCTGGCAGAACGCCGAGCGCGGGTCAGCAGAGGGGCTCTCCATGGCCATGTTTCTCTGCGCCTTCTGCGGCAACCTCACCTACGGCACTGCCATTCTGCTGCGCGCCCCTTCTCTGTACGCTATTCTGCTGCGCGCCCCTTCTCTGTACGCTATTCTGCTGCGCGCTCCTTCTCTGTACGCTATTCTGCTGCGCGCCCCTTCTCTGTACGCTATTCTGCTGCGCGCCCCTTCTCTGTACGCTATTCTGCTGCGCGCCCCTTCTCTGTACGCTATTCTGCTGCGCGCCCCTTCTCTGTACGCTATTCTGCTGCGCGCCCCTTCTCTGTACGCTATTCTGCTGCGCGCCCCTTCTCTGTACGCTATTCTGCTGCGCGCCCCTTCTCTGTACGCTATTCTGCTGCGCGCCCCTTCTCTGTACGCTATTCTGCTGCGCGCCCCTTCTCTGTACGCTATTCTGCTGCGCGCCCCTTCTCTGTACGCTATTCTGCTGCGCGCCCCTTCTCTGTACGCTATTCTGCTGCGCGCCCCTTCTCTGTACGCTATTCTGCTGCGCTCCCCTTCTCTGTACGCTATTCTGCTGCGCGCCCCTTCTCTGTACGCTATTCTGCTGCGCGCCCCTTCTCTTCAGCCCTGATCGCAAGTGCATTCAGGGGAACCTGTGGAAGTGAAGCGTGATGCCCGTGTGTGTGCGGTGTGCATGGCAGGGCGGCACTGAGTGGCAACCTGCCATGGCTGCTGGGCAGCATGGGGACTCTCTCCCTAGACATCACCATCTACCTGCAGGTGAGCCGACCCTTGTTATCTTCACCTGACACGCCTTGCACTGCATCCACAGGAGAAAGTCTATGCTGCTGGTGGAATGACTTCGGATAATGTTTTGGAACCTTTGTTCTTAACCGCTGTGTCAATCACAACTCAGTCGCACACTCTATTCTATTGCACACATCCTGTCATGTTTTGCAGGCCCAGTTTCTGAGCTGCAAGAAGGAACACTCATCTGTCGTTCGCCCCGTCACTGTCTTATGACTAGTGCGCCCTCTGCTGCGCTGCTTCTCAGCATGCCGTGGCTCTCTACACACACTTGATGTGAAGCTCATCCGTCATTCAAAAGCACTGTAATTGACACCCATTGCTCCTTATCCTTGGAAGACTAGCCGTTAATATTGTTGCGCTATAGCAAGAAGAAAGAGGCATCCACAGCACAGGCATCCAATGCAGTGGACCAATCAAAGTGATGCATTGGGCAGCCTGGTCAGTATGGCCACCTATAATAGGCATACCAAGCAAAGTTAAGATGCTCAAATATTGCAAACTACATGGAATGAAATAAAATTACTTGTGGATGTGGAAAATAGTAAAATCTAGTGGACCAGCAACAAAAAAGAGGCATCCAAAGCAGGGCTCTTGCTAGGATTTGAGGACGTCTGTTTCATCAGACGGGTCCTTCAAGCAAAAAAATTGGTTTTGTCTGATCTAGATAGGAAAATCATATGAATAAAAAAAAAATAAGTTTGAAAATCAAACCATCAGTGTTATGAACAGGGCTCTCGTTATCAGACCATTTTGGTCTGATGGTCTGATTTTCAGACTCATTTTTTTGTATTCATCTGATTTCCCAAACTAAATCAGACAAAACTTTTTTTTTTGCCTGCGGGACTCATCTGATAAATCAGACGCCGTCAAATCCTAGCAAGAGCCCTGGTTATGAACTTGTCAGAGTGCGCAGAATATCGAATAACGAGAATGAGGATTACAGAATGACGAAACAATTAAATAGCGAGGCCTAAATAGGGGAAATCCTAGCTAGGCGAAGAGGTAGGGCGAAGATGGCTCGGTGATGGTTGCGATTGGTGCGGAGCCGACTCGGGAGTGGTTCGGTGCGACGAATTAGGCCGAACAGGTTCGTCGCGTGACCCTCGGGATGTACTCGCTAAGACCCTCGGGAACAGGGCCTCAGATTGGTTTGAGGGTATGCTGATGGATCAGCGTGCCCCTGCCAACCAGCTGTCCAAATCAGCGTTGGTGTTTTTCAATATACTGATTCTGTCAGTGCAAAATTTTTCACTATACTGATCCTTCAGTGTAAAAAAATCCAAAAAAATATACCTAACTACTAACTAGCTAACTAGCTCATGTCATCATCTGAAGAAGAAACGCTCGCATCATCACCACTGCTACTGCTGCCATCATCATCACTCTCACTGCCATCGCCTGCAGAACCACTCATGCCCTCGTCTAGCTCCTCCTCCACCTGCACCTGCCGGCGGCCACTCCCCTTAACAAACTTGGCCTTGGCCCGCTCCTTCTCTGGCGCAGCTTGCTCCTTGCGCTTGCTGGGGCGCCTTTTCCTGGTGCTCCGCCAGATGTCCACCACCTTATCCCAGTCCATGTCGTAGTCGAGCAGCGACATTGCCAACAAATCTCCCAGCTTGGCGTTGCAGAGACTCGTCCGGCGCCACGACTTGATCACATTCTGGCGGGAAAACCCGCGCTCGCACTCGACTGTGCTGAGCGGCAGAACAACGACGGCAGCCCACGGACGGACTAAGTTGGGGTAGCTGGTCTGCCAGTCGCTGGTCTGCAAGATGGCCTTCAAACCTGCGTGAAAGGGCTGCTCTTCCTTGGGCGCAGTGGAGAGCACCGGCAGGAACGTGCGCAGCTCCGCTCGAGCTGCACGCTTCTGGACACCTGCCAAACAGGAGAGCACAACCGGGTAGAAAGTCAAGCTCTCAACATGGGAATAACGCAACCACGGAAACGGCAACGCATACACGCAGGGCATTGGGGTTATCTTTCCAGCTCACCTGGCAAGATTGTGTCCCGGTTCTTGGCCTGGAACAGATGGACGAGGCCGTGCAGGTGCTCCTTGCACTCGGCGTCTCTAGCCTCGACGCCCCTCGGCCACGAGCGGGGCATGAAGAGCTTCGCCCCGTTCAACCGCGTCAGGTCTCCCAAGCGCAGCTCGAGGTTGTACACCAGCTCGCGGGCGAAGGAGCGGCAGCAGGTGTAGCAGCCTTGCATGTCCCCGCTGCTGGTGGTGTATCCCTTCACGGCCTCCTCGTGCAGCTGGAACGTGTGTACCCGGGCCTGACCCTCCTTGTCCACCCCCTCCACAGTCACTTCACGGCAGTCGGGGGAGGCGTGCCGCGTGAGGAAGGCAGACAGCAGCTCGCTGGTCCTGCCGCCAAACTGCTGGCCACAGTGCAGGTACCGCTGCTCCATGTAAATGATGGTCCGCATCACCTAGGAGTGCACTGCAGTGAGGTCAACCTGTTGGTAGGGGGAGAATAGGTACACCGAAACAAAAGATTAGAAACTGGGAGAAGAAGTGAAAAGCACAACGTTACTCAACACCTCACCTGACGCTTCTGGAATAGCAGGTTGAGCGCGTTGAGTGCCGTGTGCACATCTGCCAAGAAGAACAGGAAAAAATGAAACTTGAACGACGTCACCAACTGGTACATCTTCTTGTCCGTCTCCTCGAGCATGACGATGACAGCAGGGAAAACGCGGACGAATCGGGCGATAGCATCGCCACGACTCAACCAGCGGACGGAGTGGATCCCCTGGACCTCGAGGTTGGTGTGCGTGAACACCTCCTGCAGCTCCTTGAACTTGCGGTTGTAGTTGCTGGATCTGCCTAGATCTTCCGCCAATGCGCGGATGACTGCGTCGATGATGCCAAGCTCGGGCAGGGCCTTAGCCGCCTCCTTTGCAGCAAGCGCCTCCCTGCCACGGGTAGAAAAGCACAGGTGGGGGTGTTAGAATTCGCACTGCCACGTTGCACATTTCACACCGCTACAACACCACCACAGCAACAGTTTACCTGTGTGCGATGCAGTGAGAAGCCACCACGTGCGGGATCTCTAGGCGAAGACGCCCAACGAGGCCCGTGTCGTTGCCTATCATCACAGGTGCCCCATCGGTGCTGATACCCGCCACCTTCTCCAGCGGGAGGTTGATACTGTCAAGGAATTCCGTGAGCTTAGAAAAAAGTGAAGCTGCATCACACTTCTCGATGGACAGGTTAGTCAGGAACTCCGTGGTGACGGCGTGCTCACGCAGAAAGGTTGCAAACACAATCATGTGCTTGCCTTTGACGCGGTCCGTACTCTCGTCGCAGCTCAGACCAATGAATGGACTCGAATCGATGAATTCTCTCTGGCGCGCACGGAGGTATGTCGCTATTGCGGCGGTGATCTCCTCGAATCTGTACCTGCATGGGCATCAACGGGTGTGGTCAGAGATAGCTACAAGTATACGGTATAACAACCCGATGCCAGTTGAACAAGAGCAGTGTCACTTACGTCGTGTAGTTGGCACCATAACTGCTCTTTGGGAAGCCCGGTGTGCCACGCTGTGCTAGGTGTTGGACGAGGTCCACGTACATCTCGATCGGGGCGTCGGACTTAGCGATGAAGAGTGCCGTCTCAAACAGCGCGAGCAGGCGCTCCTTCTCCACGTCTTTCACCTTCGGGTTGTCGTCAATCCGGCGGTTAGCTTTGAGAGCCGCCTCGGCTGTCTTCTGTCTGCGCACAGCGCGGCGATGTTTCCTTGTGCGCTGATGCTTCCGCATCGCCTGGGTCTGCACATCGGTCGCCCCTTCTCCTTTGGCGCCGAAGTTTGTCCCCGTACCGGCGTGCGCAATGCAGACCTTGCACTTGATTGACGGGAACCCTGCACTATTCTGCAGTAGAACAAGCCACAAGTAGTCGTCAGACCATTGTTTGTTGAACATTAACAAGGCTTCTTGGTATTTCTCCTCGGCAATGTCGGGCAGTTCTGTATCGGAAGACACCTCAACCGCTTTCCCCTTCGTTTTACGCTGACGGGCCTTCGGGGAAGAGTTCCCCACACCAGACGTTGGTGTAGCTTGACTGGAACCCCACTGGATCTTTGTCTGGTGGTACCTCTCTTTGATACCCTTTTTAAGACGAGGACCTTGCCGAGTAGTTCCGGCAACGACAGGTTGACGGTTCCGTGTGGGATCGGGAGCGGCAGGTGTTGATCCAACAGCGTCAGGAGTTGATGCGGCAGCGACAGGCGTTGATGCGGCAGCGACGGGCGTTGACGCTGCAGCGACACGAGTTGATGCTGCAGCGACAGGAGGTGAAGCGGCAGCGCCGACATGCGTCGAACACTCGCCCTGCATCCAGATGGTAGGTGCCTTGGGGCCAGAGGAAGGGAACGGAACGGCTTGAGCTGATGGCGGGACTAACGCGGGAGCAGCTGAAGCTCGTCGTAGAAAGTCTAAGCCAGTAAGGGCGGCTGGCTTCGTGCCTGCGACGGGCGGAGGGCCGTCACCTGCGGGCGTCGAAGCCGCCATGGCTTCTCAGCGCTGCTGAGCGTGCCGAGCTTGAGGGAGAAGCTACTCCTGCTTCAGCTTGAACATCACTTCCTGCAGGGGTTCACCAGGAGTGCAGGAACAGAATGAGGGAGCAGATGGGGGTACCCCCTCTCCCGAGCCGCCATGACGAGGGATCTTGGTCCAGGCCAGGGTTTCCGTCTTTCCAGGCAAGGTGACAACACCCCCACTCAACTCTGCCATCCTTGGCGTGTTGGCGTGGATCCTGCCACCAGTGGTGTGTTGTCTGTGTTCTCATTGGGCAGTTGTGAACTTGGTTAACCGTTCTCTGGTGTGATGGCTTCCAGTGCGGCAAAACGGTTCGGCGCGCACTAGCTGTAAATACAGCGCATGTGATAAGATTCCAAGTGTGTGGGTGGGGTGGGGTTTCGTGAATCACGCGAAGGAACAATCTGTACACGCGTCGCGTACTCCCCCCCCCCCCCCCCCGCGCGGTCAAATCCGTTTCAGGGTGACGCACTGAAGTATACTGATTCGTCAGTGTTACTCGTTCAGAAACACACAAAAACGTCATGTCAGAATGTTGTATTTGTCTAGCCTGCAGTGGGGTACTCTATAGCGAGTACAGCCCAATCTAGGGTTTGCTATTTGTATCTCAACTGCTGCTAGTCCAAACCCTCTTTCTGCTTCTAAACTTCTTGCTTACCTTTCGACATGGTAT